GAGAGAGAGAGAGAGAGAGAGAGAGAGAGAGAGAGAGAGAGAGAGAGAGGAGAAGGGAATGAAAGGAAATCAAAGTATTTCCGGTTTGGTTAAGGGTTTCTTTTTGCCTCGATGTTTACTCGAATATATCCTCAATAATTGGCGCATTTGTTCAGGAACATGATCGGTGCTTGAAAAATTAAAAAAAAAGTAATGTGTTATGTTGTGAGGAGTCTGTTTTTTCGATTTTTCTTTTTTGAAGGAATTTTCTGATGCGTTTACCGATATCTCAAAATAGCTCAGTCATTAATGAGCCACAGTAGGTAGTCTCTAATGTTCTATGTAAGTTTTGATTTGAAATGAAAACAGTTGTTTGATGCGCGCGCAAAAAAATAAATTAGTCACTGAAAAAGCAAGGTTTATTCAAAATCAACATTACTCAATATAGTTTTATATGCGATCGTACATATGTTGTTGTTTTTATCCAAAATATGCTATTTCAATTCAATTCTCTCACGAATTTTTGACTTATTCCTCTTGTGAATTTAGCGCTGAATGGGGAATTGAATTTTGTTGTTGTAATATATCGTCCTATGCGGGATGTGATTTCCCTGTCTGCTTCCTTCTCGCTCGCACTCTCGCTTCATTTTCATTGTTTTGTAATGTGCAAAGAGGATATAGAAAATCAACAAAATCAAACCGATGACAACATAGGCGTGGGAAAACTGTGTACATACATAAAAACCACAAGCTGCTGCATCAACCGTCGTTGCCTAAAAAGGCAAACTAATTGATAATCAGGATGTGGATGTGTTGAAAATGGTAAGTGGAAACATGCATTTTTAAACATGCTCTTTTTTTCTTAAAAAAGCATACAAATACATACACAGCCATAGGGACATTTAGTAGTTTGAGTGTTTCGTTCACTTAATTTTGAAATGTTTTGTATTTGGATGTTTGAGTGAATTTGTGAACAGGCATCCGAAACCTAGAGCACAAAGTGAAATTGATATTATATTCACATCTATTTAACAGACAAGAAAAAATACTTGTTGTTGTTGCTGCTTCTGGTGCTGTTGTTGAAATTGACAAAAAAAAATGACATGCACACAAGCATTCGCTCACATAGTTTGCATTTTCAATGCAATCGCTTCGCTTTGTGATCATTCTATGTGTGTGTGTGTGTGTTTTGGGTGAAAGGAAATGCTGTAGACAAATGTGTGCAAATTGAAATTCATAGAAAATTAACATTCATCTATCAAACACAACAAACAGCCTATGGTCAAAGCAATTTTGTGCTTAGTCCCTTTTTTAGAAATGTATAATCAAACACCAAAAATGAATTGAAGAGAAATCTCTTTTATGATTTTCAATGGGTTGTCGTCTCTTTCTGATGGCAATTCAGAGCGCTTTGCTACAATAGCATTAATTTTAATTTTTTTTTTTTCATTTTGCTATGTTTCGTTGTGTGCGTGTGTTCTTTTTTAAATATTCAATTGAAGTACTCGCTCATTTCGAATTGGAATTGCGTTACGACGAAATCTAGTGAATTGTTAATGCCATCACGATTACCATTGTTATTGCTTAAAAAAACAGTGTTCATGCCATTCATATGGAATAACTTTGTCGTTGTTTTATTTTATTTCATTCGTTTCTTTTGTATATGAAACAAAAAATTTAGATCCAACTTATGATAAATTCCAAACGGAAGTTTCGCGCGTGCATCCGCAATAGCTGAAAAAAGCCAACAGAATAATTAATTAACATCAAAGAACAAAATATGATATTGAATAAGCACAGCCAGTCATTCTCTCTGTCTTTCCGTCTCTCCAATCAAATGAATATAAAGTACTATATTGTATTCTTGATCGATACTGATCGCCTTTGACGATAGACAACATTCCATTGGCCAAAATCGATTGTTCAAGTTTTTATTTTATTTGATTGAGACGTATAAGATTGATTATGTTGCAATTGATAAAAATGACGAAATTGAATTTAAAACAATCGATAATTGTCACTTTATCGATATGTATACATTCTACATATAGTGAGCAGCGTATACTTGTCCATGACAGAGATTGAAAAATTTAAAATAAAAATGAATTGTCTAATTCGCTTTCATAAATGATGCAAAATTGACCCCAACATCACTCTCTCCCTCTCTTTCTCTCGATTCATGTTCTCTATGTAATATATTGTATGAGCATCGACCTTTTTTTATATCAAAGTTTTGCGGATGTACTTTCCGGCATCAAAGAACAATTCGCTGTTTCCGACATTCAGCTCGAATTTTGACGACATAGTTTTTTTTTTGTGTGTTTGATTGTTTGTTTGGAGTAAATGAGAGAAAGAGAGATGTGCACCGCAAATAATTCGATCTGGATGTCCCCCGCTCGATTGTTCTCATAATACATTATATTTATACACGATATGGAACCATTCATACAGCATGCATATAAATATCAAATGCATTTGATGTTGATGTGTGACACAAATGTGATCATGAGTGTCGAAAAACCTATTGTAAAGCGCTTGCATTTTTCACATGCTCAATGTAAATTTGCTATACAATAGCTACAAATCTATTATAGCTGATCACGGTCTATCTAACTCTCTCGGTCTATCTCTCTATCTATAATATTATGAATGATTTTTATTTTACAATGTGTTATCAATTTTTAAATAAAACAAAATTGTTTAATAATAATTTCAATGGCTGCGCATCTGTGACAAGTGTACAATTGTTGTCAATTAGTCGGGAATGAACTCATTATCACCTGGAACAGACTCATTATTATTATTATTATTATTGTGTCTTGTGATATCGATTTGTTGTCATTTTGTCTGAAAATGTCGCCCGATGACGAGGCCAATTATCGGTCAGTAAATAATATAGATGTGAACCAAAAAGAAAAATCGAACAAAACAAACTAATTGCATTTCGTTTAGTGTGAGAATCTCATCATTGAGATTCTCTATAATGGTCTCATCTTAAATTAGCGGTTGAAATGTGCGCACGATCTTTGTGCGGCTGTTAATGAAAATATTTTCAGTGCTTTGCAAAATATTTGCAATTTATTGAATGAATAGATTTCTCGGCATATGTAACGGCGCGCGTATAGCCGTACACACACACACACACACACGCACCACAGATGCATATTTTAATGAGAACGCCAGAGCAAGATAGAAAAACTCAATAGAAATTGAAAAGTCTCAGCTCATGGGAGAAATATATATATACAATAATGTGAACCCGATTTCGAAATATACAACAAACATGACGGATGAATAAAATGCGATAGAGAGGTGGCGAGAGAATGTATGCGTGCGTCTGTAATCGGTGAGATCGTTGGATGACGGATGTTGGTGGGTGTTTAAAAAGTTGCTTTCAATATTTTACACACAGAATAAATTACCGCAAAAAAAAAAAAATATTCGTGAACTAAATACACATACAGCCGGATTATTCATGCGAGATGCCTTATTGCATAAGTATTTATTTCAGTTGAAAAATTACAATTATTATTATTGAACATCGTTTAAGATTTATCAGTTGATTTTTTTTCTATTTTTTTTTTTTATTCCTTATATTTTATATTAATATTTCCAATTGGGTGTGAGCGTATATGATTATGTTCCCTTTCTCACTTTTTCTACTGATTATCGCATGAAATATTTGTTATCGTCATTGTATTACTGTTATTTTTGGAACCACAAATTTATTATTATATTACGTATTTTTTCTCTTGCTCTTTCTGGACGAGCATGAGCAGTGCAGACGCTGTCAGTTTCTTAAAATTGAATGAACGAGCTATTGTACAACAATATGAATGTCCGAGAATGAATGTGTGACTATTTATTGAGTTCATATAATCGCAAAAATTGTGGATCTAGTTATAAATGCCGAATCACGGTTTAAATGTTAAAGAACGTTTACCCCATTAGAAGAAGCCAATTAAATTAGGTTAAACCCATAGGACAAGTATAGTTGTCAGACATTGAATGGCGCTGTATCTATCCTATAAACATCGAACTAATGAAAATGTGTGGTGGTTCATGTCTTATTTAATATACAATAGTGGAAATTTATCCAATGCACAAACCATTTCTTCTAGTTCCTCACCATTTCTTCTAGTTCCTCTTACATTAGTGTAGGGAGATTCTTCTAAAGTTCAGAGAATGACGTTTGCATATAAATACATGTAAAAGACACTTTTAGGCTCGTCCTATGGTTAAACCAAAACTAAATTGCTCTCTTACACCATTTCAATTGAAAAGAAAGATTTCAAGAACCGTTCCAAGCAAAATTATAGGTAATACCTATTAAGTACAACACTGATACATAGCAAGATAGCGAAAAAAGAGTGAAAATATATTTATTCGATGTATGGTAATTTATTTGTTCGGTTTGGCCAAAATAGGTAAAATTTTGCATTCATTCCGTCCGGTCAAACCCTTTTGAATGATTCTCGAAACTGTTAATAATGTAAATAGCCTTTTTATTTAGCCATCCTGTTTCTTTTGACAATTTATCAAAAACTACCACATAAACGATACACAATCAAGGAGAAAGAAAGAGAGAATACCGTGTAAGAAAAGATGAATGTAAGAACGAATTTTACAGGAATGCGTGATGCATTGGTTTCACATATAATTTCAGACCATTTGAATCATTGCATCGTATGTGTTTATAAAATAAATCAACACCCACAACGATAGCAAAATACTTTCTTAAATTTATTGCGATACACGAATATTTATCGCCGGCAACAGCGGCAGCATCAGCAGAAGCACCAACAGCGACAGCATCACCGACAAAAACATATCAAACATTCATCGTACTTTCATTTCTAATTATTTTCAAGTTTGCTACGAAGTAAATGTTTTAATTGCAATTTTATGGCGTCAAATTCATGTCGATTCACCAAATTTAGATTCTCTTCCGGGTCGATGGAATGATCGTATAATTCTTCGCCATAGTATTTGTGCCAATCTAAAAAATGAAATAAAAAATAAATAATAATAAACCACATTCAATACATGAACAACATAACATCATATATTAATTAAGCGGTTTGAAATACTTACTTCGTTTGAATGTTTTTGGATTGAATTCCAGCCAAATGGTATAACGAAATCGAATCGTTCGCAATGAATAGCCCATTATTTTGATGTATTTCAAACGTGGTTTATCACTGTCCGGATATTGTGTTGGAAAAATGCCAGGTCTGGGATATTGACTGATTGCAAATTGATAATTTGTAATGTTCAATGGCATTCCAGCAGCTGAGAAATATCGAACCAGACTTTTACCTTCTGTGCATGTGGTTTGCTTGAAGTAACCTTTCCTGCATGACTATTCTTTCATTATCATTTACTAGTTATCTTTCGATTTTATCTATTCATATGTTTCGTTATGTATCTAAAATACTTTTGTTGAACAAAAAAACAAACAAAAAAAAAGAAAAAAAAAAGAAAGTATGTGCATTTACCTTAATTGTGGGCAGTGTCGCCAATTCGACAAGCGTCGGAAATATGTCAACAAGTTCAGCAAGTGCATGCACTTTGTACGTAGCATTTCGTTGATATTCAGGTGAATAAATGATCAATGGTACGCGTACACCAATTTCAAAATTTGTATATTTTGCCTACAAACATGATACAATTACACTGACATTGGTTTCAAATGAGTTAACGAGATAAATACATACAAATTCTGCATGTTCGCCCAATGAATAACCATGATCGCTCGTCAATAGAATGATTGTATTTGAAAAATCCACACTCTGTAGTAAGTCACCAAGGAGATCATCAACATATGTTACAGCTGCGTAATAGGCTTGTCTAATGTGCCATGCAAACGATTTTACCATCGGACCGAACGGAAACGAAATGTTCAATTTTCGAACGTCGTCTCGAAGACGTATATCATTGTATGGATTAAAGGCGACAGTCGGTAGATTTGGTGGCACATGAATGAAGTCGTTTTTTTTAAATTTATCAATGTCATGATAACGCAAGTATTTCGATGGGAACCGAAATGGAATATGCGGCTTGTGTAAGCCAATCGCAATAAAAAACGGTATCGATGTTTTTTTAAATGTACTTAACAATTGCTTAGCAGTTCCAATCGATTGTATGTCAGGTAATGAGTGCAACGGCATTCGGTTTACATCAACAGGACATATTAGATTGCGTTGCAATTGTTGTGAGATTTTATCATAGCATACGGCATCGTTCATCCATTTTTCGGTGGATGGATGATAGGTCTTATTTGACCAACTAAATGGGAAGTCATCGTTAAAATTTGAAGATGCGCCCGGATGAAATACTTTGCCAATTGAATATGTTTTGTAGCCATGTTCTTTAAAATATTGTGGTATTGTTGTGAAATTGCCTACCGATGTTCGCCAGTAGCTGTAAAAATCGTACAGATGAATTGTATCCGGTCTTCGGCTTGTGAGCGCTGAGTTTCGAGATGGTGCGCACAACGCTTGCTGCGGATATGTTTTAATGGGTTTTTTGTATGTGTTGGTGTTTTGTTTCTTTGATTTTAGTTTTATATTTAGTTTTTTTCTGTTGTTTTGCTTGTGTTTCATATTTCTTCTAACTCTACTAAAGTGTGTTCAACTCAGGTAAAATGAATTATAAATGAACTGACTGTGAGTGAGTAAGTGTGAATGTGTGAGTTTGCGTTTTTTTACCTGTGCATAGGCCCGTTGAAATAGTGTGCTTTTCTCAGCCAATCGGTCTATATTCGGTGTCAGGGCAAGTAAATCGGCATAACAACCTAACGCCGGACGTAAATCATCAACAATTATAAACAGAACATTTTTCTTACTGGCATTTGTTGAATGAGCACAAGATGTGAATGTAGAAAACAATAAAAGGAATAACAACCGCATCACCAATGACGGTGTCAGTATCAGTTGTAATGCATTCAACATCGTTGTCTTTCTTTCTCGTTTTCTTCTTCTGTCTCTTGAAAATCAAATGAAGCAAAAACAAAAAGTATAAATTAAAAAAAAAGAAGAATCAGATAATCGGCGATCTCTTGCTTTGACTCGCTAAAAGTGTACGCAATTCAACTGACAACACACAAACACACACACACACACGCACCGACATAGTCGTACGTCTATCGAAAAGGGGAGAGAGAGAGAGCGGAAAAAATACACCAATGAACCAGCCATAGTACTACACCATTCATTCATTCAAATTCTAAAAATAGTATCGAAGACATTTTTGTTGTCTGTCACTTTTTCTCAGCGGCAAAGTATGGTGATTTTTTAAGATGCCGATAGGGATAGATTTGTATTTGTCTAAAAATACTAAGCACTCGCACTGATATGTCAATATTTGTGCTTTTTATATGTTTTAATACATTATATGCAAGTGGCGCCGTCTTTTGTATCATTTACGAACACTCATTTGAAAACATCACTTGTTTTAGCTTCATTTGTGACTTATCGATGTGTTATTATGTGTAATTTTGTGTTGCTTTGGCAATTCGTCTTTCTTAATCAATTAAAATTAAATTTTTGCCACCAATCGATTTCTTGTAGTATGAAGAATACCATTGTGCCATTTCTTCATCAAACGTGCCGCAATGCCATATATCCTCGAAGCAATGGTGTTAAAAGATTTACAGTACCAGACAATTTGGTAAATTGGATGGAAAAATATACTGAATACAAGCCGGAATTTTATGAATCGTCAAGTTTGGTCGGGGCACCATATGCAGATCCAGCGATAGGTTAAATAACAAAAATCCCCACGAAGAAGCCAGTTTCACAACATTTTTCACTTCATTTTTTTTTTTTGTAGATGACACAAACTTTCATCCGATCTGGAATTCAATTGACGGTAAAATTGATCGCACCTCATTCCATGGTGAATATGAAATTCGTGATAAATATCCGCTTAATGTAGCCGGCCGAACAGGAGTGGCTGGAAGAGGGTTGCTGGGCCGTTGGGGTGTCAACCATGCCGCAGATCCAATAGTTACAAAATGGAAACGAAGCAATGATGGCACCATTGTTAAACACACGACATCCGGAAGGTAATGATGAAATATTTATATAAATTTGATGATAGCATTTTCTGATTATTGTTTTGAAAATTTAATAGAAATATTGTTCAAATGGTGGCAATTCAACGGCGTGATACTCTGGAATGGGCGATACCAGGTGGGATGGTCGATGCGGGAGAAAAAGCAACAGCTACATTAAAACGTGAATTCATCGAAGAAGCCATGAACAGCAATAAAGGTATTAAGTTGCTTTCGATTGACAACAACATCCTATTCACTTTTCATACGTTTGGTTGCAGTACAAGAAATTGATCGATTTTTTGAAAAAAATGGAACGGAAATCTATTCCGGTTATGTTGATGGTATTTAATCCTTATTTTTTTGATATTTTTTTTATTCACTAAATAATATTTTGAAAGATCCTAGGAATACTGATAACGCATGGATCGAAACGACTGCATTCAATTTTCATGATGATACCGGCGATACGTTGAAAGACATTAAATTCGAAGCGGGTGATGATGCTGGAAGCGTCCGTTGGTTAGATTTAGATCGAAATATCGAATTGTATGCAAATCATCATGATATTGTGAGCAAAGTGGCTGAACGATTAAATGCCCATTGGTGAACGTTTATGGGGTCGCTTAACATTTAAAAATTCATTTTATGATTGAAATAATTATTTATTTAATAATACATTGTTGTCAAGATGAATTTGCAGAACATTTATTCTATAAATCTATGCTCTCATTCGTCAAATAAATCATCAAATACTACTATTAAATCGGTTTTATGTATTCACTCTCCTTTCTCCTAATTCGCTCCCTCACTTTCTCTAACTGCGAGCATAAAAAGTTTCTTTCATTCGAATATTCTAATTATTATCTGAGGAATTTGTGAGAAAACAAAGCATTTTTAAACAAGACTGTCTCACTACATTTAATATCGAATGGGAATTCGCAGCCAATAACAATTGTCTAGTTGATAAAAATTATCTTATTTTGACGTCATACACACTTGTATCATGTTTCAAAAATTCTATATGCAATTTTTTGCAAATTTCAATTTTTTAAATTAATTTTTTGTTTAATATTTTTTTTTAATTAATAAGAGTGCCATGCACAAAAAATAGATTTTATTTTGCAAATAAGCAATAATTTTTTGAGAAAAAATAATTCTCCGCTTATAAAAAATACATCTAATATACAAAGTGCAATAAACAATAAACAAAAAGAAAATATCACAAATTTTTATTCTAACAATGACAAACACAAAATTAGAGGTAATCAACAAAAATAGGTTCGTGTATATGTATAAAAAAAAATTATAAAGATAAAATGCACGAAAATAATAAATAAATAAATATATTCGAGCACTATAGTCACTTGTATTTAAAAAAAAAAACTCGTTTGTGTGTTTTTGGTGTAAAGTGTAATTCTTATGTCTAAAATTAAATTGTTTTCTCTCTCGACTGTATTTTAGCCCGTTGTTGCTATTCGTTTGACTTTCAATATTTTCGGGTTCAGTTTTTGTTTTTAGACTTTAAATGCTGTGCCATTTTGTTTACGTATCTTGCTTAATGGGCTTGTTTACGTATCTTGCAAACTTTTGTACGTGGTTCCGTTGTTTCTTTAAAATATTTCTGGTTAATTATACTTTGGTTGTGCTGTTGTTGCGATTATTTTGCTCGACAAATTATCTTAAAACAAAACTAATTAAAAAAAAAAGCATTTCAATTTCAAATTGAAACTTATTCCATATCACTTTCTGTCACAAATTGTTCTTCAAACCATTCCATTGAAAAAATGTTTTGCTTTTTTTTGGTTATGATTATTTTTTTTGTATACGTCTCGGTTGCTCATCGTCATCGCTGTGCTCTTCTTGTAGAAGCAATGAGTCCGGATGACGTACGGCTCCCGGCTTTTTATTCCGTTGCCACGTAAATACTTTGGCCAATTGCATAAATTTCTTGCGAGATCGCTTGCCCATGTGTTTTAATCGTTCTGTAAACACTAAATCGTCAACTTTGCTTCCTTTTTCCTGCTGTTCCTTTTCTAATGCTAACATAAATTCTTGATTCCATCTCAATTCGTTCATAAACTCTTCATTTTGTAGCATTATTGCGAATTGTTCATCGGGAATTTCAAAATCCGATCGATTCTATTGTGCAGTGAAAACATAAATACATGATTATTTGAAAAAAGAAAAAAAATTATGTGAAAATTGATTTTGATATTTACTTCGTTCGATGTTAAACGTAGAAAGGATGGCGGCAATGGACCCAATAATGGTGGTTCCCATCGATTTGAATTGGTTGAATTTGGTCGTGCGCTAGCCGATGATGTAGCCAAAGTTGATGGACATTTTACTTTTGGCGATGCACCTGTCACACGATTTACAGATGATGTTGACACAATTGTTGAACTAATTGGTACAATTAGATCTTTTTCCACAATAGCCGAATGATTTTGAGACGATTGCACTGGTGAATTTGAGGCACTTTGCTCTAATTCATTCCGTAATTTTTCATTCTGAAAATACATTTGAGATGAATGACATTCTGTTTTTTTCTTCTCGGCTTTATTATTGAACAAACAGCAAACCTGATTGTCTGTGCTCATTGCTAAAAGTTGATCAATGGTCGCATCGACACCTCCCTGATTGGCTCTGAGCACAGCCTCAATCACATCTCGTTCCATATCAGGAAACATTGTTTTAAAATCGGACATTGCTTGCGCAAATTCCAGTTGCAATGTAGATGCCATTTTTATTTAATGCGTTGAAAAGTGGTAAAATGAACCGAAACCACCGTAAAATGGTAGCACGGATGACGAACAAACAAAAGTTTAAACGAAAGATGAAAAATATACAGAAACACGAGAAATCACGCAAAAATTGAAAATGTATATGTTTTTTTTTCTTCAGTCAGACATTCAATGACAATTCGACACTGGCCATAACAAAACAACAAAAATCATATGGCAAAATTTGGCTCGTTGATTGATAGATGTAATGGTAAACAATAATTGGGCGTAAATGTATCACTTTGTTTACACAATTTTTCAAATAATATTTGAGATTCTGAGCGTGAAATAAATTTCACAATATGATTTTGAATGAATTAACATCCGTTTAGAGTAATTGCATGTTCAATCAAACAATAAAAATTTTGTCGATGTAATCATATACTTCTTCGTACACCTCAGACAGCCATGACTACTGATTGTGTGTAATTTATTTTTCTCCCTTCGTTCCGTTTTTCTCAATGAATATAACATTTATCACATCACATACAAGATTACAGACTCAATGATGTGACAGCTGTTTTGTGCTTTTCAATTGCGTTACTCTGACGATAAAAGCTCCATCACAACGGATGCGTTCAATGCGCTTTGTCTTTTGCCGCTCAAATTTAAAATTGGTTTTATTTTATCAACTTATTGATACTCACGATTCACATATTTAAGAAAAGTCTAAGCATATGCATGAATTTTAAATGAATAAAATTATTTTAATATTTATTTTATGTTTTGCATTTTTTTTTCTGCACTTACAAATTTATTTTTCTTTATATTTCACGTGCACATTTTCATAAATAAATAAATTCATTTTTGTGTTTTATTTGTGTTCAAAAAAAGAATGGGAGAAAATAAAAAAAGATGTTTTCTTCGTGTGAGTGTGTATATGTGAGTGTGTGTTTGTGAATTAAATTTTTGCTGATATCCTTAAATGCTATAAATAACATACTGCTGTGGCAATTAACGTAAAATATAAATACATTTTTTTTTTTATAAATTTTTTCAACAATTACAAAATGTGCCTGTGAACATTATCGCCAAATAAATTGATTATTATTTAATTGTCATAAAAATGGTTCTTTCATCAACGAGCAGTTGATTTCCAACACCGGGATTGTGTAATTTGCACGTGATCATTTTAAACAGATATAATTTACATCGAAAGTTAAATAGATTTGTGTGTTTTTTGTTGTCATAACTATGATGGCGATAATGCATTTTCGAATGAGTTGCCATTGTTTGTGTTTTTTTTTCATCATTTTGGCAATAGCCATAGAATGGAGAAAAAATTTGAACGACAGTTCACAATTTTTAGTACATTTGATTGTGTGTATCTCGTTTGCGTCCCATGTTACAAATTTTAAAGTGACAAATTGTCATATCTAAAGATGAAATCAAATAAAAAATAAATGCATTATTAGTAAAAGAGAAAAATAACATTCAATTTATTGAACTTACGGTAGTTTTTGCCATTTTTCTTGTACATTATTGTCTTATCATCGGCAACAAGTCGTTCTGCATTAGGTAATGGTTCTGCTGGACTTTGTTCAGCTGATTTAAATGGTTCGTTTAGATTATTGTTTATATCGTTAATATTGTCAACGGGCTTTTCATAATTCTCAATATATCCGGATGGCGGCATTTGTTCGATGTGCCCACCATATGGTTGGTATTTCTCTTCTACCGAATGTTGCAATTGGAATGCCTGTATAGCAAAATTAAAATTGTTAAAATATGAACTTTCGTTTATATCAATTTATTGAATGGAGAGCACTATGCTGCCGAAAAAAAAACATTGTTTAATCACTTACCAATTTCTTGGCTAATTGCGCTGATTCAAAATCTAGTAGCATTTGTTCGGATGGTGTTAGTGGATGCGCCACAACAACATGGGCATTCAAAATCATTACAAAAGCCACCGTCAACAGAATGATTAGGCGTGCGGACATCTTCAATGCGAACTGAAAAATACAAATCACCGTCTTCGATTAAAATTAATGTGAAATGATGATTGGTAAAACGACAGCAAATCGGATGTGTATGACAATTAGAAGACAACACATTATATCGTCAATCCAAGCAAAATAAATGCAAAGTACAAAAATAATAAAAGCGGTTGGCAAATGTGCAATATATGAATCCATCGACGACGCTATCTTCCGTTTGCATCAAAAATAAAATCAGAAAACTATTCACACAATCGTATCGGTTTTAGAAATTGTACGCATTCAATGTAGGACGGCGATAATTCAGGGAAATAACAATAACAAAAATCCAATAATATTTTACTTTAACGATCATCTCTATTTTGCCCGTTTACATTGCGCATTGTTAGGAAAATAGAGGAATCAACTTGTTTTTTTTCTCCATCTCGCTCTCTCAAATCGTAAGGCGTCATCACTACATCTTTGCCAGAGCATACATAGGAATGAGTTAGCGCAACATTATGAAAATAAGAATTACGTTAGCGTACTTTCTAGATTTAATCACAATATTGGTGTGTGCTTTATTTTTTTCTTCTCTGTATTTTCTTCTATGTATTTGAGTACAAGGATTCAAACTATTTCAAATGTTATCAGACCGATATGGTTTCTCTTCTCAATGCAACTTTGGATCATGATTTTATTTAAAAAAACACACACATGCCGTTTGCGCGCCAATTCACAGCTGACGTGATAATTTTCCATTGTAATTTACAAACAGTTCGATTGTTTCAGTATAAAAATGACGTAGAAAAAGGTTAATAAATAATAAATACTGAAATCCCCAACTGTCTGGAGTCTAATCATTTCAGTTTTTTATGCTTTTTTAATTGCATTAAAATTGAAAAGGTGCAGGTTTTGTAAACAAACACTTATTTTTTTTTTCTTTTCTTATTTTTGAGAAATAACAAAAAAAAAACTGGACGGAAAAAGATTAAAAAGGTCAACGTTTATGATGACGTCGATTTATTTTTTGTTAAATTCTTTTTCCATTTGGTGATTTCAATCACACTCATTGAAAAGCAAGAGACATTTGCTCTAAAAAATCCGGATATTTGAGACGAAGATGCGTGGAAAAATCCACACAAAACAATTTTAAGTTTGCTGTGAACTTTGGTGACATCTTACTAGACACACTGATGACAATGCAACAAACGATATGATTAAAATGAGCCGAGTACGATTTGAATAAAGTTGGCGGTCGATTTCAATACTATCGTATTTCAATTATCATGGAAAATAAAATATTGAACCGAAATGAAGGAAGAGAGAGAAAAAAACCGTAAATGCGACCATTTCGATTAGAATAGTTGAGTAAAATTGTCTGCCCAGAACAGGCTAGATTGTAGAACAATATATATAATGATTAAAACATACCAAAATACGTGCAAAGTTTAATGAAATCTAATTAAATTTAGCGATGAAATAATTGCGAATGAGCTTTGATCGTCGACGCTTTTTTTGAATTTATTTGAACGGTGATAGTACGTTGAGAGTAAGAGTGGGACCGAACTGACACTTTGTTTAATCTTAACTATAAATGTTTGAAGAAAATTGATTTTATTTTTGTTTCAACCACTTGATTTAAGAAAAAAAACATGCAATTTAATTTAAATGATTTGATTGTTCTTATTTAAATTTGTCGAAAGAGTATGCTAAGTAAGACCGTGGTTGTGTGAGGGTCGAATGCAAATGAACGTACGTTCGCTCCTTCGGTGCCCTTTTATAGCAACAGGTAAATCAAATGGAAATGGATTCAACAATGGAAAATCGTTATATGTTTGCATTGGTGATACAAAGTAAAACGCGCGCGATTTAAAATGGAACAATTGCAATTGAACTATACTTACATTATATAATAATTATATATCCTTTTTTGGTTTCTCTTTTAAATGTTTATTGGATGCGTTACAAAATTATGAGAAAACACTTTAAGATTTGTTTACTGTTCGTTAGTTTGTTGTTTATTCAAAATATTATGTAATAATATTCGATAAATTTTTGAATTTCTCTTCGTTAATTGAAAAAAAAAAAAAAATAAGAACAAAGCGTATGTTTAAGTTCATACAAAGTTACAAAGTTTTCTTTAGAACAAAAACTAAAGGAACGGAAGACCAGAGTAATATGTGCGCTTCACTCAAAATATGATTTACGATTGAGTCATTAAATCACACATTTGCAAATATTTATACATCGCATTTCGTGTCGCATTCAGTTCAGTTTGTCGCAAGATATTTTTTTTGCGTTTAAATTTTTTTTGTTCGTTTTCCGATTTCTCACTCAAACACACATATATGCACAATGGCGAGAGCCAATACATTATCAGTTGCAAATACGCGTACGATCACATTCTGTTTCACTCTCTTAATTAGATGATAATGGGGCTGTATCTGGAAAAATGGTGAAAAAACTAACTTACGAGCACATCGTTTAAATGCTTATTTAGAGTGTTCATGTAAATGTGGGCTGTTACAAAGTAACAGAGTATGCAATCCTTTCAGTTGTTGGCTCCCTTCTTTTTCAAAAAACGATTACAATTAGAGATTTTGAACGAGAGAATGAGAGAAATATGGAGATAGAAATGAGTCACAACAAAGAGCAATAATCGTATAAATTCAATTGGCTGTTTGCATGGATCAACAATGGGGTGTGATTTTGCACATGGCACCAATAAACGAGAAATTCAAGAGAATTCATTAATTCAATTCTTTTTACGCTTTTTCATCAAAGAAATGCGCTCGACATTGTAAAAACGCAACCGGCTAAGCCTATGAAGAGACAAAATGCGAATTCCCCTCATCTGTGCCATCTTGTATTCCATAGTTGAACTCAATTTAGTTACAATGAATTGAATCGAAAAAGAGAAAAAAAACAACAACAGTAACATGGCTACATAGATCTGTTGACCAGTGAGATACGTATAGCAATGGAATGAAAGAATGAAGAAAGCGTATATGTGTATGTATGCATCAGCACGCATAGATGTACAGCTCTGTGTGGCCGTGCTATTGTTGTTGTTTTTTCACTTTTTCATTTCAATGCTACAGAATTAAATTCAGTTTTTGCATCTAATTCACACTAAAATCAGATGGCGCTCATTAGCGAGATTCGCAAAAAAAAGTCTCCAATCTCATACAAATATACACCGGCTGTAAAAACGTAAACATTAACGATAATGATTGATAGTATACAATCGCCTCGGAATGAATATAATTATGATGCATCCAAATGACGATGAAAAAAACCAAATGGATTTATTTTATTGAAATTAAATTATTTAATTTTATTTTATCAAACATTTTGAAATATTTCCAAATGTCAAAAACTTAAAAATTATTCCGAAATTGAATCAAATTCTCTGAATTTTTGTCATATCATTCTTTTAATTTTTGAATTAATATTCCTCTATCAATCGAGTGAATATCAGCCTTATCATAAATCACGTTTTTTTATTATTTTGTAAAAATAGTCCAATATGTCATCATCACATGATTAAAGCAAAAATATTTGAATTGCGATAATTAGCAATAGTATTCTTCTAGCGTAAAATGTATGTATGTGTGTGTGTTTCTTTCATTCAACTATTTACTACGATGAATTTTTACTAATTAAAATTTGATTGCTGAAAGTCATAATGAGTAGCTATATCCGTTTCTTTTCGATTTTCCTGCTGTAGGTTTTTTTTTGTGGTTGTGTGTGCCATCGCCTCTTGCTCGCGTGATATTTGTCGCGAAATAATTTGTGAACGAAAAGCATGATCACTTTCTTAAAAAACGTGTCCATTTTTTGTGTCGTTGTTAACCCTAAAACCGTCCATCGGGCCCGAGCAAAATTTCAAACTAAAATTAAACCATTTTTTTTTTCATCAAACATCACTAAACCCCGAGTTCCTACTCAAAAATATAAAATATGCATCTATTCATGCCATGGTTCTCGAAAAAACGGCCGGCAAAAAAAAGATGGTCATTTCGTCTTTGGGGCACTCAGAAAATTGCTGAATTCAAATGAGAATAATAATTTATTATAAACCAATTCTGCCGAAATTATGATTTGCATTGAATTGCTTCGATTTACTTTTACATATACACAACAAACATGTCTCGTGTTCAATTCATTTTTTTATTCATTTATATGTGAATTTCCATACTCAGATAAATTTAACAGAGAAAACTTAATGGCAAACAGTGTAAAATGCCATTTTGAAAATGAAACTGGTCGAATTCATAGGCACCGCAAAAATTTGTTCAGCCAATATTTTTTTTTATTTCGTCAGCACAATATACAAAACGTAGCTGCCGACCCGATGCGCACATTTATGTCTTTAGTTTACGATTAGACACAAGATTTCTCGAAATATCGAAAAAAAAATCCAAAAAAATCATCATTTTTAATTTTTTTTAATATAAAATACACTACGGGCACTGAGTGCCCCCAAAGACGAGATTAAGGTGGATTGCAGAAGGACGGTTTTAGGGTTAAAGTTGGCTATAGTAAAGCATACATGAATAATGAAAGAACAATGTAAACTTAATATTTTGCAACGATGTTCCTCTGCCTTGATTATGTCTCGCGTGATCTTTCACATCACATTTATTTTTCTGTACACGAGTCATGTCGTTGGCCTCAACCGGTTATATAACACAATATGGGCCAGATTTTTTTCTTTTTCGTATTTTTTTTTTAATTTTCGTTTCTTTCATTTCAATAAAATAAATTTCATCATCATCGAATAATCTGAAATCGAGTTGTTGTCGTCTCATGTCAAGATTCAAGGTTATGTTGAAAATTATTCACCACTATGTTAAATTCATTCGGTTGAAAAGTAATGGCGCCACAAACTACACTGCATTTAATAAATTTGGCATGAAAATGAAGGCTATCTCGATTTCAGATCATAAAGGACACACTCAATCATATACATAAACAAAAAACCAAAATTGAGTGCTATCTCTCTATGTGGACGATATGCATATAAATATTTTATTGTATACAAAATCGAAAAATTGAAAGCGATCAATGTGTATATTGAGCAAATGAAAGGCGCCGAACTGGCTGTTGAGAACCATTCAATGTTTATTTAATAAAATGGATTTTCAATTGAATGAAGAAAAAAATATTTACACACAGAGAGAGAAAGATAGAAGATAGTCTCTGGCAAGTACGCATCAATCCAAAATCGTTTACATTCTGTCTGTGGAGCACACATTCCTCAGCAAATCAATTTCGATCGAAAATAAATTTGCTTTATTGATCGTTCATTTGGCGGTCTCCAATAATTGTACATGCATTCTTAATTGCACAAACCAAATGCCGCAGATAAATTAGCTTGACACGAGCGCGTCGCTTCATTTATTTTTTTTTTCTTCTTCTTCTTTATTTTAGTTGAAATGATGCCTCACACGAAACATCTATCACTATCAATACAACGTTGAAATAAAAACAACAGAAAATGAATAAAATCGCCGATTTACGCAATCACCAGAAACAAAATATTGCTACAATTATAAGCGCATCACACCGGAATCGCAATACAAAAACATAACAGGGAAATGTGTTGTTTTTACAATTCATTTCAGCTCATTGATTAAAATTGAATCGAACACTGTCAATGAATCATATACATGTAGTAGAATATAGTTTGTGCTATTTTCAATAAATAGACGAATACCAATTGGACGACGAAATTCGAATATTCTGGCTATTTCATGTGGAAAAAATTAACCATGAATATGGCCTAGCGGAAGGAAAAAAAAATGACGCGTGAAATGTTTATCAATGGGAGAGACATCAATCAAACCGATTTGCGCCTCAAACGAAAAGCGAGAAATCTCAAAAGAGCTTGTGTTACGGCCTCCGGCCTCCGTCATCGCCACAACAACGTAACATCGTATGCACAAACATACTATCAATTACAGAACGTAGACCGTGCCTAGTAGACAATTCACTATACAATTCTTTTCTTTTTGTTTGAATGAAAATCGTCAATCGGTCAATTGGAGAAATAGATCAATTACACGATACAGAGTATTTACTACGATGGCGCCAAATATGAGTGCAATTTTGTTGCATAGCCAATGCACGTGTATAGAACATATTGTTCTCATTGATCTCATAGTACTAACACACATAGGTACAGACGTTGGCAAGCCCCTTTTGAGGAATGTTTTGTTTGGTGTCCTTGCCGTTGATAAAATACTATATGATACAATCTAAACTTGTGCGGTTGTCATACATATTATTGTGTTGTCATAAATCAGTTAAATCATTTTCGAACATATTTCAGAGTCGCAAATTGAAAAATGTTTGCGTCACATCGAGCTTTGACATCCAAATCAATTGATTGAATGAAATGATTCGAATTGATTTGGTTCGCCAACAAATCAAAACAAATTCATAGAAACGAATCATTGATTTTTCATTAAATGCAAACCATCATTTTGTCATTTATTCTCTCTCCCTTTCTCCAATATTTGACAACTAACTTAAGTTACACTTAATTGAATATTCCGTATATGTGCAAGTTTCGATCGAATGTTTTGGAAGAATATTTGATGAGATTTCAATGCTATCAATTCAATCTATTTATAGGAATTTTCGAGATACGTAATATGTACGCCAAATATCATTCGATCATTGTTTTGGTAAAAGAAATAATCAAATTAGAGATTTTACGAGAACAGACTGGTGACAAAACGGCTACTCTGAATCGTTTTCTGTTGTAAAATAAGTCAATGATCACATCAAATTACCTCTTATCATCAATTTTTGCCATTTTTTTCCTTTTAATAAGACATTTTTAGTTGGGTACAGATAACGGTTGCGCAATTCATGCAGAGAAAAATGCTAGGGGCGTATTACTGATTAAGTTTTTACAAGTTTACATAAAATGTCAACCTTTCCACGAGTTTTATCCTTTTGTCACGCTTCACAGACCCAGTTTTTGATGTTATGAATGTATGAAACTGGCCGCCATGTTTGTTCGGTCTGTTTTTCTGTCAAATGAAAAACGCCAAAAAACAGACCGAATTCAAAAAAAGAGCCCGATTTAAAGAAAAAAGATATTTAACAGGATATTTATGTTCAGATACTATACTACTTTTAACTATTTTTAACTTATTTTATTTATAATTGACGAATATTTATTCTTCTTTTTTTCCTTTTGTTAATTTTCAGATTTCTTTAATTTCTATTTAGAAACAACTTGTGTTATTTTTCTAGTTATTCAATTGTCTAAGAAAGAAATATAGAAATTAAAAAAAAAAGAAAAATATAAATTCATTCGTCAAATAAATTGATACTAAAATATAATATCTGAACATAAATCAAATATCTTTTTTCCAAAATCGGGCTCTTTTTTTGAATTCGGTCTGTTTTTTTGGCGTTTATTATTTGACAGAAAAACAGAACGAATGAACATGGCGGCGAGTTTCATTCATGATTTATGGTGCAAGTATGGTGAGTATTTGCAATTTATTTCAAGTTTACGAAAGTTTTGAATATTTAAAACAAGTTAAAGTACAAAATGTGTGAGTAAACAAGTAGTAATACGCCCCTAGAAAAAATGCTTTCGCATTTGATGATAGTTTTTATGAATGCACGTCTAATCAAAACTCTTACACATTCATTAAATAAAACCAATCCAAATTAAAGTTGTACACATGGCAATTGATGTTTTAACCCGAGAATGAGAATTTGGGGTCTAACTAGGATGAAAATAATTGATATTTTTAATCATACATCGATCATAATCACTTCGTCATAATCATTTCAAATTGGCATCGCCTGAATTTCATCTGAAATTCATTTGAATTGATACACATTTAATATATGGTTTGAAAAAAACAAGAATAGTCTTTTTTCAATGCTATCATCGTCATGTAATTCCAAATTAAAATTGAAATAATCAAAAAATGAGTCAAATCCTCTGCAATATTCCCATTAGTCATCAAAAAATCAAACCACTTTGAAAAATTTATCAAGTGCTTTTTCATTAACATTGCTCTAAACAAAGTTGGTTACGAATCTATCAGACTCATTACATTGCTTTCTGCTTGATGTCTATGGTAGGTAGATTAGCCTTGAAAATTTCGCGTAAAAACCATTTTTTTGCAACCATTCTCGGGTTAACGACGGTTAGGTATAGTTTTTTTTTCATATTTGAGAGATTTGAAATTGTCCTCAAATGACCTCTAACGTTGAACATCTCACATTTTCTTCAAATGAAAGGAAGTCGAAATCTTTATTTTGGATGACATACTCATTGGTTCATTTGAATTCAAATAACAAACAATAAGATAAAGTGTCGATTCTACTGTATGTCACAGAGATTAAAGAGAAAACAACACCAATCAAGTCATATATAGGTATGATCGAGTACATTGATTTAATATCAACAATCGGCTGGAGGTAAGGCACATCCATTGAGTGATAAGAATGAAATAGCTGCTATACCGGTGCGGTAAATGACATTTTCAACAGAAAATTAAACGTTTTTATTTACTTTTTAAACAAAAATTCACATTATCGCAGACTCAATAAACTTTTTACTGAAAATTGTTATTGAAATCAAAAGTCAAATCATAATTTTGCAAAGCTAATACCAATATTAGCTATTTTCATAAACAATTTTTAATCTTATTGGCGACAGATAATACAAAAATAAAATTAATTCATAAGTCATCGTCGTCCGGTGAAAATCAAAATAAAACTGAAATACAGTAAAACCTTGCAATAGGGAAATTTTTTAGATTTTATTAATATTTGAATCTTTATAAATTCATTCTATTCTTCGCTAAGTTTCATACATTTCATTGGGGATATTTTACACCTTATATATACACGACTTATTGTCAATTTACAATGCAAGTGTTTTGAAATGAAATATTTGCTTGAAAATTGGAAATCCCTGACATTCGAAAGTTCTACAAATCGGTACTATACGCGCATTGTATCAATACCGTTGTATGCTTTGAGATTCAAACAAAAACGGCAACACATTTGAGTGAGTTTGAATGAGACTGAAAGACTAATAGGAGAAATAAATTGTAAAATGTTAACGTAATAAATGAACAATTTTATTGGAAACTATGCATATAATCAACTTTCCATTGACACGAAAATTACCACCGAAATGGGTGAAAACGTTACATTTTTCAACGTTAAAATAGATAAAAAACGTTACATTTTTGTTTGCTGGGTATGGAATGGGAGTGCAGCTGCAATAGACGCAATTAACATGATATTGAATACTGTCTGTCGGAAAACGTTGTAATGATACGCTGATAATAAGGTTACGTTTGCAAAATTCGATTGGCCAAAGAAGTACACCGCCATCCATATCAAAGTAAATAATAATAAATAAAACGCCGAATCTTATGATCTAGTCTTGAGTCAAAAAATGAATGAATACGAAAAAGTCATTGAGTAAATTGGCGATGGAATTGTTTACTGAACAATTTTTGCACATTATGGGCGAAATTTGTCAAAAAACCACACTAAAAATACAGTATTTTTTTCTAATGAATTAATAAATTAGACCATAGCATATGTTTATTGCGTCAAATGCTCTTACAAGAATAGAATGTGGAAAAAACCACTTTTGACGCATTAAATGGACGTTTTAAATTCGGAGGAGAAAAAAGTACTGTGCTTTTTTATCAATTCAATCTTTCGCAGTTGACGCACGAATTTTCTGTTCCAAATTTAATTCGGCAAAAAATCTCCAAACGCCTCATACATTTTCAAATTGTTCAACAAAAACAATTTATTCATTTTTTTTGTCTCTGTTGTAATAAGCCTGAGTATCGATGTACAATCAACAATTGCTATATTTACTTTTTATTTGATTGCCGTTTCCATTTCTGTGGCTTTTGCAACACACACACACGCATATTCCACAAGTTTGTGTGCACAAATTTGACTTTGCATAAATTTTTTATTCACTTAAAATGGAATAACCTTTTTTCTGGCATTACGTTGGTCTGGGGATGTGCAAACGCTTGCAATGAGCATTTACACATCCTCCGTATATATCATATTGCTACCTGCTTTTGTGCCCGCATAATTTTCCCTTTCTATTTACTCTATCTTATACAAATATCGTTGTTGTGACATTTTTTTTTTCATTGCCTTTGTTCAAATACACAATTTTCAAATTTCTATTTCTATTTTTCCGACATCTTCAATAACTGATTTGCATATAAATGCGTTTTCTATTTGGATTTCTGCTATTTTCCATAACAACTCGAATCAAAACAGTTCGAATTTAATGGCATTTTAATAATAATTGCATTACCACTATTGAATAAATGTTATAGAAATCGTTTACATCACGTTTTAATAAACAAAGCAAAGTTGCTCTTTATTCCAAATGACAAACTACCTATTGAAATATGTCACATGGCCTGAGCTCACCTGCTATTTGTATGAAAGTTAAAAAGTGAAGGATGAAAGTAATAAGATTTTTTAGTTTTTATTCTTTTTATGTCTCCCTTTCACTCTCGTGTAAATCGCGACTGGGATCAGGCACGTGAGATATTTCAAAGACTAAATCATGACATAAAATCACTTCTTAGTCATAGAATCGAAGAATTTTTTTTTAAATTGTTAATGTATTAACTAAAATTGGATTTAATTACAGTTTTTTTTTTCAAATTTGTCGCATGAGATGCTTGAAAATAATTTCAAATATCGTTATTTCAAACGACTCCCGTAACATACAATCGCGCTTAAAAACAAGCACTTGCTCTTATTTTTTCGCTTATCCATATACTCTATGTTACAAAAAAGTAAGAGCAGTGGTACACAGTGGGCTGTCAATTTTAATTAAATTTAATTAATAAATTCGAGTTTTGTAATTATTTACATTTCTTCCAAAAATGCAGTCTGAAAGATTTTGTCGAAGGAGTCGAAATTACCTCGATTGGTTCTCCAATCCAAAATTGAGAAAAATAAAAAAAACTCCCCAAATTTTTTCAAAAACTCCTAGCATAATCGTAAAATTTCAAAAACGGTCCGAAAACTGTAGAGAAATTGAAAAAATGTCTAAGTCTTAAAGAGGGGTTAAAAAATCCCTTGAATCTAATGATTACTTGACTTTACCCCCTTACATTTTCGAACAGCTTTGAAATTATCCCTTTGACATTTTTCTTAAATTAACTGAATTCACGCATACTTTATGACAGTGAAAACGTTTTCGCGTATAAGATCGCATGAAATGTGAGATAAAATAAAGTTGAAAAAAAAAAAACATGAAAACTATAGCAAAAAACTGCAAACCAAAAAATGCAATTTAAACAAGAAATTCCATAGTAAAAATTAAATTACCAGTATTGGTGTAATTGATTATAAAAAAATATGAATTCGTTTATTACATAATTTTTGTTTTCGTACAGACAGACAAAAAGCTGTGAAGCTTACTCGACGTATACATTAAACGCACCCATCTTGAATTAACGTCTGTCGTGTATTGAGCGGTATTGAAGAATGACAAGCCACCATGTTTCTTATCTGAGCGTAATTTTTTTTGGTTTGTTATTGAAAGTCGAATGCTTCCAAGACAATTTATCAAACGGAACGTTTAAAATTAAAAGAAAACTCGTCGGTTTGTATAACTTTCCGTTAATTCTGGTCATATTGTAGAGTTGACAAAAAAAAAGTTATTTTCATAATTCGTGTGGAACACGTCTATTGCTATTTCTTTTCGTAACATCGATTCTATTTGAAGCACGCATAAACGGAATTGAAATTATAATGACAACCTATGCACAGGACCGTGACGGTAATTTGATAAATTTTGGTGAATTTAAATTCACTTTGGTGTTTTGTTAAAGTTTTTGTTTCAATGTACTTTGTTTTCCGGGTGACGTATGCATTGTTTGAATAAATTTGTCATTTGTTGTATATGTCATTGATGATTTTTCTTTTTGTGTTTGTCAATTGTAGGAAAGTATATTCCAGCATCACAACGACCGGATGGAACTTGGCGAAAGGCACGTCGCGTTAAAGATGGTTATGTACCACAAGAAGAGGTGCCATTGTATGAAAGTAAAGGGAAATTGTTTATGAAAAAACCCGCATTGCCGGTTGGAATGTGCCCAATTGTTGCACAACAAACGAAAGAGAAACGCGAAAGACAACAACAACAACAACAACAACAGAAAATTAACCCAATACCCGGACTGTATGTCTTGCCAAACAGTAGCAATAACAACGATAATAATCAGAAAAAGAAGCAAAATGTCAAGGTGCCCAATGGTATAAGTGAAACGACATCAAAAAAATCCACACCAAAGCAAAAAACAACGGCCATCAACAATGCAAAAGTGAACGACATTGCCGCCAGCAGCAATGTCACACCATCAACATCGTCGTCAACATCATTATCAGCCAACAGCAATGCAACCGCATTGAGCGATGCCATTACAAATATGAAAATTACAACCGATGACGATCCAAACAAAACAATAAAAAAACTACGAAAAAAGATTAGGGAAATTGAAGCGATCGAATTAAAACAAAATAATGGTGAAAAAATTGACGCAGACCAAATCCAAAAACTCAGTCGAAAAGACGAAATACTGAAGCAACTGGAGCAGTTAGATTATAAATAATAGTAATTCATTGAAAACGAATAACGTACGCGTGCGTGTGCTCTCAAAAACATTGTCTTGTGTATCAAAACAAAAACTCACTCTCATTTTTGCTTTAGGTGCCATCCAACAAAACTCTATCCTTCCCATTAATAACATTAATTTATCAGATGGAGTTCATTTACCAATATTTTGTATCAGTAGAAAACAAAACAAAAGAAGAAAGAAAGAAGAAGAAAAAACATTGTATAAATCTATAAATTGTATCGGCGCATTTTAATGTCATTGGAAAAATTATCAAATGCAATTCAGAATCAACATTATCGCACCAAGATTTATATATATTTTATCGTATCAGTGTGTTTAAACACCGCAGGATTTACATTTACATACATATTTTGAGTATACAAAATTACAAATATTTTGAGAGAAAGAAAAAGAAAAAAAAAACAATTTAGATAAAGCAAATGTGTAAAATTTAACAAATTCATTCAAGTTTATGTACAATTTGTGATTTAAATTACATTATAATTTCAGATGGAAATTAAATAAAAAAGAAAGTAATAATAAACGTGTTCAACTTTCAGTTAACAGCATTTGTAAGGCATCGTAATGACATTCAAACCGATGTCCAATGTTTCAAACTGTTTGAATTTCTAGTGTTCCATAATGATAATGACCGGTGATGAGATGTTCCCATTTATTCAAAATAAATGGAATGATCATAATACAAACAATGTAGGCAATATAAGGCAGCGGTTTGGTTGTCCCAAAGGGCCAAAATGTAAATCCACGTCTTGTCGCATCTCGTGTATGATGAGTTAGAAATGCGCATACAATCATGACAAGCCATACATTTAAACGTGGCGAATTAAAATAGTTATACAATGGAATCATGAGAATCAATAGAATCAACGGAATCGTTGCGTAGTGTAAAAATGGTCTTCGATCAATTGCAACAGCTCTCTAAGAACAAATAAAATTGTTTCAGATTAATTTGTGTCAAACAATCAAATATTATCAATGAAAAAACAGACATCTTTTGATAACTACCGATAATTTGAAAGATTTCGCAACCAAAAAATGATCAACATCAATAAACGATGATGCGAACATAGTCATCACAATGAGAGAGATTCGCTCAATTTCGGGCAGTCGATGGTGATTTTTTTCTAAAATCATAATTAAAGCACCCAACAAACCAACCATTGTGTGTGTCGCATTATCACAAATTGCTTTTCGTATTGCTGATTCCTTGTTCAATTCCACCAAAAAATCACCAAGTATGCAAACGCCACCATTTGAAAGGGTCAGCACCAGGCTCGTCCGAATCAGCTTCATAACTAAATATACGTCACCGTTAAAAACATTTCGATAATAATCGTGTTGTGGCTCTTGTGGTTTTTATTTTGTCTCCGTTTGGTCGTCAGTTTGATAAGTGAACAATTAATTTGACATGTAAGCGAAATGTCAACGGTCATTGAATATAGTTGTAGAAACGGCGCAATTTTTTCAAAATGAATTTTTTCATGTCATCCAATGAAACGGAGTATTCAAATAAGTTACTGTTGTTCAACGCTATAAAATATGACGCGATTTACTTTTAAAATGAACAATTTGACATTTAATAAAGCATATTTTCTCAAATTATTGACATAAAACATGGTTGAAAATTCAATATAATTGATGATTTTATGTGACAATATCGACATCCGTCTAATGACTATATGGTATAATTTTGGTTTGTCTTTTTTTCTTGTGATAAATGAAAATGACTTTTGGCAAACGATACCACAGCCTAGGAGGTCTAACACAAAGTGCTAATTCGTACTATAATTTTTCTAACACCAATTTTCAATGTATATATGATGTGTGCCAATATTAACATACGTCAACGTAATATTTGTTGGCATTTCAATGATTGTTTCTCGGTTTTTTTTCCTACTTATTTTTCGGTGTGCTTTATGCTATATTCTGTTGAGTTTTTCTTTTTCAATGTGGTCCGTTTGATCCGTTCTAGGGATTAATTTGAAAATTTCCCGTCTAAATATATAACATCGGCTAGCATTTTACGTTACAAACAAATTTCGAATTAAGTTTATGACGGACTCTCTGTACTGAAATCGGTGTATGATGTGGCCGATCTTCTGCACATTTTGGCCGCTTTATATGTTTGTTTTTATTTGAGAGTGAGAACATGAGAGATTGTGTGTGCGTATGGGTTTTAATATTTTCTTTTTTCCGCAACACATTTCACGAATCTAATGGTTTTCTGACGGCGGTATTCATTTTTTTCAGAATAATATCGCCCAAACAAAAACCACCAAATAAAATATTGAATCTTTTGAGCAAAAATAATCTTCATTTTAGAGTGCTTTTGGTAACTGTAGCGTACGCTTGAACATATTTTTTTTGTGTACAAATATTTTTGCGCTCTTGTTTGCTGTTGCCCTGACACAAAAAAAAACACATATTTGTTCCCTTTATTCTTGATTGTAAATTTGCATATTTTTCGGAGTTATTGCTCAAGAGTGAACGATCAAATACGGTCTTGTTTGTCGTGACATTTTCCTTCATCGAATAACCCGAGAAATAGTTGAGCCAATTAGTACGAGACGCGTTCTCAATCAAATAGAAGAAGAGACGAAATAAAAAAAATCAATTGTATCGCATAAAAAGATCGACACTTTTATTGTTGTTGCTAAAAAGTGAGTGGAATCAAATGTATAGAATTAGACGATGGAATATTATGAATGAGAATAAATAATAATAATAATATAAATAATATCAATAGTGTAAATATTGACTATTATCATATATTTGAAATATTTTTATTCTTAATGACTGAACATGATGCTGAGTATTGTAGCATCGACACGAATTGATTACGAATTTTAAAATGATCACAAAATTTGAAATAAGAAAGAGAGACAGCATCAAATTAATAGAGCATAATTAAGACTGTTAAGACACTTGCATCATAAATTTGAGAATAATGACTTAGCCGTAAATACGCGACAGGATTAAATCGACCAGATTGATAGAGCCAATACTTTGTCAAGGCAAATATTTATTTTGCGAATCCTTCTTCTTCTTCGTTCCTTTATTTAGGTTTGTTTGTGTGTTTGTTATTTTTCAAAAGATGAAAAATATCGCATCATTTTTCTAAGCGATCTTGTGTGTTTTTTGCACGTACGTGGTTCATCCATCTTTGCTTTTTTCTCGACACTTGTTTATTTGGTCTACGCCATAAATGCGTGTGACATGTTTATTTCAAACTTTTATTTTTCATCTCACACCAATGTTGGTCTCAATGTATGTTTTTCCCCTTCTCTCTTTCTTACCTCATTTCAAAAAATGTGATCATCATGTTTTGAACGAAATTCGCTTGATATCTTCTTGACACTTCTCATGTTTCATTTTGAAAACAACAAATATAAACTTTGATTTGTTTCTGTTTGATCGAAATAAACATTGTAATAATGCATGCAAATGAACTTGCCGCTTTGAACGGCAAAAGTTCATTTCTTCTCTCTCTCCGTTGGAACCAAACATCTATCACAATTTGAGTGTTAAACTTTTTTTTCCTCGTTTCTTTTTTCTTTTCATTTCGGTTGAAATGCTGTATGCATGTATAAACATGGGGCATATACCGTTGGTATATTCATGATCGAACATTGTATGTGTGCGCTTTGCAAATTGATGCATGCAATCCACCGAAAATGTAAAGTGAATGTGATCCTTCTTTATAAATTCAGAGGAACGAACAAATGTTCTATTTTTAATATGCATTTTAAGAAATTGTGAATAAGCTGACACATTTGCATCGAATACATTTACACCAAAAAAGAATGCGAACGATTAAAAAAAACACCATACACTCACAATTGTACGCTTATATTCGTCATTAGATTTTCCGACATATGATATGTATAGTATATTTTGTGTCAGTTCGGACCGGGTGAAAATAAAAAGGAAATAAGAAGAAAAAGAAAATAGAAAGAAAAAAACAATCTACCGCAACGTGTGAGCTGCAGAGAAAATAAAACAATAATAAAGAAGATATAACGCACACATTTCAGCACATTGTGATCGTGGATAAGTGTGTGACGCGCTAAGAATTAACTCGCACAAGAACGAACATTTGAATTTGGGCGATTTTCAAACGATGAACAAATAAAAATTTTTTTATATGTGAACAGATGTAACATTTAATACATAGAAGATGACTGTTTATATCGAATTAGAGTCTAAACATTGTACGTTGCCACCACGGTCGTCGTCGTCATCGTCGCATCAGTAACACAGTAGTTTGAGTTTCAAATCTTTCTCAATTTATCGAAAGTCAAATGATGATTACATCTGCTCTGCGAAATTCGGTGATTGGTGTGTATCGTAATAGCCCCACGAGTTCACACATTCTCTCTTTCTTTTTCTCTCTCTCTCTCTCTCTCTCGTCCGAATTTTCACGTACATAATTCGATATAACTACATAAAGACATATTCAGATGAAATTCAAATGTAACGAGATCGTGAGATTGCTCGCGCGCGTTCCACAACACAACACAAATAGTAAACATAAATCGCGAGTCCTATTTTTGCCAGAGAATCATTACTTCGACCGTATCTAACTTAGAAATTGTAACAAAATTCAGAGAATGGGAGAGCAAAAAATAGAAAAAGTTATCAGCCAGACCCGAATGTAAACAATTTGATTTGCATCATATCAAATCGTTGCGAAACTTTAAATCGTAAACTTTAAAACGCAGCAAATACACCGTCCGGCCAATCAATTGATCGGTTTCAGTTTCTCGTCTCGATGCAAAAACTTTGTATACATTGTACTCAATAGTTTTGTGTTTTTTTTCTGTTGCCACACAAAAATTGGACAACATTTTTATCGTGGCTAAAAAACACTAATTAGTAGTTCTGTGGAAAAAACGATCGCCAATAAAATTGTGCATCATATTTTAAGATTCGCGTTCACGTTCTCGCACAGTTCTAGACTTTTTTATCGTTCACGTTGCAATTTCACCAACCAAATTGGATGCTCAAGTGTTTAACCACTTAATAGAGCAATTATATCGTATTTAATATCTCGTCACTTTGCTTAGTTTGATGTTGAAGTAACTTTTTTTTTAAACGTGTGTGTCTTTTTTTAGAGGTACTCGATAGAAATTGTGCATAAGATATACGTTTGTGTTTCATATGACTAATACGCTGAAAAGACATTTGTGGAAGTCGATTTCAAATGGTCGGTGTTTGCGAACAAGTGTAGCATCTCATTAAAATAAATTGAGGTAGCAGCAAAAGTGAAAAAGAGTGAAATAGACATAGACTCGAGAGAACGAAATAGAGAGAAGAAAAAGCAGAGCACACGAAACGAAATGGATAATAAAAATTAGAGAAGATAGCGGTGAATGAAAACGAATAATTCACATACAAAGCGACACAGCCAGCGAAAGAAAGCGAAAAGTGTTTATACCAGAGTGAGAAGAAATTAAATAGACGAAAACATCGCTCAGTATCAATAAGCTTGAATTCAGATTTTCGCCAGTTCACTTTCTGATGTGCATATAACTGATTATAGCAACAGGAATCAAGGAGTTTTTTGGTTGTTCGTATCTATGCCGGAGAATTTGTGCGACTTCTAACGATTGAATGAAACGACCAGTCTGTAATTATCATCCATGTCAGTGCTATGATCATCTGAGCGAATCAAAAATTCAACAATTTTACCTCAAACAAAACTCGCGCAAAAAGCATATTTAGTTCTTTGTTGTTGTTGTTGTTGTTACAATCATCTTAAATAACTTATTAAATTGTCTCATCATTTGCTCGCTATTTATACAAATAAATGAGCGGAATACGGCAGCAATTGAAGGTGATATTTGCTATTTATTTTGCCTATTTGGTTTCCTCAAAATGTTGTTTTCTGTCTTTCTTTTCGTAGTGTGCTTTTTTTATCTCGTGCATTTAATGCTCACAGACGGTAAAAATTACGTTGTTAATTAATTCCATTTGTTAATGATGCAATGCACTTCTGTTGTATTTCTCATCTAAAGTAGTCGATCTTCGACATGCACAATATAATTTACATTGTATTAAGAGAGTGGGTGTGTGAATGTAAAATATAGTATGAACATCATCTAAATACGATTATAATTGCCATTTGATTGATTTATCTGTCTGATTTTGTTCATTTTCTTTCGAAATTAATTTACGGATTATAATTATACTATTGCTACAGCGACACGGTTATTGCAACAACATTCAGAGTGTGTTAATTTTTATAGCATTTTTGTGTCATCACCTGCGCACTTTTACGATTTTCGTCAAATATTCAGTAAACATTTACAAAGAGGAAAAAAAATATATAGAGACATGTTTCTAGCTCGTATTGAATGGATGAGCCCAAATTGGTGGGCAACACAAAAATAAAATGATTTTTCGTCATTTTTCATTGAATGTGATAGCGAATGAGATGTGAAATAAATGCATTTGTGCAAGTCAAACAGCTCTTCTTAGAACATATATGACACTACGTAGAAAATGTATTTTCGAACAAAAAAATAATAATAAATAAAAATACACACAAATGAATTTCTTAGGCCTGTGTTTTTGTTTCATTTGCGTTGAAAGCATTTAAAAGCGAAAGTTTACAAAAAGCAAATGCCAACCACACTTAAATCGAAAGGAAGAGAGACAATCATCGACGAGAATGAAAATGAATTTTACGAAAATGTTTGTCTCGAACTGAACACATTTGTTTGTTACTCCAAACAATTTGTCGTACGCCGATTGGTGTGACTTTGTTCGCCCAAATAAGCTTACATACGTTTCAAAGGCAACAGTTTGCCAAATATTCATCATACTTATTGTTCAATTATAGAAAATATATTCTACTATCAAAAAATACAGAAATACAATGGCAGGCCATGTGATCTATTCAAAAAGCAATATTTAAATCGTCAATTATTTTGGTAATTTTACTGTTCTGATCTAACATGGCAAATTTATACAGGTTGTGATGCCAATAATATTGACGGTTCATTAGATCACGATCTCATGATGTGTTCAAGCGACAATTGCTTAATGTGAAACGTAGTTAATTTCATTAAGCAACTCCATAAGTGTAGTTTGGGAGTTAATTACATTTTGGGGGTCACTTTGAAAAATACACTGCCAATCTTTGTCCATAAAGCTTAGTGTGAAACGTGCGACCGTACTACTAGGAGAACCGAATTACTGTTTTAATAAATTAAGAATTTTAAAGGTTGATAGTCACTTAAAACATTTATTTTGATTTTTTATAATTGTATTGAATTCAGTTCCCAAAAATTTACTTTTTCACAACTTTTCTTTATAAGGGCCAAGCTTCAATAATTTCTCAAGATATGTTTTAACGGATTGACATTTAAAATTCTTATTTCATTTCGAAAAAGTAGTTTGTTTATCTCTCAGTAGTACGATCTCATGTTTCACATTAAGCCCAACGGCCACAGACTGGCAGTGTATATTTTCATTTCGTTCGTCATTTTATTCAACTAATTTTACCATCGTCAAAAAGAAAATACAAAGAAAAAATAGTAATGTGTCACCGTTTTAATTGGCTATTTTTACATTACCTAAACGGATAATGATCAATAAATTTGAATTTATATAAATATATTTGCAACTTAATTTACGGAAATGCATTTGCCAAACACACATTTCTTAAAAATCATTGACAACCATCATTTTCGTTGGTCAACGGTAAAAAAAATAGATATGAAGTCTAACATAAATTCGAAATTATTGGTTGATGTCTTTTCGCAAGCTCTGTACTTGTTAGCACTTTTGCGGATAAACAAAAAACATCTCACATACAGCATTTTTTGCTGTCAAAATGATATGTATTATAGAAAATAATTTAAATTCGAAGAATTAAAAACAAATGATTTTCATTTGTGTGTTTCAGATGTTGGGCTCGGCTTTGATGGGGCGAAGACATAAGGTAAGTGTTAGAAAATTGGTTTTCACCCCGAATTCTAAACAAATACCAATGTCACTGACGAATATAATATATTGCGCATTTTTTTCATTTGCTCAGGATCATGTGAAGAAAAAGGGGTTTACGGAAGAAGAATTACACGGTTGGTAATTGTAAACATACTTTTCAATACTAAAAAAAAACAAACACCATACATGTTAATGATAAAAGAAAATCGCAAATATTTCAGTCATTAGTCGAGAACAGTTGGCGCGTAACCGCCTAATATTTCTAGTGTATGTATCTATAAGTGCGATAGTGACACGAGACAAGAGAACAAATTAAACGGAAACCATTACTACGACACCAACAACATCAAGAGACAGACTAATTACTATTTATTTCACAAGTTGCTTTTTCCACCGTCTTTGCTGTATCATCGCATCACATTCGATGATGTACTTGAATATGTCGAAAATTCCGATGAATATTAATAATATTCGGGTTTTTTTTCATATTGAATGAGATATATTTTTTTTCGTGGTGCTGCTTTTAAAAAGCCTACATGTAAATTATGGATACGAATGAATTTTCAAGGTGCGCTAAAATGTGTGCACAAAAGTTCCTCTCATTTCATTTGAACATTGGATGAGGAAAAAAGGCGTCTATGGTTTCATTTCTAATCACTCATTTTCGAATTTTGTTTGCTTTTATTCTGTTGGAGCAATTCTTTTTTTTTTATCGAATCCGAACATACGACCGAACGAAAAAAAAATCGCTATCATTTCTATAGAGCAAGCAACAGTTGAGTATGTTTTTTTGATGATAAGTGATATTACCTCAGATAAGAGACAGTTAATCAATTTGGGAAATACAAAAAAAGCTGAAAGAAAGAAAACCGTATCTCATATAATCGAGATAGCGTTGTTAAATAGCATTTGTTTTGACACGAAATTAGTCCCGCGCGATGACAAAGATTCAGTGCTTGAATTAATCACAAAAAACTGAAAAAAAAAACATTTTTCTTTTTATTCGAATTTTATTTATTCGATGAATTGAATGGAAAAAAGCAAACTGATTGACAATTCCTATTTAAAAAAACGTTTGTTTTCATTATCCAAACAAAAGTGTAGATTGCGCAATAGAAATGATTTTCAAAGAGAATGATATCCGTAAGTAAAATACGAAAAAAAGAAGAAAAAAAAACCGCCAAGAATTTATGCAATTTCCATTGAAAACAGTTTCGCTATGGCAATGCTTTTGTGTGGATTGTTTGATTGGCTGTTCAATAGACACCAAATAAAGAGCACAAAATGTTGATGTGACAATGAAAATGATTTGCTTGCGAAACACGTAGTTGAACTGTTCTAATTGTCGAATGATTGCATTTGCGGGTAACATTTTTCACAGTCGGTAAATCGTGGTTGAACAGACAAAATACTTGAATTTATCATATCATTGGAAAATAATCGAATCGCAACGTGTTTGCTGTAAATTTTAAGGATAATAAAACGGTCGTTTCTTTTATTTGTGTAGTACAATGGAATAAGTGCATAAATATAAGTCCTGATTGTGCGCACGTAATTACTTTCGTCCGTTATTATGCAAATACGTGTACTGTGCATATGTGTAGTTATCCATGTTGTAACGTGCCAAACTATATTGCCACAACAGCACATTGCGCTGCAAGACTTTCTGTACTTGATTCCTTTATTTTGTGTTTTTTTTTTATTTTTCATTTTTATGCAACATAGTTACTGTTGCTATATTACTCCATTTCAACACATCAATGTGGGAAAAACATCGACTTTAATTGTGTTTCAGCCGGCCAAATACTGTGTTATTTATTCATTCCACGACCATACATTACAAATATTAATTGTTTCAATCAAAATCAATGTGAATGTAGAAAAGTGTGATTTTTTGTAATCTCGTCTATTTTTTTTGCTTCTAATTGCTCTCAGTGCAGTCACGGTGTCTTTTTCAGTCTTTTTGATATTATTTTACGTGTCTTGTTAATACTCCGCATAATAATTATTTATATTCGCGCATTCGATTGTACGAATAAGAAATGCAAAATGAGCCACATACCAATTTCATTCGACCTCGATAGTGCGTATATCATGAAATATTTTATTTTAATATATATGTCTAATTATCCGAAGAGATGAGCGAACCGCCGTTATTTGAATTCTTGTTTTATTTCGTTTTTGTTTGAGTGTGTCGTCGATGTTTAAATTGCCGAATATTAATGCTTTCATCATATTATTTTTAAAATTAAACCTATATACATTATATTAACATGATAATTAAGTTCATTGAAATGGATCAATTTGGGTCTTATTTTGCAATAGAGTCATTCCAAACCATTAAACGTGACGCCATTCCAAACTAAGCCAATTCTCTTTTTTTGAACATTTTTGGGACCCAAAAAAATACAGTACGAGCGTCCCGAATGATCTGAGGCAAAGGATAATTTTAATGTGCGAAAAAAATAAATGCGAAAATTCATGTTAGTTAAAATATGCAAGAATGCGATCGAATCAAGTGAAACAGTAAACAAGCTTTTTTTAACAAACAAATGTCATATTCTTTTTTTTCTTACGCATTTCTAATACGCCAATTTTAGGCAATTGATTTTTTTCAGTTTCATAAATGTAGGGAAAGAATAGCTTATGAGAAATTCTAGTGTAAAGGTGTAATGTACATAAACAATAGGGTGGCCCAAATCTCACTATCTTGACGGATTGTTGTTCCCCGACCGGTTTTGTTAATTTTGGTCCAAAACTGAGTAACTGGCATCATTACATTGTTTAATGGCAGAAAAAACGGCCCGACCCCGAACATATCAAAAATACATTATTTTGCTCGTTTTCTTTACTTTCAAACCAAAAAAGTGTAAAAAGCAGATTATTTTGAAATCGTATGCGCCATCATTTCTAGGGTAATTTTTTGCGATGAATCCGAATCTGTCATTGAAAATACTCAAAACATAATTATTTGAAAGTAAAAAAAAACGAGCAAAATAAGGTATTTTTGATATGGTCGGGGTCGGGCCGTTTTTTCTGCCTTCAAACCGCTTTAAACAATTTAATGATGCCAGTTACTCAGTTTTGGACCAAAATTAACAAAACCGGTCGGGGAACAACAATCCGTCAAGATAGTGAGATTTGGGCTACCCTTATAAACAATGGCACAATTATTTCATGCATTAAATGTCTTATACAGAAATGATTGCAGTTTTGATCATAATGATGTATTTTGCATAATATATAGGTTTGCAATTTTCCAATTGATGTACATGCTTGAAGGTTTATTTTATCATTAAAAGAACCCCATTGCTGCATATTTTCCTTATAATCTAAGAATGCCATTGAGTGATTGTGTGCTTTTTCAACATGCATATTGCAACGTAATTTATGGCCAAGGAGCAGTGTGTGTGTGTCTGTGTGTGTTTGTCCGTTCTTCATTATAAAATCACATTGAAAATTTGTCAAATTAACGTGCTATCAAAAGCATCATGATATTATCGGAATGACGTAGAAACGTTGTCATTTGCATTAACACATACAATGCACTAGAAATATCTAGGTTTTTAAGTAATACATCACGTGGCATTTCTCGTGTTGTGTTCTCAAAGTTTTTCTTTCATTTCGAATGGAATTATTATTTCATGCTTTAAATAGATCAGAAATCATAAATAAATGTAACACAATTGTTTTTATTTCCTAGATCTACGAATAGCCTTCGATTTACTAGATCGAAACCAGGATGGGCGAGTTACAGCCGGTGAGCTTCAGTTTATGTTAAAAAATTTGGGCATCGTTGTTCGAGACGAATTAATTGACGATCTCATCAAAGAAGCTAGTCATGGTGGTAACACATAAACCTTAACCCATTGGTAAATTTAGTAACTTGCTAATGATTTGTGTGTATTTTTCTTAAATAGGTAATGGTTTGATGGACGAAAAGGAGTTTCGTCAATGGATATCAAGAATTCAATCACTCCAAGAAGAATCCACCCAAACACCGTCCACATCACAAACTGATACAGATGACGATGTTACAAAGGATTTAATAGCAGCGTTTCGGTGAGGATATACAACTCGATACGATCACTTAATGAATGCAAGAATGAAAATAAAATGAAAATTATGGGTTTATTACCACATAAAACAAAATAGGTTTTCCATCAAGAGCATACAAAACTATGTAAATGGCCAGCAAAACAATTTCAAGATTTTTGATTTGAATCGAAACTCTGAAAATTATCGCTACATTGAACATAATCATTAAATGTTAAAAATAGTCGCAAATCGCCGTCGGCTCTTTAATTTCGCATTTGGTTTAAGTAACGGTTTGAAATTGTTTGAAGGGTAGTGAGTTTTTTCCATCCCTCCTTTCTTCGACTGAGGCAACTCAGTGCGCACGCAATATGAGAAATCATTTACGGCATGTGATGAAACATAATTTTGAATTCTGATTTTTTTTTTCATATTTTCTTTGATTTTCGGCGTTTGTTATGATTAAGGGTTTTTGATCGCGATGGTAATGGATACATAACACGCGATGAGCTTCAAATAGCGATGGAAATGATGCAGGAAAATGTAACGGAGACGCAAGTTACTGAAATGCTACAATTAGCCGACCTTGATAAGGATGGAAAAATTAACTATGAAGGTAATAACATCAAAAGACCATCGTTTAGTCTTCATACTTTGGTTTCGAACGAATTCAAAGTCCATATGTGCGCAAAATATAAAAGAAAACAAAAAAAAACATTAAGAATTCTAACGAAACGATTCATTTCTATTTCACTTTCCAAACAGAATTTGTGCGATTATTACTCTGATCAATTGAACAATGAATTCTGACACAGTGTGCTGACTTACTCCTGATTATGTGGCAACCGGACACATTCTAAACGATTTTTTTTTAATTTATCAGGTTTTTATTATTATTGAATAAAAAAAATGATTGATTTGGTGAATAAGTTTAAAAAAGAACATGAATTAGATATAAGAAAATCGTTTTATGTTGTGTGCGATGTTTTTTTCTTCTCTTTTGAATTAAGACATTGTGTATTCAATTTTTATCCATATGATGATAAATAAGATTATTATATAGTGAAATGCTCCAGTCATGTGTACATGAATGTTTAAAAATAAATTGGTTCTAGTGCAACTAGTCAAATCAAATGTCTGTTTGTTTCAAATAACTTCAATTGTTTTGAGATATTTTCATCCAGTTATTTCATCTCATCTGCACGACGGATTTTTGGTCCATTTCTCTTTTGAAATCTCATTTCTTTTGCACACGGTCATCAACTGCCGTCAGCCAGATCACATGAAATATCTAGCTAACAATATCTTTGGTTTGTGATTTTTCCATTCACCAATGTTTTTCACCATTTTTTTTAGCAAAAAGTTCATAAATTCAGGTTACAGGGATATCCAAGCAACGATCATAGACTAAAAAGAATTACACGATTTGATGATACGCAATTAATCATCGAAATAAACGATTTAAACAAATATCGGTGTAATAAATTTCATCGTCGATAGAGTGTGCCAAAATGCAATATATTTAAATAGATTTATATTTGAAATTGAAACAGCTGTTAAAGATTGTTTTCCCTGCCAAATTATACCATCTATTAATTTTCGAAGACAGGTCGAATGCACATCAGCACTGATCAAAGAAATGCTAGTCAACATTTTTTGTGATTTAAAGTGTTTTGACCCTTGGATTTATTTTACTTGATTTCTATTACTATTGATGCGAATAATAAAGACTCATTGATTCTCAGATGCGTTCAAATGAAAAAAGTTTCTTTTATCGGCATTGCGTATCAGGTGATTTTTCGGACATACAATGTATATTGTCAAAGTCAAATTTCGAAGCGGGTCACGAGTGCAGTGGGCGCGACCTTATCACGAAATTGAAAAGTCACACAATTCTTTGTGCTTATCAATAAAGAATTTGTTTCGTAACACCGTTTCAAATATTGATTTCATTTTTAAAAGCAAAACCGTCATCGCGCTCATATAAGTATGCAATTTTATGAAATTATTTATGATCGAGATTTTCGATTTTTAGGTTAAATGACATTTATACATAATAGTCTCGATTATGATTTGCCAATATTGCCGAATAATAAACGATAAGAAATAGTACCAAAAGCTACCACCACAATAATAAGTGTGTACCGATGCGTGTTTGCACAAAGTTCATGTACTAAACGATAAAATGTCGATGGACACACACGACCACACAATGGAAAAATAAAAAAGAAAAAAAAAATCTAATATGAACATCGTATCGACAGCAGCCGAATACGAAATCCGAACTTATACCGATTTATGTTCTATCGTTCAATGTGCTAAAAGTGCGCATGGTTATATTATGGAATAGACGTAACTACGTTTTGTGTGAATCAACTGAAAGCGATAAAGGAAAAATCGGAAAAGAGCTTCGAAAAGAAAAAGAAACCGAAAAAAGAGATAGAAATACATAGACACACGTTTTGTAAAATTTTCAGTGGTGACAAACTAAAAAACCGCATTTTCGTTTAACCATCGAATTTTTCGTATAGTTTTTTTTTTCGTTTCTTCATCGATATTTTTTTTTCTTCGCTGCGAGATATTTTAATGGAGGAATCATTTGAAACACTTAGCAAACCGGATCCAACCGAAACTAATAACCCAGATAGCGGTATGTCGTCATTAGGAGGTAGCAAAACTGAAACACCGGAACGACTTGCTGAGCAACCTAAAATTGTATGTATATTTGCAATAATTTTAATTGTTTCGTTTATGATAAATGTCGATCATTGGTGATTTCAATGTTAATGCATTTACAGGAGGATGTTATTGATGAAACAGCTGAAGCCAGTAACACCGCCGTTGTCAAATCTACAAACTCTGATGTACCCAAGGAACCAAACTATGATGAAGTATGTATTTTGTGATTTTCAATTTGAAAATATCTCCAGCTTTGGAAACGAAAAATCGATTTATTGTATGCCATTTTTAATGTTATCACATGCTTCTCTCTCCGCCTCAGGAACCGGACGAATCGCTCAGCGAACGATTGTGGGGTTTGACTGAAATGTTTCCAGATTCTGTTCGACGAACATGCGAAAAAGTCACAGATATTTCAATAAAAAGTTCAAAAGCCCTGTATCACTTTTCATGTAATGCATCGTGGATATTCTTCACAAGTTCGATGATTTTGTTTGCACCAGTTTTATTCGAAACAGAAAGAGCTCAAATGGCCGAATTGGAGTTGTCACAAAAACAACGAGTATGTATAACAAAAAAAATGGTGCAAATGCATACGATTTATATTATGTAATGTGAATAAAAATTGAAACTTATATTTATTTGGTATGTCGTTTTAGGTTCTACTTGGTCCAGGTGCTGCAATGCCAGGTGGAGGGGCTGGTGGTATGCCTGCATTGCCACCCATGCAACGATAAAAGTTGAACATCCAGAGAAATAGAAATCAGAGAACAAAATACAGAAACATAAAATAATGGAAAATAATTTTCTTTATGTATAAAATAACAAAAGAAAAATGGAACATATAAAACATTTCGTCTCATAAAAAAGTTGAAGTTAAATAGCAAAACGAAATTAATTGCATTATTAGATCATTAAATCAGAATAAAAACATTCAAAATGGTTGTTTTATTTTCGTCAATTCAGACGCAAATGCACTGCAAATTGGAATAATATAAATGTATGAAAAGACCGAGCTGCATGTATTTGTTGATCTTTATTTATTTACCAAAAGCGGACGTGAAAACAAATTAAAATTATATAAATATTATGTTAGAGATGAGATGTTGGTGTTTCGATTTTTTGGGCTTTATTTCTTAGTTTGATACAAATATGAAATGGAACAGCAAACGAGTAATTATTGCCGGTAAACGCACATTATTATTATATATATCTATATATAGGGTAGAAAGAGTGATATATCGTTAAGAAAAGAACTGCTCCATTTATTTATTCATTTATATTTTATTCCATGCAAATATTGATGCTCTAATGTAAGTCATTTAAATTATCCATTTACTTTACTTTCATCGATTTTACTTAATTATGTGTGTAACCTTATAATTTGAAAGATGAAACATTTTTCATTTCGAAAATGCATGATTTTTTTCCCATTCTCAACTATGTATTCGTGTTTCAGTTGTATTTCGAAGAAATTCAATTGGTTTACCCCTTAGTACGACTCTTCGGTACGGCCAAATTTGAAAATGATCGAACCCAAGAAGATGAATACATTCTGTAGAAGCACACTGATGCCCGGCCAACTGCTCACTTCTGTAAAAAAAATATTCATGAAATATTGTTAGAAGATATAAAAATTGAACAAAGAAATTGTCGTTTTCATTTAATACTAACTCTCGTTACTGAAGTCAGCAATCATTGCCCATACAGCGGCAATGATGGCAGCAAATCCAAGGAGAAAACCGACGAAAATCCAAATACGAGCGCCCCGTGCTTCAAGACATCCACCGTTGAACGTAACATCACCGCTTATCTGAAAATTATAAGAAACAAGCGCATTCATTTTCAATCAATTTTGGCTAAAAGATAAATGTTATGTATTCACCTGGGCCTGCGTAACTGAATTGACCATAACTAAACTTATTGTACCCATTATGCCTAATAAAATGTGAATTACTCGTGTCTGCTCGGGATGCACTGAAATTGCGTCAATAAGGAACCACCATCCTGTAAAAAACTACAATCAAACGCAAATTATTTAGGTCTTTAATTGGATTAAATAAACATAACACTTGAACTTGTCATAAGAAACACAATATGTCGCACTTCAAGTTCATATCGCATTTTTCGGTCTCTCTCTCTTCCATTTATAATTTATCTCATAAATATCCAAAATTCGTACATATTTTTATCGTTATTGTTGAATTAGAAATCTTAAAGAGGATGGAAATTATTAAGAGATAAATGCAATTAAGAAAAAAAAATATGTTGTGACTCATTTGTTTCTGTGTGTGTTTTTTTCTCTTTTCTTTACTTCAGTAATGCATATAGCTATTTACCAAAACTCCAGCCAATATCGAAGCGAATGTATTTCGTTGATTTTCTGGTGAAAACCAGAAACAAGATGTTAAACTATCCCAAATGCTCATGTTTTTTTTTGTTTAGCGTTTTTTAACTCACACCCGAAAAACTAATAACAAAACAATAAAAAAAATCTTTGTGTGAAACAAAAATTTCGTCTCTTGTTTGATTAAACGATTACTAATGTATATATATGATGAAGGTGTTCGGCTTCAAAACATAACAAAATTTTCTCTTTGTAAGAAATTGACAGTTTAATTCGAGACGAACGATATTGACGAGAATTTGGTGTCATATAAGCATTTAGTACGCTGTTCTAAATGAAAATTGAAATATTCCCGGAATAAAATGGACTGTACCGAATATTGTTCACGACCATAAAAATGAGAATTAAACATTTCCATTTGATAAAAATGCGTCAACATTTTTTGTTTGCATAAATAAATGTGATGATAATTTAAAATATCGATTGAAATTTGTATGTTGCGCAAATATGAATTGCCAACGTTTCGATTTAGTACATTTTGAAAGAGCGCTGCTGTGCATGCGATGTGTGCATCTGGCAAACCGAACTGAATCGATGAGTGAACATCGTGTCGCAGTCGCTTAGACCGACTTTACTACCCATCAAAATATATTCTATACCTTCGTTCGCCATCTTCTAGCCGTATCACATTCACGTAATTCTGTTACGTAAGGAGGATTGGTAAGAAAAAAAAAAATTTCCAAAAGAAAAAATGTTCACCGCAATTAAATCGGTGGCTACTAAAGCCGACAATAAAAAATTAATATCGGTTGTGAACCAATTCAATCGTCATTATGCTGCAAAAACTGCAGCAAAAGCTGGAGCAGTCGCTCAAGGTAAAGTTGTTGCTGTAATTGGTGCCGTTGTCGACGTTCAGTTCCCGGAAAATTTGCCACCAATTCTCAATGCATTGGAAGTGGCAAATCGTTCACCACGATTGGTATTGGAAGTAGCCCAACATTTGGGTGAAAATACCGTTCGTACAATTGCCATGGACGGTACAGAAGGTTTGGTTCGTGGACAAAAAGTTAACGATACTGGTGATTCAATCAGAATCCCAGTCGGTGCTGAAACATTGGGCCGTATTATCAATGTCATTGGTGAACCAATCGATGAACGTGGTCCAATCGAAACAAATTTATCGGCCCCAATTCATGCCGAAGCTCCGGAATTCGTTGACATGAGTGTCGAACAAGAAATTTTGGTAACTGGTATTAAAGTTGTCGACTTATTGGCCCCATACGCCAAGGGTGGTAAAATTGGTTTGTTCGGTGGTGCTGGTGTCGGCAAAACTGTATTAATTATGGAGTTGATTAATAACGTTGCCAAGGCCCATGGTGGTTACTCAGTATTTGCTGGTGTCGGTGAACGTACACGTGAAGGAAACGATTTGTACAATGAAATGATTGAGGGTGGTGTCATCTCACTTAAGGATAAAACCTCAAAAGTCGCACTTGTGTACGGTCAAATGAATGAACCACCAGGCGCCCGTGCTCGTGTTGCATTGACTGGTTTAACTGTTGCCGAATATTTCCGTGATCAAGAAGGACAAGATGTGTTGCTTTTCATCGACAACATTTTCCGTTTCACACAAGCCGGTTCAGAAGTGTCAGCTTTGTTGGGTCGTATTCCATCAGCTGTCGGTTATCAACCAACATTGGCCACTGACATGGGTTCTATGCAGGAACGTATTACCACCACCAAAAAAGGTTCCATCACTTCGGTACAAGCTATCTATGTGCCAGCTGACGATTTGACCGATCCTGCTCCAGCCACAACATTCGCCCATTTGGACGCCACCACTGTCTTGTCACGTGCTATCGCTGAATTAGGTAATTTTTCTCATCTGAAAAACAATCAATTTATAGAATTTATTTTCATTCAAATTAATTTTCATCGTCGATTATTTAATCACTTTCATGTGATTACATAACATTCAAACATGTTTAATTTATAATTTATCATTGATGTTGATCATTCATGCATATTTTACTAATCACACGCATTCTATTTAATATTTTAGGTATCTACCCAGCTGTCGATCCATTGGATTCAACCTCCCGTATTATGGACCCAAACATCATTGGTGCTGAGCACTACAACATTGCTCGTGGTGTGCAAAAAATCTTGCAAGATTATAAATCACTTCAAGATATCATTGCCATCTTGGGTATGGATGAATTGTCCGAAGAAGATAAATTGACTGTTGCTCGTGCCAGAAAGATCCAACGTTTCTTGTCACAACCTTTCCAAGTTGCCGAAGTCTTCACTGGTCATGCCGGTAAACTTGTCCCATTGGAAGAAACTATCAAAGGTAATAAATCAACAAACAAAATCGCATCTTTTCCCCAATATATACATACGCAGCAAATAATAATTATTATTGGAAATTTGTACCACATTTACTTTACCGATAATAATATGATTGCTCAGCTGACCTTTACTAATTATATTACATATACATAATTTTGTTTGATAGGTTTCTCAAAGATCTTGGCTGGTGACTATGATCATCTCCCAGAAGTCGCATTTTACATGGTCGGTCCAATCGAAGAAGTCGTCGAAAAAGCCGAACGTTTGTCGAAGGAAGCTGCCGATGCCAACTAAATAACCAACATCAATTTTAAATATTCAAAAATCCTCCCAGTTACACAAGAACAACATGATATAGCAACCAATGATAGAAGACGAACGATTTGTTATAAACGAGTGTCAGAAAACATTCTTTTTCTGTTAATATTTAAGCACATTTATGCATTATATTGTCTACGCCCAATGGACACATAATGTCAAATAATTCTAATAAAAACAAAAAAAAAACATAAAAAACGTACATATTTTGTTTTTTGATTTGATTTTTATTTTAATTGTTCAGTTTTATTAGTAAAAACATCGAAGTACCTTCAATATAAAAAGACGTATATTTTATTATTTATAAAGAAATTTTCGTTTTTTTTTTCATGACTATCCTAATGGTAAAATAATTAAAAACAATATTTATCTCGCACCATATAGTAACAGCTCATTTATTTTTTTTTTTTATTAAATTTGATTTATCGTTTGACGTAATTTTCAAAAATTCGAATTTTCAATTAATCGGACATTCGCCTTCGTGTTGAAGGCACCATTGTGGTTGCAAACTTTCAGCTGCAATACCATTATCAACTAATCGTTCACGATGGATAAGCATTCGAGGTTCGGCTGAACGCCAATGGTCCGATGGATCGGACCATAATCGTTCAGCTAATGCGCTAAGTCTTGGCCAAATTCGACCATCTAATGTATGATGATCGGTTTGTTCTGACCAAAGAGCAGCTTCGGCTCCATAAAATTGTGATTTATACTTTGAACCAAAGTGGGTGAAATTATTTTTGTAGACCTTTTCCCAGCCAATGTATGGTGAACACCAATTATTTCCTTCGGTCACCCATGCACCAAATCCACAATCCAAATAAAGTCCATCATAATTTGATAAAATCAATTTATAACCTTTCTTTAGTAAATCGGTTACTTTTGGATCGGCTCCCGTTGTCCAAATCTAAATTCATGAATAGAAATATGTGATGTAATGGAATTTTTCGTCTTCTTTTGTTTCTTTCGCTTTCAGCCATGTTTTATGCTGATAATGTGTTTTAATTTATATAAATTTGATAAGAATTAAGTAATTACTTGAATAATGTATCGTTGTTTGTCGAGATACTGTTCGACATATGGAACGTCGGTCAAGTGACTTGTCCACATGATAATTGGCACTTTTTTGCCAATCACTTTATCCAAACGTTCTAATGCATTATCTTGAAAATGGCCCCAAAGTTTCATAAAATCGGATTCTTTGAGACCCCAACCTTTTTGTAGCATCCAATCTTGAATTTCTTTGCTTGAATTCCAGCATGAATGTGACACCTCATCGCCGCCCATATGAAAAATATCTGGTTTACGGAATGCATCGTACATTTCACGATAAATGTCTTCGAGTATATCATATAAATTGTCTTTGGTTGGATCCAATTGACCGCATGGTGGTTCAACACAGTATTTGGCCCATGGTTGTGCATTGAAACATGCGGTCACATTCTTTTGTTGCCACCCTTCGCCAACATGAGCCGGCGCATCAAATTCTGGTAACAGCAACACACCACGAACATACGCATATTCATAAATCTTATTTCGATGAAGAAAAAAAAAAACATTAAAAATATGTTTCGGAAGTTAAAATGCTATGATTTCCATTCCACTTACTTTGATGATGTCATTAATGGTGTAGACCTTATCGGGCGCATAAGCGCCAATTTCCGATAGATCTGGATGTGATTTTAACACAAGTGGGAAACTTTGCGAGTCAGTCATGTGCCAATGGAATACATTCAATTTCACCATTGCCATGGCATCTGAACCAAAAGTAAAATAACGTAATCATTATTCACATTTCCAAATTTCGAAATTCTATAAATTTTAAATTACCAATTGTTCGTTTAATTGAGTCCACCGTAAAATAATTACGTGATGTATCCAATAAGAAACCACGATGTGGAAATACCGGTTTATCTTCGATTTCAAATTCGCCGACCACTTGCAATTCACGTCGAATATCATCAAAGACAATCAATTGTGAAATTGTTTCAATTGCATGCCGTGCACCGAAAATTGTTTCGGCTTTAACTTTTATAATGACAACGCCTGTATTTTCATAACCATGCATGTGATATCCTTCATCGGTGTCTAGGCCCAATTTTGCATCTTCGTTTTTAACATCAAGCATTATCATCAAATGGGCACCACTGTCATCGTTCTTAAGTTTCACATAATTTGGCACTTTGGCTAAGATTTGTTCGCGTAAACGTTGCTCATTCGTTCGCCAGAATAAATCATTTCGTTTCGTTTGATTGATCAAATTGAATTGCACCTCAGTTGGGATGAGTCGAGCCATTTTGCCTTCCACCTTTACTTTGCCATTCACTCGTGGCCATAGCGTTCCTGGATGTTCTCCGCAAAATATTCGACATACTGGCAAACTTATGGCCGTCTTTTCATTAAGCAATTCGATGCGTTCACATCGATTTTTTCGGCATTCGTAACTCCAATGTGTACTAAATAACAAAAATTAAATATTAAATTTCGATTTCATATCCATTCGATGACGTTATATAATGTTGCTTTCTTTTTCTGTTTGATTGACAAATATTGCTTCAGCTGTTGTTGTTAAAACACTACAAATAAAACAACATTTCAAGTACGTACGCACAATTCGATGTTTAGAAAGCACAAGCATTTGCTATTTGTATGACCGATCATATGATCAATAATTTATTTGTTTTATAACATCAAAAATTAACTGAATAGTTTGTTGTATTAATTAAAGGTCATTCCATTTTTTTTTAATTATTTCAGTTTGAAATGAAAAACTATCGACAATCTGCGTGCAATTTAATTGCCAATTATTTTTATGTTATTTTCAATGCGATTTTTTGAAGATAAAAGTGTAAAAATCAAGGTAAGAATTCAATCATTATTTACCTGGCTCCAAAAGTACAGCCAAGTACAGCCAAAATAGCGATAACCACCACTAGATATGAACCGTTCATTTCGCCGTTATCTGTAACACTAACAGCAATTCAGATATTAATTCATCAATTAAATAGACGAAATAAAAAAAAAATGACACTAAAACAAATGTTTTGATAATATGTTAATTTTACTCACCGAGATAAAAAACGAAAATTCCGCAAAAACACGTTCTAAAATACTTTCGAATTTATGTCTTATACATACACCATTTGTTTCATCAATTTTGCACTGTTTGCCGTGTGTTTTCTTCACGTTCGAATGGTTGGCACACTACTGGACAATGGTTTGCTGGTCAAACCCATTATATAGAGAACGGTTCGACGAACTAACAACAAAAATAATATTTCTATAAGAGGCCTGAAATGGAATGGAGAATTTTTATTCCCAAAAAAAAAACTCGTTTTTCTTTATCAACAAATTCACGCTAATGAAATGCAATTTAACGGAATAATCAGAACAAATAAAAAATCATTCAAATTGCGTGCAATGAACTTGAAATAAATTCAATAAGAGATTTAAAAAAATTATCGGAAACCTGCAAAGTTTCTCACTTATTTTTGGACATAAGCCAATTATTGTGTCAATAAAAAAATAAGACCATTAAAATGATGTTGAGAAATTCAATTTTATGAGTTGTCCACTTTCTGTGTGTCATCGAACAAATAAAAATTATTTTGGTTTTTGATAGCCGCAATGCTATTTGATAAAATATAACAACAACAGAAAACTTGTTTTCGGTTGTCATTCAACCGACTGTGTATTGTGATGTGTCGACATGCGGTTAGCAATTGTCATATGTTGTGTGTCAAGTGACTTGACTGCACTTCACTACACACATAACTGCGCCTATTTTAAATTCTATTGTTGCCAGAATTGAAAAAAGTGCCATTTTACGAAAGATTCTCTTCTGAAAATTAATAACAAGAAGGCAAAATTTTGCGAATATTTTTATTTCATCTTTGCCATTTAAATTTTTAGTCTGTATGTTCTTTTCTACTTCCTTCTCAATTCAGATTATCGAATAACAAGAACAGGTTTCTACGGCAATCATTCGTTCTCAACAAATAACAGATAATAATATCATTAGTCAATTTTTTTTTAAATTTAAATCACCAAAAAAAATTGTTTTTTATTTGTTGTTTCATTTTGAAATATTAGAATTTAATTCTTTTTTTGTCAATTATAACTATTTTTTTCCGAAACTGTTGATTGATCAGAATTGCAAAGACTTGTGTTATCATGATAAAATTTACATTTTATTATTTCTATTAATATATCTTTTGCTTAACAAATGTGCGTACATTCAGTCGAATTTTGTCATATTTCTTTTTTAATACATCACTTTGTTTAGTTCGTATTAGTAGTTTAAAATGATAGGAACAAAGTCAAATGAATTTTTAAAAAAATTTCAAATATCTTTCTGTTTATTCATTTTTTTTACTAAATATATTGTTTTTTTCATATTCATATGTATAATTTACGATGGATTAATTTTAGCTCCTTCTTGAGTGATAGTGTTGTCTTCATAAGAGACGAGCACATCAGCCAAATGCTCGTTGTCTCGTGGTTTTTTGAATTGTCGTTTTTTCTGTGTTGTTTTCTTTCTCTTTGGCACCAATGGTTTCTTTGGACCATGATCTTGCATCGATCTAATCCCTATTAAACATAAAATAAATTATATATTTTTCAGATAGGATAATAAATTCGTAATGAAAAAAAAAAACAATTGCAACAATTTAGTTTTATACCTTGTTTCTCAAGATATTCTTCAATTTTGGCATCGTCCATTGAATCGACTGGAATTGATCGCCATAATTTTTTGAATTCTTCATCAACCTGTGTGAAAAACAAAATGTTATGAAAAACAAAAGTGTTTTTGGTCATTTCATAATATAAAGTTCCAATTGACTTACGCGAATCTTGTCCAATTGATCGTTATAGAATAAAATCTTCTTTTTGTCCGTTGGTCGTGTAATGTACATAATTTTTTCTTCGCATTTTTTGAGAACTTTTTCACAATGTGGCAGAGATTCCTGAATATCCTCAAGCATAATGCCGCCTAAACCTTTCAAGTCGTATTGCTTCAATAATTTCAGTAAACTTTTGCTATCTTTTAACTTGAACACCGGTTTGAATGAAAAACGCATTTTATCATCGGACACTTCGATTTTCGGATTGTCTTGAAGTGCTTCGGCTTGCAACCACTATGAATATACCGGAAAAGAATAAAGATTGACAATTAGAGGGAAAAACAAATCGTGTTTTTTTTTCTGGATGAGAGACAACTTACAGTTTTCACCGACGAACCGACGTCTAGTTGATTAGTTTCGTCCAAAATGTCATCTAGTGTTAGCGGATGATCGTCACCATCCAAATGTCGTAATCGCATATGTCTGACGATTTTGGCCAATACACCAAAACGATATTGTGAACTTCCAGCCATGGTTTTGTAACTAAAATATAAAAATTAAATGAATCATTGTTTGAATTTCACAATCGTTCGAAAATCAATTGTAGAATATTGAGACGCATTTCATACTTTGTTGCGTCTAATTTTGGTGCGGCACTAGATGGCCGGATCTTTGGTTTCGGCACATCTTTTATTGATGCTTCGGGTCGGCTCTTTTTCTCCACTCTAACGAAAATGAATAAAAACGAAAATATTAATACATAAAATGCTCGAAATTCATTTTCAATTCAGAAAATATTACGTTGGAGTGGCCATAGCCCGCCTTTTAAAGAGTTCTCGCTCTCTTAAAAGTGCTGGATCCATTGTGTCGCGGTTGTGTATCCCTTGTAAATACTAAATCGAGAAATTTAAAGCAAAAATTCTTCACTTGTTTCAATCAGAACGAACGGATGATTTGCAAAATGCAACTTTTGTTTTCTTATAAAACGTTCATATGGCGAGACGTCAACAAACTAATAACTTGCTCACAATGCATTGTGTATTTGGGCGCAAATGTCAAAAACAAAATGGATGCGTTCAATGATCAATGAAAATAGTAATGCTGAAATTGAAATCGGTTCGTTTGACTTGAATTGCAATGGTATCAAAAGTAAATTTTGTTAAATAAAAATTGACAATTTTTAAAAAATTAAACATTTATTTTTTTAATTCTGAATTTTTTTTTTTTTATTCTTTTAATTTGAAAAATATACAATGAATAATAATATAATTTATGGAATTCCATCTGAAATGTCCATATTTTAATTTTTGCTCGCTTTTGATAATTCATTTTTCGACTAAATTAGTCGGGAAATGTTTCTCATTCCAATGGCTGACTATAAGATTTCTCATTACATTGTTTTTTAAGTGATATAGAAGCCCATCATATCATTTTATATTGAAATCGGAGCATGGATAAAATTTCCTTGTTGAATCAACATAAGTCACATGTTACTCGCACACATGCATCCGCGCACACACACGGATATATTGAGCGAGCACGGTATGCGAGATAGGCTCTTTGTGGTCACGGAAAAATAATCACTGTTGTGCATGCATTTGGATGTAAAGAAATCCGCTGCGTACGACCACTCCACTTCCGTGTATGCGATGAGAGAGATAGACTGAGCTTCCAGTGGTGGCAGAGAGTGAGAAAATAAAAAAAAAATTGCATGCTTACACGGAAGCGCAAATAAAGCGGAAAATTTGCAATCGAAAAAGAAAACATAGCACACAACGAGCATAGTATATACAATTATACATATTTAGCGATGCGTATACAAAACATCTGTATGTAATACGGCGTGCTGGGCCTGTGTCAAGATAAGGAATATTATATATGAGAGCTGGAAATCTGTGGAGAAAAATATGGGAAAATGTTGAATTGCCATTGTATGCATAACATCAACAGCAGCAGCAGCAGCATTATCATCAACAGCAATGTGTGCATGTGATGCGAATGAGGATCGCCTTGGATAGCATACAAAAATATCTGTCGACCATGACCCGTTTTTCATTTTCCACCCTGACTTGTTATTGTTTTTGCTTTTTTTGTCGAATTTGTGTGTACATGGTAGCTGGTGTTGCTGTTTGCTGCTGCTGCTTACCAGCCTGCCTACTGCATGAGTGGTTGTGTGTTGAATATATATATTTTTTTCCCAATTTCCCTTATTTCATTTCCCGTTTTTATTTCATTGCTTATAACAGAACATTTCGTCAATTGTCAACGGTTTGATGAAAATGTTGGCAAACTTCTATTCATCGGCTGATACAATTTCGTATTTTGATTTTCACGCACATTTCGTTGATTATTTACTTTTCACTGTTTGTTCAATGTGATTTGATTTTTTAAAAAATTGATGCGATAAGTAACATCAGGTTAAAAAAAAAACCAAAAATCTCAAGAAAAGTGTGTAATTTATCGCGTTTGTTGGGTTGCACATTCTTAATGGTAAAATTTAAATTGAAATTAATAAATAAATATTCGAAATCATGTGTTTGCATATAATCCCTTTGTTCATACAATCAGTTAAATGAACAGTCTGCATTTATAAGTGATATTATGCAATGAATGTTCAAAAATAAAAACACAAGTGTAAGCATCTCGTGGAAAATGAATTGTAAATTTGGATTTAACAAATAATGATGAGTGAGTGTGTCTGTGTGGTAAATGCATAAGACAAAGGCCAAACAAGGGGGCCGGCATGCAATGGAGCTTCCAACATTATTAAATTTGACACATCCACAGCATCAAATATCAATCAATAATTCGGTTATCAGCAAACCTACGATGTGCAAAATCGATGAAAATTATCACCACAGTTGTACGTTTAATTTAACAAAATTGAAATCAAAATAATAAAAAAACAACAACAACATAGAAATACATACACAGCATCAGCAACATTTTCGATTCGTTTTCATTCCACGTGAAACGCACCAAATATGGTCGATCAAAACAGGTAAATGAAACAAAAAAACATTGAACAATTTTGTAGTTTCTTGAGAATTTAAAAAAAAAAATCAAAAATGGATGTGTCACATGTGTTTGATGAATGCATCAACAAATGATAAATATCACATTAAAAGGTACACATTATGTGGAAAAGAAGGAAAATCAATAAACATACATGTAAATAGACAACAAAGTAAAAAAATCAGTTTTATGTTAGAGAGTGAGAGAGAGAATGAAAGGGAGCGTGTGTTAGTGTGTGTATGTGTGTTTGCCGTGAAAGCGAAGAAAATAAACATCACAAATGTCGACTCTCCTCATAGTTTTATTCAAAATAAATAAATGCAAATACACGGATCCATAAAAACGTTGACATATTAAAATCAAATACAAAATCAATAAACGTTAAATATACATGCATATTTCTCATTATTTTCCATCAAAATAAATGTTTGCCATCGATGTGGCTTCGTACACAAACCGAAATGATTTTGCATTTGACCGCTTTATTTTTTTCTCTTCTCGACATTAGTTGGTGTGAGTTGTTTAAATTGCTTGCCATTTATGAAATATGAATTAAATTGTTTTGTTTTTTTCTTCTTTTATTGAGAACTTTATTTGTTTGTTCACAGTGTGGCGACTGCAACCAACACAATACAAATAACGTTACAAATGCAAATCGAAAACCCAGAAACGTCATTAACCCCACCAACACCATCCAGTCCGGGCCATGATGCCGGAAGCCAAAGTCCAGAAGGTATTGCATCGCTCAGTTCGGGCTCCAGCGATAATGCACTCGGTAAATATGCAATCGATAAATTTTCAGGCAGGGAATTGGTTTTCTAACTGAACGAAATCACATTGTGCATCTCACTTGGAATACAGCTCCGTACATAAACTGAAATTGTACATTGCTCACAAGTAAATACCAAGCCAATTGTCATCAACTCTCTGATTACAACATTAAAATCCCAAACTCGAATCGTGATTGTCATTTTGAAATGTATGCAATTTTCGCCACAAGCACAGATGATTGTAAGATTTATGATTAAAAGTTTTTAGCAAGCGAAACATAAAGGGCAACAATTAAATCCACATAAGAAGAAAAAAAAAACAACTGCATGAAAAGCGATAAAACTCGGTCATCTTATGCTTCTATACGAAAATTCTTAATTAAAAGTGTAAAACTTTGGAAAGTTTTTTTTATTAATCTCTTTTATTTTCTTATTGAGTGAAAAACTTTCTGGCACAAAATTATTATATACAAAACTTATATTTTGCAAGTAGGAAATGAATAGTATTTGAAGTCTTGAACTAATTGATAGTACAGAATTGCACAAGAGAGCACAAGACTTAGGTCTTGTACTCACATAAAATGGAAACATGTGCACAGATAAAGTTTTACACTCTCCAGCTTGGTTATTTTCGTATCCGATAAGCCGTATAAAGGCATGGCTGCTGCGCCCATCTTTGAATGTACTAAAAATTCATTCATGTGAATTCGATCGATTTGTCAAATATTGTTTACATTTCTCATTACGAAACTCAATTCCACACATACACACACTGTTTGCAGCCTCCGCAAAAGCGCAGCACTTATGTGAAGAAAAATAACAACAACAATAAAATAATGATAAAGAAACAGAAAATTTGTACAACAAATTTAAAGCATTAGCAGATACTTTTTTTTCGTTTGATTATCATTGGCCGTAATTCAACAACACCATAGAGGTAAATGAACTTTGTCGAAATGGTTTATTTAACATCTTTAGTTTTTTTTTTTTTTTTTTTTTCAAATTAATTTCGAAATAATTTCGACTGAACACCATCAACCACAGCAGCAACAACAGCATTGTGTCATTTTTGCAAATTGTCTTTCAAACCGCTCAATTAATACGCAAATCTTATTGTACAATCGCCAGATAAAAAAAGCGTACGGATTTATTGTGAATATTTACAAAATGTTCACTATTGAATTAAGAGCTGAGATCATCGCGCCATAAACACGTATATGCAATTCAATCAAATCCGAACTGTGTCTTGACAATCAAAGGTACAAAGAATATGCCAGATGAAAATAGAGCCAAAAAAAGAATGAAAACAAAATGAAATGAATGTTTATTACACAATCGCACATCAACTTCATTTTCATGCACGCATATCACATTGGTGAAGAGTTAAAAGTACAGCATGTCAAAATTCACATCATCTACGGGTATGGTACATCAAACCAATTAAATTGGCACATGAAAAAAAAAAGTTTTCATTGTTGATTCATTTGATTTGTACTTTGTAATAATACAAAGAAAACAGAAATGGTTCCGTCTAAGCCATTTGAAATGTAAAGTAGTGAGCATAATCTCTGTAAATAAAGATATATTTGGAATGGAAATTTGTTTGACTTTGAGAAAAAAGCTCGAAACCTATCAGCTAAATTCAGAAACCTTCGATTTGTATGCGAATTCAATTATTGTTTCAGTTTCGAATTGTAAATTGCATTACGTTTAAATCAGAGAGATCGAACGAGAGAGAGAAAGAAAGAAAAATAAACCAAACTTGTTTTTCCATTACATTATTTACGAGATGACACTTTTTAAGATTGAAAAGTGTGCGTGCAATAGTTATCGAAAAGTAAAACATTGCAATTTTCTTATGTACAATCTGGATAGGTGTGCACAAATATGATTGTTGATTTGGACAGGAAACTGCTAATTAATAAAAAGAAATTACATCTATGATGAAAGTAGAGAAGCGTTAACGGATAATGACCACATTGAACGTCTACAGAAAATCAATAGATAAGCTCGGTGGAAAGAATAACACATTCAAACCGTGTACAATTTCATTTGATTTTGTTCGATTTCCTTCTTTTATCATCATGCGGTTATTGCATATGCACACAATGAATGTATGAAAATGTATCTGCGGTAAATTCCATGCAAAACTTTCCGTATTTATCAATTAAACGGATTGCGTTCCGTTAGAGTCTGACATAATATACAGCATCTTTCTTCGTCTATTTCCTTTTGTGTGTTTGTTTGGTTTTTGCCAACAAGATCGATCTCGGTGAGTGCATTCGGCACAGCCATTGGCATCACGGAACAAATGGAAATAAAAGTAAAAAAAAAAGATGAACGAAAGAGATCTGCATGCAGTAACGAGTAACAAAATACCCGAAGAAAAACAAAACAAACAACAACAGACACAAAATAAGACTTACTATGCCAATCAGTAAAGAATCTATGATCACCGTTTGTTGCGCTAATACCATTTATTACATAAGTAAGAAAAACATGCCTTTTATGTGCGCAATTTACACTCATAGCATATACATAAATATGCAGAAATACACACGTACACCACCAAATGCATGCGATCGTAAACATGTTGGTTGCACCATTTCACTTTAGGTAAATGGAAAATACACGCAGACGATAAAGTAATGAAACAATCACATTCACAAACGCACGCTCACACCAAATGTTTACAGAAAAAAGATAGACACATTACCATTTACAACTTACTAGATCACATTTTCAATGCATTTGCAAACAATGCAGGAAAACAAAACAAAATCGAACACGAAAAAAATGCAGAAAATGAAATAAAAAAAAAAACAGTACACACATACACACAATCTTTCTACAAGCATATTTTATGTACGAGACTAACTGTTCCGTGTACGTACACGGTACAAATCTTAGTCGCTAGCGCGTACACATACATAACCACACCACTTAGACCGTATGATAGAACGGCAAAAAACATTAAGAACGAATTTTGTAATGATATGAAAAAAAAAATTGCGCCATCAAACGCGAATGTGAGTGAAGAAAGATAAAGTGAGAAAGAGAGCATAAGCAGCATAACTGACAATGCCCACAAAATTACGGTTCAATTTTGAGGATTACACAAGCAAAATGATCATCTGTGTACACTGTACAGTATGCAATGTGCATCGTCGTACCAACGAATGTACCAAAGATTTTCCCATCGAGATTTATGAAATGCTTCGACCGCAAAAAGCAAATGAACTAGAGGACGAAAATGCATATCAAGGAAGAAATATTTTACATTGCTCTTATTGTCGTACACAAAAAAAAACGAGAATAAAATGTGTACGGATCATTGTCATAAATACAATCATAAAAATAACAGAACCTTTAAAGATTGTACTTCATTTATTTGGATGTTATAATCATAAATCATGCAATTTCTTAAAATAGCATTTGATTTCATTGTCAAATTTGGACATTTCGTTCAAACACGGCCATTACTTAATTTAGTTTCGTTTTTTTTTTAATATATCGGCATCGCAATTTATATATCTCAGCCCGAACTCATTCAAATCACCAACATCGGATCCGTTCAACTTTAAAAAAATTCCGTCGGTCGTTGAACTGTGCAGTATATTCTGTGCTGAATCGAACGTTAAATGCAACATCGTACAACTGATTTCGTATGTGTTTGAAAACGCTCGCGCGCATACACACGCTGCACTGACTTGTCTTCGAATCTCGTCTGTCGTTAGGCATCATTTCTTTTTCTTCAAAAAAGGCAGTCGTTCCCGAAAATGTTCAATTATGTTTCATCGTTCAGTTTTTTATTTTGCCACAATTTCGGTGATATTCAACATTTGAATTGCTTTAGTTTGTGGCTGTGTTGCCGTTGAAAATAAAGATCGTGAGTCGCTTTTAAATTATTGCATTATAATTTAACGAATTATATGTTTTGAATCATTTTCCTTTGGTTTTGGCGTTGATAGCCAAGAATTTTGCATATTTTTTTCGTATTGGAAATTTAAATGACTCAGAAAGAGAGGGGAGAGAGAGAGAGAGAGAAAGAATAGAAAGAAAGAATACGGAATAGTAAAATTCTCCAATTTGCATTCAACTAAACGAATTGATATTGGTTTCTCACCATTTATCTTCAGCAACATTTCTTTTATATTCCGCTGTGCCTCTTCTTAAGTACGCAAAATTTAGAAATCGATTACGTATACACAACTTTGAATTGTGGCATTGGTTATTTGTGTATTTTACACAACTTTATTTATCCGTTTGTCGTTTTATGCAATACATTCAATTTCAAATCCCATCTTTTTTTTCTCGCCTTTTTGCTACTGAATACATATAGTTTGATACAAATTCGCAAATCAATTCAATCAAATAATTTATTTGAAATAAATAAAAATAAAATTAAGTCTATCCAATACAAGTAAAAATCATCATAAAAATCAAAAGTCATTTACTTACACAGCCAAAATTGATTCTAATATAAACGAAGTCCATTACCATTAAAAGTCGGAAATATTTTTCATTGAAAATTGCCACTGGGAAGATATTGTATTTTTTACAGAAATTCATGAGCTTTTTTTTACTATTCTCTCTCCGAATATGATATCATATGTATTCAAATGGATTTGGGTGGGTGCAAGTAGTAGAAAAAAGAAGAAATTCAAAGATAATATCGGCGATTTCATGACGTTTTTTGTTCGTGTACTCTTTTTCAATTCAATATGCATCGCGATTCTCTTTTTTTCGTGTGAATTCTTCTTCGATTTCAAATGTCAAAAATTTCTTTTCATTCTTCAATGTTCTTCGTACTGAGTTTTTGTATTTTGTCTTCTGTTTATAGTTTGTGAACTTTTTTTTTTATGTAAAAATGAAACTAAACTGGCGCTTTCTGGTTTGAAGCCGATTTTTCTCTGCGTATCAAAATAAGAATTTCTGTTATTATATAAGCCTGATCATGTCGGAGCAAGAATCGAGCTAAGTGGTCAGTCGGAGTTGCTGTTTACATACACACAAAAATGTTCAGTCAATGTGCATTAGTGGTGTATCGTATATTCCATACACAATCCTGTTGGACGAACAGCAACTATCAGTGGTAGCAACGGACCAGTTAGCTCGAGCATAGCTCTGATTATTGTCATTGACCCGACAGCCATCCTTTTTCAACTCTATTCATTTGTGCTTGGTTTAAAAAAAAAAACGACTTTCAATATGATCATCAATGCTAAATCTAAATTAATCTCATTCATTTCAGATCATTGTTTTATTATAATTTCGTGTGTGATAAGGCATTGTTTTATTTTGCGATCTTTTTGCTTCATATTCTGTATATGCATAACGTAATGATTTAATTCATGTATATACCTGTTGAATGCACATGACCACCAGAACACATTCAACCAAAAATACCGTGACATCTCTGTTATGACGCAATCAAGAAGAGCCCATACTCAAAGAAAGATAGTTTAATAATAATTTGATAATAATTTGCAATCAACGAGAACGATCATTTCCATGCACAAAATATCATAAAATTCATTGTCTTAACGAATGCGCATTTTTAAGTTCGTGGTAGTACAAGCGCTTCCTCTCTCACTCTCTCTCTCTATCTTAATTGCATACATGCACTGTTCAAATGTGCGCCGATTGAGTTCTGTGTCGAAAGAATATTATGTAAAAAGTCGGAATCGAAATGTACAAGCAGAAGAGAAAGAAAATTGAAAAGAAAAAAAAAAGAAATGTGCTGAAAGTAATATCTGTTGCTCTCTCTTCCTTTGTTTGTGGTGATAATTTCACATACACACACACACACACATCCAAACACGTTTACAAAAGCAAATGCTGCGTCTAATGTACGCGCGCTATGTGTTTTAGTGTAAAGTGCGCTCTAGATGTGGTGCGCGCTCTCGACTTCAAGAACAACTTCAAGTGTTTGTGCTATTGCACGTTACACATTTGTGTGCGAGATTAAGAAATCGAAGAATAATATCACCAAAATGAAATGAGAAGAAAAACTTTAAGTACGGTTTGTGTAGTTTATTGCGCGTATGTGATTACTCGCAAAGGGAACGGTTAAGAGACAAGCAACAACAACAACAGCATCATCATCAGCAACAACAGCAGCAGCAGTAACCATATACCAGTAACTACCAACATCACAACAACGCTCGATTCATATTCATTTGGTACATAGATGTTCGAGTATGAGATGGTATTTGTGTTTAGTTCTTACTCGATTATCTGAAAGAAGAAAAAAAAAGAAGAAAACAACACACCACATAACAGAAACAGAACTTTCTTAGCCGATCAAAATTTTCGCGCTGTTTGCTGTGTAGTTAAGTTATGATACCAGCTGAGTGATGATCCATCCTCGATGGTGCGTTGTTCTCGCAATCTCTTTCTTAGACGATCCTAACGAAACTCTAATTGTGCATATTTAACTCGCCGAAAATATGATCATTCGTTTTCGTTTGATAAATATTTTGTGGAGCTCTCTGTCTCTTTTTCTCTGATAACAAAATATCAAACCCATGCTGATTCGGTGTGTTAATAAATATAATAATTTAACATTAATGTGATTACGTCAAATACGGTGCGCGTGCGTGTTTTTTTTTATATTGCAGACAGAAGTTTTTGCTTTATTTTTCATTTTCTGTCGTATAGAAAAGAGTTTTTTATTTTTAAATCGAAAAAGTGATAATTGATAAACGCATTCAAATATGACACCGATTAATTTTTCTAGTGAAATAACAATTTTACTTGAATCGGTATTGAATGAAGTGCCGTAAAAAATGGAGTGTAAAAACACCTCATAGACAGTTTGACGAGAAGAAAGACTCAAACAACTTAGTGTCTGTTGCATCATCATCACACGACCAACATCACCGGGATTCGGTTAATCGGGGTTAATTCTGTGTTTGCGGTACGTTTCGCGTTTGAATGATGCTCGTGTTTTGAGTTGATTGTTGACGACAACCACATCTACAGCAACCACAACGACAACAACGACGATAATAAAATTAATAAAAAAAAAGCGCAGTGTACATTATAACAAAACGAAAAAAAAAAATACAAATAAAAGCGAAGACGTTTTTTTAAGCGTTGTTAATTCATCCTGCACGTATTTGGATCGCTAATTTCAGCGTAGATGAAAGAAAACAATGGACATTTTTCACATTGATACGGCATCGTTAGGCACAACACGAACCAATGGTGCACTCATTGATGATGTTACAAATGATCAAATACCCCAAGTCAGTTTTGACGGTGGTCCGGAATTCAATTTAAATTTTTTCGACAGTCCCGACGATTCAAACACCGGTTACAGTGATCCTGGTTCGGTTGATTCAACAATTGGCATATCTGTATCGCCACCACCACAACCGTTGACCAGCAGCAGTACATCGTCCACACCACAAGCAACATTCACATCACCGCCAAATTTTTCATGCAACATTGGTATGTTCGACATTCAATTCAAACATTATTTTTCTATACTTAAAACCAAAGTCCAAGTAAATTACTCAACATGTTGTTTCACTTTGAAAAATTGAAATTCAAACGGCAGCCATTCAAACAACGTCAACAAACCACAAGAAATAAACATGCAAATAGTCATTCGGCTTTTTAAAGTAAATGCATTGATCGATTTGCAGGCAAACACACAACAGTCAGAGGTCTGTATCAAGAGGTGTCATCCAAATAACGCTATGAACTTGTTAAATTTTACATGCAAACAATTCAACACACAATTATGACAAAAGCGAAAAGTAATGTTTAAAAATTATGAGACAAAATCGGTTATTCACGCGCATTTGATTTGGAAATATTTTAATGGATTTGAATGCACATTTTACTTGTGCAAATATACACACGCTGACACAAACCAACCAACATAACAAATCGCATTGCTACACACAAAGAGTATGTGTATGTCATCGATATGCACATACATATAACTATATTATATGTACAGTGCTAGCAATGTATAGCGCAAAGCGATGTATAACGTCATGTTCATTATATTCTTTACCGGGTTCAATAAACTTCATTTCGAATGAAAAAAAAACCGACAACAACAACAACATCACACATCATTTCTCCGCTTTCGCTTTGTTTGTGTGTTCAGTACACACATAAACATCTAAATACGTAACAAAGAGATAATGCGAAACTATTTGAACTTTCTCAATATGTACGTATGAAAATATGTTGATGCGGCTGCTGCTGTGCTCTTGTATAATAACGGCGCATGCAAAATTCTTTTCGATTATTTTCTGTTTTTTTTTTTCCTTGTTGCTTGTTCAACATACACTGAAAACATACTCATTACTTATGTACAACGGCAAATGTGATTTCATGACTGGATTTGCACTTAGACATAATTATCACATAGAATGTCAATCGAGTATTGCTTTCGGCTGAAACTCTCTAGCTACGTTTTATCATTGATCTTTCACAAATAAATTACAGCACATTTTAACCCGAAAAAAAAGAGAACCCGACCACATTTTTAATCGTCTATGTGCATATTTCAATCGGAAGTGATCGAATGTAGCAAACGAAACATCATCAAACAAAATTGTTTGTCAAACATTATGTATAGCCAACGAAATGTGCAAATCGCTGTTGTCGTCTGTTGGTTACTTGTTCGATCCGTGAAGTTTTTCCCAAAAAACTTTTACAACACATTTTATGACTTCCTGATTATGCATTCTAATCGATTAATCGTTTGGAACGTGAAACATTTGAAAGGTTCAATGTACCGCGGAACAAATGGAAATTTCATGCTCGATATTTCCTTTGTACGCTGCTGAATAGCTTAATAGAAATGGATATCGATGCGATTGTGTTTATATTATGTATGTATAACGGCAAATAGTGGCAACGGTAAACTGCGAAAGGTTAAAACATAGTTCAATGCATTTGATTTGAGTTGTGGTATACAACATGAAGGAGAAACATTGAGGTAGAGAGGAAGAGAGAGAGAGCGTCTTGTTTGCTCGCACGAACTCTATTGCTTGCCATTTCTGATCTTTCTTTCTCTCTTTTTCTGCACGATCTCCGAGCTCAAACCTTTTATTGAAGATGCAATCATTGTGATGCAATACTTTGAGATCAAAGCTGGTAGCAAATGTTTTGAATTGTACAATTTGATTTCATTTTATTATTATTATTATTTTGTTCATCATTTTAAGAGTCGATGTTCAAACTGATTTGAACAGTGCGATTGAAGTTTTTTAAGAGATGAAAACGATGATGATATGATTGTAGCCATGATCGTTTTTATATTTGTTTTTGTTTCAGTCTTTGCGGAGAAATGTTATTTAAAATCTTTCAATCGTAGTATTTTCGTTCAATATTATTGGCTTTTTTTAAATTACAGATCAATCGTTTGCCGGAACCGACATCAATAATACTTCGAAAACATTTGTGTCATGTAAAGTATGCGGAGACAAGGCTTCTGGTTACCATTATGGCGTGACATCGTGTGAAGGATGCAAAGTAATTGATTCTAATTTGACTGAATAAATCATAGATTAAGAAAATTATCACAGATTTTCAACGGGGTCAACTGTTTTGCTATTTTAATTATTTACATTTTCGACACATTTGAAATCATGTAGTTTTCTCTTTCGTTTATTTTTCACAACATTTTTTTTTTGTGCAGGGATTTTTCCGACGAAGCATACAGAAACAGATTGAGTATCGATGTTTGCGTGATGGTAAATGTTTGGTCATACGTTTAAATCGGAATCGTTGCCAGTATTGTCGCTTTAGGAAATGTTTGGCGGTTGGAATGAGCCGTGACTGTAAGTAAAAAATTGAAATGTTATCATGAAATTGTATTTAATTTTTCGTTCTCATTGACTTGATCGTTAAAATTGTGTATTCGACCGAACGTGCAATCGAAATTGATTTTGATGAAGAAAAAAAAAACACAACAAGACAAGCTACACACATATACTTTTGTAAAAAAAAGGCAGCATTGAGATGCTACCTCAACGATGAAATAGGTAAATTGGAATGGAATGTGGCAAAGATTATGATGAACGGTGCGAACTAGTATATTTAATAATATAAACTAATAAATTAGAAGATTTAATCACGATTTCCGGCATTTCGACTTTCGATTTTAATAGTCGTTGCAATTTTACATGCATATGCAATTATACAGACACACACACAAACTCAATCGAGATTGTGAATATGCCTTACAGCCAATTTAAAAGCAGGAAAACTTTTTCCAGCGTACATAAATACCATGTGCATAGCATTAGAAAAAAAACCCACGCTTTTCGATCGCAAATGGAAAGAAAAACAACGCACACAAAGTACGCGCAGCGAATCTTTTACAGAAGTTTAAATAGTATGTGTATAACTCGTTTAAAATGGATTATGAAAGGTACGAAAATTATTTGAAATTACGAAAAATTGTAAATAAAATATGAATTCGGCCGATATCCAAAAAATCAGTTGACCACATTATGGTTATCATATCATTTTTCCAATAATTGTCGGCAAATGTTGACCATATTTGTAGCACTCTGTCTTTCAAATTAATAGATTCGTTTTATGAGATAGAGAGAAAAAACCGCAACTATAGACAAACATTCAATACGAATAAATGCAAGAGGCGAACATAATCATTGTATATCGATTGCGCTATCATGTAGTTGTGGTACGTGTTATTTCTATCGTATTGTAAGGAAAATTGCTCAAAAAAATGCATTCAGTGTTCAAATACCTCCCTATATGCAGCACACAATCAAATAGAAAAAATCCCTCACTCTCGATCTTTTATCGTTACCTCTCTCATGCACACTGCACACGAAAATGCAATCAAAACAAAGAAATGCAGGCGCACGAACACTAGACACTCATACATTCAGTGCACACATATATGCAGTGTGCACACAAAAAGGAGAAAGTTTTTTTTTGCTGTTGCACTGGTTTTATGCTTTTGTTATGACGATAAATGAATGAACTCATATTACTGGACGAAAACTTATGCCCCCATATCATATATAATTACGGTTATTGTTACTCCTTTGTTGTTGGCTTTTTTTTCATTTCATTTCATACTTAACATATGTTTTCTGTTTATTTCTCGCTCTATCTATCCATGCTTTATTCGCAATGATTTCCTCTGTGAAAATGAGCCAAAGAGCATGATCCGATTGGCACACGCAACGACATCAACTCAAACGCATTCCGATCGATTCAGATGCGCCCAGACTCTGTCAAATTTATCGCATCTATTTCGATGAACTTTTGTTTTTTTTTGTTCAGAAATATTTATTTTCGATACGTTGTTGTTGAGCAAAATCTAACTCTCTAATCTTCGCGCAGAAGAGTGTGCGTGTGAGAGGACGCGAGAAAGAGAGAGAGAGAGAGAGAGAGAGAACGAAAGAAAAGAAGAAGATTGAAATGAAAAGTGAATCCAGTGAGTAAGCATTTTAAAAATATCAACGAAATGAGAGATATATGAAAGGCACAACACACATACACACACTCCGAAATAGATTACAGCGTGATAAAAAAAGAGCCAAAAAAACATTTTCAATTAATAGATGCGAGCCTATCGGTCATTGCTCTTCATTGAAATGAGAGAAAGAGCGAAAAATGAAGAAGACGAAAACAAATAGAAGAACGGCATTTGACAAAAAGCCAAGAAACAAACTCTCAATGACAAAAATACAGCGTACACAGAGACTTCAAAAGGATGCCCCATTGACTTGGCTTGGCATTTTGATCATTTCTACCCAATTTGAAAATCCCCAATGAAAGAATCAGAATACACTTTTTCTCCGGTTTGCTTATTTTGAATACATATAAATCACTTCCCACTAACAAACAAAAATTGCCAGATCCCATTTCCACTTCGTCATCATACAATAACAATAAATTTTCGCTCGCCATCCCCCTGGATCGGTAAAAGGAAATGAACCTATAAACAAACCATGTCTCGCACACAATCTCATCACACCAGCTGAGCGAGGAGAGGGAGACAAATGGGAACAAGATGCACATGGAAATATACACCTTCATCAAATCACTTTGGCAAGTGAGAAAACCAAACGAATGCACGAATCAACGAACGAACAAAAAAATTATGTGTATATAAAATAACGTAAAATAAAAGCAACAGCACACAACGGATTTTGCATGTTGTTGTGATGTTTGTGTAACAGAAAGTGCTTGTGCCTATGCCATCGCAAAAGTACGAACTATTTCATACTCACATTCGATATATATCAACAGGCAAAAACAAAGCAACAATATATGTATATATATATACCCAAACCAATGCAAACGGCAACATCAACGACGACGGCCAAAGCAAAAGCAAACATACACAGTGTGTGCAACAATAATATCAACAGTAACAACCACGTCGTGTATAGAGTGTATTATAATTGAAGTCAAACGCTATCCTATTCAACATCGCAGTGCCGAATGGTTTGCATTATATATATATATATACTACATACAACACATATACATAATCATATTAATAACAATAATAATTGTGCGATCGTTTCGTATGTAAACTCTTTCACATTTCCTTAATATTTTAGTTAATTGTAAATGGCTGAGCTCGAAACAACAAAACGCGCGCGTAAATCGTTCTCAATTCGTTGACTGTTATATTGAACCGAGCCAATTTTTTACGCGACATTTTTTTTATTTATTTTACGCAAAAAATTTGTTAAATTCACATATAGATACATAAACACGAACATTTTCGACGACCATCATTTCAACGAAATTCATTCATCTGGCCCCAATAAAAATATCACCAACAACAAAATTTTATAGAAAATAAATCATTTCGCTACATTTTTTGTGTGTGCTTTGCAGTAGTCAAGTGATCGTGTATTTCGAAAATTTATTGGCGGCAAGAAAGAACAACAACAATTTGTGAATTCAAAACAAAAGTTAAACACACTGCCAAGTTTAGTGAGTGTGTACCGTGTGAGCTTTTGATGGATGCACCCAAGTGGTTGACTTTGTAAAATCCATTGATTACATCCGCACGTTACAACGGATTATTACCGGAAAACCGTTCACTGCCAAAGTTACCATTCTATTGATAAATTGAAGTTTCATTCGTTGAACGAACGAAGAGTAAGCGAGAATAAGAAAGAGAGAGAGAGAGCAAAAAAAGACAGAGACGGCAGTCCCTTGACACTTTATAATGATCAAATTGAGAAAAAAAAATTCAACGAAATTTGAGCAAATGAAAAAGAAAATTGCTTCGAACTAGACTAGATCGAACAAATAATAAAGGATGCAGTGTAATCTACAGAATGTCGTGTGTGATAAAATGCCCATAACTGATATACGTGAGTCGATGGCACAATGTATAAATAGTATTTATCTTTATTTTATATTTCACTTTCAATTTAGTGGTTAAACGTTCGTTAGTTTTTTTTTGTCGATTTTGTTCAATCAAAATTTCCTCTTGATAATTAACATCTTTTAAACAAACGACGAAAACAAAAATCACAACAACACAAACATCAATTCGTAATCTTTACACGTGGATCGACACATTACAAGCATAGATTTGCATATCGCTACGCTCTTTGACCGGTCGCTCGGTCGGCCGGTCGGTCAGTTCATTGAATCGTTGCAGAATACATATTCTTCTTCTTTTTTCATTTATTTATTTTTACGAACGAAAAAGCAAAAAAAAAAAAAAAACAATCAAAATAGCCCATATGATGTAAGATGTGCCGGCAGCACATTGGCTCGCAACTTTGTGCAATCGTAATCGGCAAAACGCGATTCTCGATTTCGTTTTGCATTCAGCCTTCAAATAGCGAATTTACTCAACAGGCACAAATCAAATTGAATATGTAGCGAGAGAAAGAGCGTGAGCGAGAGCGAAAGCAAGAACGAAAACGAGAACGGGAAAGATAAAGAAAGCGAAGAAGAAAAAACGAAGTGCGCGTGCTTATATGCGTATGTGTAATACACAGAGAAAGAGTAAGAGAAAGAGTATGAAAGACAATGGCAAGAAAAAGTTCAAAATTCCAATTGTTCAAATTCAATGAGTGTATTTTTGGCTTGCGTCAACGGCGACAGAAACGAAGAAATGAACAAAAGAACGAACGAACAACAATGACAAAATATTGGCGCAATCAACTGTTCGTTCACATCGAGGCAAAAGCCTCATGGTTATTAACTAAGAGAGAAAGAGAAGCGGAGGAAAAACAAGTAAAATTCAAAATATTTCTAAGTAAAAAATTACATTGGTTTGTTGAGCGTCTGTATCTATCTTTCATTGTGTATAAGGCACGCAGGCAAACGAAAGAAGAAGAAGAAGAAAAAAAAACTAAATTTTTCCTGGTTCAAGCACATACTGAATTTAATTCAGTTTATGTGTGGGCATATACACAGAGAGAAAAAGCAAACGAAAGAGTAAATGTGCGCGCAAGCCTCGCGCGATAACTCTAAATAAAAATATACACAAGAGGCAATAAACTGAGAACAAACGGCAACGATAACGACAATAGCGGCCACCACAACACCACCAACAACAACAAACACATGTGAAACACATGTAGATGCAAAGAGTACCCAAAAAAAGAGAATATAATTCGCCAAAATACGACACAAATAACAAAGATAGCAATATACAAGCAAACCGTTTGGCGTACAAAAGATGGCATCATTACAATACCGCAGTTTATATAATTTTCGAATGCAAAGTGGCGACACACCACTTGTGTGCGTATGACAGAGTAAGAGAGAAACCATTAAACCAATAATGCATGCAAACGTTCGGCGCACCGAGAATGCATAAATTACCCATCAACTGCACTTATCAACATTGACAAATCAATGCATAGATTTGGCGATTGCAAGTTTGATATAACGCTGTCAGCCACAATGATGATAAGCTGTGTCCACTGATGCACAGTCGGTTTTGTTGTTGTTGGAGGGCAAATGAAAGATACCTGTGTGTATTTCATTCGCTTCAATTTGTATTATGTAGTATATGATATAGAGTGCGTGCGCGCGGATGCACTGTTGCACGATCACACATTAGAATATTTTGCCATCAACAACAACAACAATCGAAAAAAAGCTGTGACACCCTGTGAATTGTTGCCTGTGTGCAGGGCATACAAAAGCTATTAAACGTCTCAATAAGTATACGGCGGTATAAATATATATTCAGCATTCAGTATAGAGCATTTACTGTTAATTCCAATACAGTCGACCGAGTTTTTTTTTTTATTCGCTGCGTTCTCTTTTCTTCTGTTTTATATGTGATATAATCGCATACAATGTGATTGTGAAATGTCAATAAACTCCGAAGAACAGTGACTCTAGCCTGTCGTTAGCTAACTAGATTTTTTTTATTAAGAGGACACACACACACGGAGATAGAGAGAGACAGAACTACCGAGATGTGTTCGTTTCACTTCTTTAATTTGTAAACGAGCATTTTTTTGCTTGCATATTCTGTGTGTTTGTTTGTTTTTCATTTTTTTTGCTCTTCTATTCGTCTTTGTACATATGCGTCATGCAATCTATACAACCTTTGTCTTCCGCATTTCGATTTATAATGCTAGGTAAAATTAATTTGGTCTTGCCATTTATAGCAGTTAGATTAGCACAATGTACTATCATCATTAACAAGGGCTATGTCAATTGATCGATTCAATGGATGTGTTTCATTTGAATTGTGTTCTATCGTTGTACAAAATAAATGCGGAAGATGAATGAAATTCAAAAAAAAGAGAAAGTATGTGTGTGAAGTGATAAAACTGAATTAGATAAATTTCTTTTATCATTTCATCGAGGTTTGTCAAAATAATCCGCATTTTTTGTTTGTTTGTTTGCAAAATTATACCTTTGGCTTATTGTATCGTTCATTCCCACCACGGTGGACTGTTCAATTAGGTTTGCTCAGCAAAAAGGAAAAGCGTGTGTAACTTTGTGTGTGTGCCCACTTTATTTATAAAATCGCATTCGTGTGATAAGAATAGCTTTAAAGACTAGACTGAACAGTTTTAATCACGTCAACTTCACGTTTACAGAATTTGTCAAGCAATAATTTACGCACATTTTGAGCCTTTATTTGGTTGTGATTATTTTTGTCTAGCACGATTTTGTTTTTGCTAGTTGCCGTTCATTAACCAGTTGATTATGGCGACATCGTCTCACTGTTCGTCGTTCTTTTTCTTTTTTTTTTAAATAATTTTTATTGTTTCGACGGTTGCAGTTTGGCTTCAAATAAAACTGTGGCTGTTTTTGCTCCTGTACATTCATTACATCTCACATATACATTGCTTAATGAAAGAAAGGGAAGAAAAACAATAACAACAACCGCATGCATTTATTTTAATGATAATAATTAAACGAAATCTCCTTTGTTTACATCAGATGAAATCTGATATATATATATATTCATTTCTGTTTAAAAAAAATGTCACGTTGCCATTCGAAATAGATAAGACATATCTTTCGCCACCGACGCCGTCGCTGCTACCGCCTCATGTTGATTAACGAGCATGGACACATTTGATAGCCCCATTATTCGTACAATGATCATCATCGTCATCGTTATAGCGCATAGCCTGTTATTGTGTATGGTGATGAAACTCATTATACCCGTTCACACAATGTAAACGTGATTAGTCAAGATTTGGCGACGGAGGAAAAAAAAACGCACACACACATAACCCATTCAAACTAAACGTTTGCTAATTCAATTTCATTGTTCTCTCATCACTGATAAAGGAACTTCCTCTCTTTTCTTTTTCGCATTGTATACGTACAATTACATTTTCATCTTTTTTTTTATTCATGCGTGCGTTTGTTTGTTTTGGTGCTCATTTTCGATATTCAGTGTTCGCAATTGAAATTTGTAACTTGGTACGAATGCGGAAAACAGAAAATAGTACCAATTGAATTATGAACAAGAGTATCTCTCTCTCTCTCTCTCTCTCCGTATGCGTGTCGTTTCTATTGACCAAATGTAACATGAATCAGCCAAATATCTCTGTATCGATAGATATGTACATAAAAAAATATATGCACATTTGGATTAAGTTACATGAAAATGATGGCAAACCCAGAAATAATTCCTCTTGTTCGTCTGCACATTTATAATGAACGAACACATTTTTTCACCGCTTTGTTTTCGCATTTTCAGCCTCTTCGCCAGTCACTGTAAAATCTATGCTATATTTTATATATATATAGATTAGTGCAATTTCGCTCTCTTTCTCCTACCTCCTGCACAAATTTATGAAGTAATTATTGTTGTTCGATCAAATGTGAATGAATTTTTGTTTTCTTGCTAACAGTACCAACGTAATATCAGCCAAAGCGTTCCATATGGTTTTAATATCGAATAAATGTGTTAGAGCGAACGAGTAAAACGAATGTACAGCAAGCCGCTAAAAGACACATTGCATGGAGTGCTTTGTATACTGACTAATGCAATATGTGTATGCGTGTTTTTTTTTCTTCGTTCAAATGTACGTAATTCACATAATTTGTGTACAATTGCGCTGGATTGTAATATTTGGGACATGCAAACTAGTAAATAAAGGTGCGATAAACCTATCAAGCGTAAGTGCACGCGCTTGAACATATACAGCAAAGAGACCCCCACACTCTCTTTAATTCAAATGCTCAAATCTAAATAGACTTTGCTCGCACGATAACAGAGAAAATGCGGAAATAACAATTCATGATGTAGATGCCGTACATTTGGTGGTAAAACATACTTCCTTGCCACTTTTACCGCCGTCATTTGTTTCAGCTTTTCACAATTTAATCGCACTTTAAATATTTTGCGCGCAATATAATACTTGCATAAAGAAGAAGAAGAAGAAAAGCGCAAATGTGTTTGGCGCCGAGTGAACAATTTACACCCGAAGAATTTCAATGAATGTGTGAAAGTTTAGAATCGAACACTTTCACTTTGGATGAATAGATACATCTACTTTGTCGGAAGTAATTTAACGATCAGTCAAATGAAAGTGGCGTTACTGTTAATTACAAATTCTACCAATAAATCATCGAAATCATATTCCGTTCTTTTTTTTTTTGTATTTCATTTTCGCTGTCTCGTTTCGATTCTTTTTTGTAATTTTACATTTTTTATTTTTCTGTTGCACAAATATAGCCGTAAGATATGGCCGAGTGCCTAAGAGATCACGGGAGTTAAGTGGAAGCGACGAAAATGCCGATAGAGATAAAAGAAAACGTAAGTACATGAAAGCTTTGCGCGAATCATCCGAATGAGAGATTTAAAATAACGTCTTAGCCAATATATCGAATAATCTTAACCAAAAAAAAAAAAAATGAAAAGCTTTTGGCAATGCTGAATTATGCCATTTGTGAAGGCTTTGCTTTCACAGAAACTCTCATCATCGTAATTAAATGTCAGAGCGAAGAGACTTTTTTTTGCTAAATGAAAAAGGATTGAGAAAATAATCCTGTTAATATTAGAAAATAAATAATAAATGTTGATGGTAGTGTATGTTTAAAATATGTGTATGGTTTTGTTTGTATTGCAGCGACGCCACAAATGTGTTCAGTTGCATCACCACCCGATATAGCATCGCTTGCACCAGACCCAACTGAATTGCCTGGCTCAACCGATCTATCGACAGTATATGATGTTATTTGTCGTGTTTCACAAGCTGCAGAAGAGGTATGCATTTTATATTGACACGTATTCGTGTGTGTATATTTGTTTGTATGCAAACAAGTAAACACACAATACACGTACGTGACCAAACATTAACGATCGTTTATGCTAATATTTGATACATTTTAATAGACGCTTCTGGTGAGAAAATCATCAATCCAGATGCAAAGCGACCCAGTTTCCGATGAAGAATGTGAGGTAAATATCGTAATACGCAATCGAAATGCGTGCTTTTTTTTCTTCAAGTTCTTCGTTTTCTTTTTGTCCGTTGCCAAATCAAACATAATGAAAATCAATTTGTAAACCATTTGAAAATGATATGTGTATTTTGGCCCGTTTCACTTTTTTTTCTTCATTCATTTTGATTTCGTTTAGTTGACGGCAACCGTAACGGATGCATTAAAGCGAAAGAAAATTTTACTTTGGCAACATTTTGCGAGCCACATCACACCAGGTGTTCAACGTGTAGTCGAATTTGCAAAACGTGTACCTGGTTTCTGTGATTTTCCCCAAGACGATCAACTAATATTAATTAAATTAGGATTTTTCGAAATTTGGCTCAGCCATGCAACTAAATTAGCCACCGATGGATCGCTTACATTTGACGACGGCAGTTTTTTGACACGTGACCAATTGGAAATTATATACGATGTAAGTGTCTCAGATTTTTAGCTCTTTGACATATTGATCACAATTTTCGATTTTTTTTTTATTCTGAAATTATTTTTCTTTCAATATTTAGAATGAATTTGCGCATGCGTTTCAAAATTTTGCAAATGGCCTTAATGAGTATGGCTTAAGTGACGCAGAAATCGGTTTATTCTCGGCTTTGGTCCTGCTCACGGCCACTCGTCCAGGTATAACAGAACCTAAACAAATATTACGCACACGTGAACGTATCGCCGAAGCGTTACGTGTACAAATTGTTCAAACGCGATCCGGATCAACAGCGGCATTACAATTGATGCCAGCGCTTGAAGCAAAAATAACCGAACTGAAAGCGATCGGTGTGCATCATTCATCACATTTAAATTGGCTGCGAAATAATTGGACCCTATTAAGACTTCCACCCCTGTTCGTCGAAATATTTGACATTCCACACGATGACGAGTGATCCGAATATACACCCATCCTAATGATGATATGCAGTTATGATTGTTGATATAGACTTTTGATGTTGTTTCACTTTCTTTTTCAATTTTCGAAGGAGAGGCAGCAAAAACGAATTGTGGCCAAATATAAATATACATGTGTGTATAACAAACACAAAATTAAAGAGAGAAATGCATTGAATATTTGTGATGAGAAACACAAACAAAATTTTCCTCTCAAATGCGGTACAATCAAATTTAGAATGTTAAAATTACTATTTCAGAAGAAGAAAAATGATGAAATTGGAAACAATACGTTTAAAAGAGAAAAAATATTTTAAAATACACACACACACACACACACACTCTAAAAATCAATATGAATAAATGAATACTCTCGAAATGTTGATGCAAAGATAAGTGACGTTACTTAGACTGTATCGAAAAATGGCAGCAAAACATTCAATGAAAATGAACAAAAGTAATCAATGGAAGTGAAAACTCACACACAAACAAAAACAATTTCAAATGAAATGAAATCAATATTTCTAATTTCTGTAATACATGCGAAATTTGCCAAAATTTTATCCAACCTAATAGTCGGAAAAAAACCTGAACATCAAAGAAACATAAAACAACAACTTAACATTTATTGTATAGATAACACGATTTTAGAGCGAGCATAAATTAGTACCAGTAAGTTTTATTTCAGAACATATCAAAATGCGCGTACGAAAAATTTTGAGACGTCGAGGAAGTGGAAGAAGGAGAAATTAAAAATTTATTGAGAATAGCGACTCATAAAGTCTGCTGTGGAGGCTTAATATATTATTAATATATGTCAAATATTTCGTTTCTATGCATTGTTTATCTTCGTTTTCATTCAATTTCACATTTTGTTTTTACATCTTACTATTTATTTTATCTTCTTTCAATACGAGGAAGAAAATAAAATGGAAAATAAGTGTTTAGATCTAACATTAAATAGATTATTATAGCAATTATCAAGTAATTGTCTGTTCCTTCAAATTAAGATCACAAAATACGTACAATTTGTATTTTTCGTTTTTTTGTACGAAAAATCATCATTCATATGTTTTTTTTTCTTCAATCTATTCTCTTTCTTTCTATGTTTCCTATAACATTAAAACAAATTGACAACAAATGATTTGTAATTTTAAAAAATTTGTGATTTCTTATCAGACTTGAATTGCACAGCATACTCATTTTCATCATCTTCATATCTCTCACACTCTCTATTTCATCCAATCATAAATTTTTTTCATTGAATCTAGCATTTTAAGACATTTTTCATTTCATAACCATTCGACAACACAATCTTTTTGGGCACAATATATTCTGTTTTTCTCTCCCTCTCTTTCTTCAATTTCATTCAATACATAAATGTCGAAGTGAACTGTTGTAATTTTCATTCTGGCTGTAAATTTTAATTGAATCGGTGAGAACTAACTTTAAGCCTTATGCATTTGCACATTTTTCGAAAAAACCATATTTTTATGACTTTGAAAGAATCTCTAATTTTGCTGAAAATATGCATCAATTATCTTTCGTCGTTTTTCGTTTATGCGAAAAGTGTGATAGTCCATAAGGTTAATTAGAGTGACTAAAAAGCACATATACATACACATTACAATAACCCTGTACACGGTCACAATTATTCATTTTTATGGTGCTACTTTTTTAGTTCATTTTCAAATCTCTATCTCTTTTATCATCTTTTTTTATCGATTATACTTGTATTAAACACTGCAATTGATTCATAGCAATTTTGCGATAACTGCCTTTCTTTTTATATAAAAGTGTATTCGTAATTTTTAAGCGAAAATAATGGTGCCGCCTACACTTTCGAAATGAGCAATAGCAAAAAAAAAAATGAAAAATTCGGCAAACGATCAGTAGTGTATTACTTTAGTAATACACTACTAATTTTGCAAGTTTCGAATGAAATGGCCTCATTTCTTATGCGAATCGAAATCGACTTTTGTTATACATCAATAATTTTCCAGAGATTTACTCGGCACAATTGTCATTCACTGATTGAAACAATCAGGCAGCTGGGTATATGTTGCATGCGATAACATTACATCGTTCCCTCTTTGATTTTGAGAAAGTGCGATTTATTTTTTTATAACAGAATTTAATTTTTTTTTTGTGGAACTTTTCACACTTCTTTCTTTCACTGCCATTCAAAATCAAGAAAGGAATGACGTACCGTGTCTACATGCAACAAAGAGAAAATAAATGCTTGCAAAATACTAATTTAATATTGGAAAGCTTTATTGCGAAGAAAATGGAGTTATTGCAAAAACAATTACTTCATTTTTTTTATTAGCATATAGTGTCTCTTCTTATTCAGCCTGTAAAAAATTTGTTTTTATCCTCAGTCCATTATATTTCAATGTTCATTTCGTTTTTATATAATGAAATTCTCTTGTTATAAATATTGCGAACGAAATGTTTACTATTTGTTTGCTGAACAAAGTGGCATATGACATAGATTTTGTTTGTATAGGTATTTTTTTTGTAATGTTTCATTTTGTTTTAAGTTAAATTCTCGCACAAAATAATTATTTTTAATTGAAACAAATAAAATACATAAAAAATATGTAAACTCTAATAACAAGAACAAAAACAAGCAAAAACTTTTCAAAAAAGTCAAAAAACGCCCAATAAATCTATCGATTTCGATTGCTAGCAATATTGTCTGTCGAAGCCATGCATTGAGTTTTGACTTTTATCAGTTCATTACTTTTAGTTATTATTAATCACCGGAGTTTCCTTTTATATATGGCATAAACTCAAATCTATTTTGTGATATCTTATATTTGTTTTCTTTTAATCTTCAATCGTTCACGATTTTATATGCATAAACCAGTTCACGGATTTCAAATGTTAATATGGTTTTCGGTATATAAACATTTTTCTTCCATTTACGCGTTGCATGCGAATCCAATTTTCAAATTGGACTATCAAGGTGTAATACGATAAGAAGAAAAAGGCGGACACATATTTTTTTTTTTTTTTAAATAATGATATGGAACTGAAATGTGAAATCTATTATATTTTTTATTTCTTTTGCTCGTCAAAAACTAATGAATTTACACATAAATACAAAAAAAAGCAAAATTTAATAAACTCACCCAGATCCAATCAAATTCAAAGTAGACTCTTTTTAACCATCAACAAAAACAAAACAACTTACGTTTAAAAATGAATAAAATATCAACTATTTCGATTCCAAAACGATGCAGTTTTCCTTTTTCAATTGATTGGCACACTTACCTGGTCCTTTGAATGGAAAAAAGTAGTGAGTATACACGTTTGTTTTACAGCAGCTATTAAAGTTAGAATTTTAATTAACCAATTCGAGCATTTTATTTGCATGACATTGTCAATTTCTTTGTACACATTAGTCATTAATATCTTTTGCTCAAATATGTATATTCATTTTAAAATTTAATCACTTCATAATATTTAATAGATGACAACAACGTTTGAACATTATGATCTTGTTGTGAATATAGGTATGGGTGTATATTTTCATTTTCATCTGCGGTGAGCTCTAATTTGTGTATATTATATGGTCGTGATACATTTACGGAACAATAATAAGCATAACAGTCAATAATTTCATTCTTTGTTTCAACGACAAAAAAAAAATCGGCTCTTATCGATTTATTTGCAATGACACATCAATATGTATGTATATGTTTTTTTTTTCATTATCATTAGAATATACAATCAAATATCAACTTTGAATCTTCGATAACATTTTCACGTTCATAAATTTAACATGGAATTAGTTAGCACTGACAATGATATGTTTTCAGTTTAAATAAGTTAAATTCAATATACTGCATTCATTTATCCATCCATCTTCGCTCTCATTCATTTTATTAAGTTTTTTTTTCCAAGGCGGAATGATATGTATGTTTGTGATGGTTTTCGAATCAAAATTTAATAAATTGATCGAATATTTTATGCACCGATTTTTTTTTAATATTCTTTGTTGCATAATTCTTTTTTGTCTTGCTCTTTTTTTGGGAAGTTAAAATTTCTCCTCATAAAAGCCTCTATTACATAAAACTAGAATTCATAAAATGTCTTTTTACTATCGGGCTTATAGTCTGAATTTTAAATTTTATAAATGGACCATTGACACGCATATATTTTTAGCATTTATGTTTTATTTTCTTTAGATATTGCAGGAATCTTTTGAGAAAACAAGCGAAACAAAAACTTATTCGATTATAGAAAGAGTAAGATCTTTTGATGAGATCGAAAGAAACCTATGTTTTTTTTTTTTAAATAGACTTATGGACCGTTGATTGTGCAGTATAAATTGCACCGAAGTGGCAAAAATATGAATAAACATAAATTATTAAAAAAATTAATATAGTCATGCCCCAAAGCTTTTATCACTTTCAGGCTACCGTAAAATGTGCCAAAAAACATAAGTTCTTTTTTGAGCTCACGAACAGAAATGCGTTCAAAATTCGAACGGCCATTGTATATCATAAGTACAATAGCAAAATAATGAAGGGCTGATTTCACTTTTCAGTTTGAAAGTCGCTTGTTTTCAAAATGCACTCCTTTTTTGAACGAGCTTTTAATATTGCATGCACTTGCTTGCTCGAATGCATAGCCATTCCTAGAATATACCTCGTATATTGTGAAATATAGCTTGTTGCAAATATTATATCATAGCTCGAGCGTATGTCTCCATAAATGTTAAAATTTATTTTTGGCTTTCGAGCTTTGAAAAAACTGAATCAATTCATTTTCTTTTACTTTATTTTCAATATTGGAATCCGTTATTTGTTTAAATTTCTCTTAACGTTACATTAACACAATTTTAAAATGAAGCATCCATTTTTAAACGATTTTTTCCTCTGTGTTGTCTGTGTCATCGACTTGAACAGTGTACAAAAAAAGCAAATAAACATATAATACAGTGAAATTAAAAACAATAAAAATAAATAGTTTTATTTTAACCATTAGATCATATGTTTTTTTTTTTCTTCAAAAAAGTTTTCATAAAATATGGCCATTTGAGCATATGTAAAAATGATAATATTAAACTATACACATCCCAAGAAGAAGTTATAAGAAACCCTGAATTTTATCATTATATTTTTTATTACTTTGTGCATATCTTCTTCAAATAAAATTAATGACAAAAACAACAAAAATGAACTCAAACATTTCATTCTTATGCACGTAATACACAAATAAAAACTTAAAAAATTTGCCGAAAAAAAAAATCATTGTCTTGAATAATTGCTGCTGTTAATATAAATATGGATGGTCTGCTGTTACACCACTCACTGCGAATGGTTCATGGACACAATTTTTGCCAGAAATGTGTAATGATTAGCATGCACGTTTGTGTGGCTTTACTCCTTGCAATTGTTTTGGTTTTTTTTTTGCTAAACTAATATGTATAAATATTTTGTGTGATAGATGTTGGCGACTTTATTCGGGTCGATTGGCGAATAATTGATCGACAATACTTTCGTCGGCCAATGTTGATGTGTCACCAACATTACGATCATTTATGGCAATTTTACGTAGAATACGACGCATTATTTTTCCCGAACGTGTCTTTGGTAAGCCGGGTGCATGTTGGATTACATCCGGTTGCGCAAATGGACCAATACGTTCGCGTACCAATTTTTTCAATTCATTCACTAACGTTTTATCAAACACCTCATTTTGATTTGGTGTTATGAAGCAGTAAAGACATTCGCCTTTGATTGGATGCGGGCGTGAAACAACAGCCGATTCGGACACCTTTTTATGTTCGGTTAGAACAGCTTCAATTTCTGCCGTTGACATCAAATGTCCCGACACATTAAGTTTGTCATCAATGCGACCGGTGATCCAAAGATATCCATCAGCATCACGTCTGGCTCCTGTTTTTTTTTTTTTGAAAAATAAAAAAATTAACAATAATAATTTTTTTTATCTTAACAGGGAAATCAAGAATATCGACGAAAACTTACCATCTCCAGTACAATAATATCCCGGGAATTTTGAAAAATAAGTTTCTTCATAGCGTGGATGATTGTTATAAATGGTACGCATTATGCCAGGCCATGGTTGTGAAAATACTAAATATCCTTCACCCTCACCGACTACTTCAACACCATTCTCATCCAAAAGTGATGGTTTCACACCGAAAAATGGGAACGTCTAAAAAAAGAAATGGTGTTATGATGAGAAATTGACAAAAAAAAAAGAACTATGAGTATACGTACAGCTGATCCCGGTTTCATTTTTGTTGCACCCGGCAGTGGTGTAATGACATGGCCGCCAGTTTCAGTTTGCCAGAATGTATCAACAATAGAGCATTTTCCTTTTCCAATTTTTCTATAGTACCACAGCCATGCTTCTGGATTGATTGGTTCGCCAACACTTCCCAAAATGCTACATAAAAAAATGTCAGCGTTCTTAGGTTATTCGGTTCAAATATATATTGATGTGATTTAATAATTTACCGTAAACTTGTTAGATTATGTCTTAAAACTGGTTCATCGCCGAACTTCATTAAAGCCCGAATGGCCGTTGGAGCGGTATACAATTGATTCACCTTATATTTGTCAACGACTTGCCAATACCGATCGTTATCTGGAAAGAATGGAGTGCCTTCAAACATGACGGACGATGCACCATTCGCCAGTGGTCCATAAACGACATAAGTATGACCGGTAATCCAGCCAATGTCAGCCGTGCACCAATAAATATCACCCGGTTTATAGTCAAAAACATTTTTAAATGTTGTGCTTGCATACAATAGATAACCAGCTGTTGTGTGCAAAACACCTTTTGGTTTGCCCGTTGAACCACTCGTGTACAACATAAATAATGGATCCTCTGCGGCCATCCATTCTGGATAGCAAGCCGCTTCAGCTTCTTCCATTTCATCATTCCACCAAACATCACGATCATCATTCCATGGTGTTGATTTTATTGTTTCCGCAGCTTTAACGCAACCGGGCGTAACACGATTCAAATGCGCCACAACAATGCATTTCGAAACTTGATGACCCAATTTAGCTGCCTTTTCCATTGCTTCATCGCAAATGGCTTTTATTTCCAATGGTTTTTCACCACGCCAGGCACCGTCACACGTGATCAGCACCTTTGCTTTACAATCATCGATTCGATCGGCCAATGAATCCGATGAAAATCCAGCAAACTAAGCGGACGTAATCATAGAAACCAACATTAAATAATGAACAAAACAAAATGGAACGTTAATTATATTAATCATATATCAAATTAAAACACTTTCGTGCACGTTTAGTCAAAGTGCATCAAGATAAAAGTATAAAATATAATAATTACCACAATGGAATGTATCGCACCGATACGGGCACACGCAAGCATTGCAATCGGCAATTCAAGAACCATTGGCATGTAAATTGATACAGTGTCACCTCTTTGCACTCCATGAGACTTCAAGACATTGGCAAAGCGGCACACTTCTTGCAATAATTTTTTATATGTAATTCGCGAATAATCATCCGGATGATTTCCTTCCCTATTTGATGGAAGAAATTTAGCGTCATTGAAATATTGCGTCCGTATTTGACAAATGGTTTTGTTTTATTATTTTTTATATCGACATACTAATAAAATTAAATACTGTAATTATTTATCAATGGTCGATTGTAATATGACTGTTTCGATTCACCTGAATGATGATTATGAAAATCATGAAATGTCAAAGTCATTACGATCTCTTCAAATTGTTCGGTTTTGTGTAAAGAAAATGAACTAAAACAACCGTAAGTAAATAAATACGCGGTACAAGTGCAATGAAAACAGTTTGCCTAGACCTCATTGTTTTGCTTTTTAAACATATATATAATCTGCGTGAATGACTGCATTGTGCACTCTGTAGCTTACCCGATCAAACAACTTCTATTCTTTCCTTCTCCTTCCTTCTCCTTCTTCTATTTATTGTTTTATATTAATTCGATAAAATACTTCACAAGTAAGCGTGAATGTTTTACACAAATTGACATTCAAAATGTGATTATAATTGTATTTCATTATTATCTATCCTGTAATTTTTTTTTCCTCGTTAATGCTCGTTAGTTCTTTATTTACTTAACGCATTATTTACTTAATTCAATTTGTGCCCACGAAATTGTTATTTTGTTTACTTGTTTTTCCATCCATATATTTAGCGTTGTCGATTTTATCATTGACAGAAACAAGTACACATGTTTGTCAATGCATTTAGATGAAAACGAATAAAAAAATACTAAAAAGTTAAAATCATCCACGTTGCAATAATCACTTTTTTTATTTCTCTCTTCCATTTCATTCACAAGCTAATCTATAGATATATCATTCAGAATTTGAGCATGCAATGGTAATAAATAAATAAATAAAATGCACAACACTTGAGATAGCAATGTAAATTATCATACCTCACTTTAGGCTATTCATTGATCTGTTATTTAATGTGTAATCGGCATTTGAATTTGCATTTTCCTCCATTTATTTGCGCGACTCTTTTTTATTTTCTTATTTCTGTGTGTCAAAAATGACAAACGAGTCAATGATTTCGGTATTTTCTATTCAAATCAATCGTAGCTGTATGAATTTTAACGAGAGATTTATTAATATTATGGCACTTAAAATTGAAATCATTCATAATGGATTGAAGTGGAAACAAACCGGAAATTTAACGAGATAAATTTCAGCTCACAATATCGTATCGTTCAGCATATTTAATTGGCGTTGGCCTAATATAATCAGGATAATATTCTCCGTTATTAATGAATCCGAATAGTTAAGTGGTTCATTTTTCCTTTGGAATTATAAGTTGTTAAAAATGTTCAAAAATACCATTCGCTCAGTCTGTTATGTGTGTATGCGTTTATTTTTGCACTGCTTGACCTTGAACTTGATATTGATTGGCTTGTGATATGATCATTGCTAAAACAAAAACATCTGTATTGATAGTATATATACATTGAATTTTTTGTTGTTGTTTAAATACATATACGTATCATGTGTCTGAGGTATGGAATAATGGTTTCGTTGTCATGAAGGATATATGAATCAAATTCTGAGTGTCATGAAGTTTTTTTTCTTTTTCAAAAAAAAAATAATTAACAACAATATTATGATAGACGTCATGATTTTGTCATGCCATGAAAACCTCATTAATTCAATGCTTTGATAACACTTTGTGTGCACAAGACATCCAAGATGATAAAACAGAACCTTGTGAAGTGGGTAATATAAATATAACAAAAATTAAAATTGTCTATAAATGGAAGCAACCAGAACAACAAAAAAGAAGAAAGGTTACGACCGTAAAATCCGTTATTTCATTTGTTACGTTTATGTAATACAATGTCAATGATGTGTGTCTAACCGTGCGATAATTATTATCTTACATGACACAAAAGGATTCACGATTCTTCTCTTCCATCGTTATCACATAAAAAGCGAAAATCGAATATGGCATGATTTGGTCTGGCTCATTTCCTAATCAATTGAAGCATGATTTGATAACGGTGAAAGAAAAAATAAACATAGGAAACATTTTTTTTATTGAATAACCATTTTATTTAATTTTTCAACACCAAAACTCATCGTATCCACTCATCGATTAGTTTAATTCGAATTGAATAACGTTTTGAAAATGTGACTTAATTTTTGCATAAGTAACTGAACTTTTTGTCTTCAATTCTTCGATTCGATTCGATTTTATAATTGATTGTAGGTCACGAATTAACATTTTATGCTAATCGGCACGCAACCACAATTCAACGGGGCAATTCGATTGAATGATACCATTTGAAATGATTTACTACGGTAAATAATCCTGTTCGATACACATACATTGGTGGATTTATTATGTTGTTCGTCTGCCTCTACAAATTATAACCAACCGATAATCGCAATCTCAAACCAAAAAAAAAAAAAAACACACACCGTATGTGCGAATTTATTTTTATTTTTATTTTATTTCGATTTGGTTTTTGCTGCACATATTCGATAAAAATAGTGTTTGATTAACACAACCTTGGAATAAATTCTAGACGGTGATAATAATAAATATTAAACTGGAATCGACGTTTGCAGGTATTTGGATCTTTCCATATAAATAGGATATACAAATGTCACAAGTGGGAAAAGAACAAAAAGAAGCGATCAAAAAGTGATAAATCCTTGTTTTTTTATGATTCTTGTATGCTATTTGAGGGTCAAATTATCCAAATTGCTTGTCATTGACGGCAAACATAGAACATCAACTACATACACACACACATGTTTATATATACAAAAAGATATTGACTTGGCCATTTTAATTTCGTATGGTGTTCAAAGAATGAGACATTTTATCGATTTTTTTATGTATCTTGCGTTGGTTGGAAACGCCAGTTCGTTGGTATTGAGGCTTTTTTTATACAATCGTGTTAGCATTCAAGAATGTCCTTATCCATTTCAGTTGCATTTCTTTGCGCTTACATAACACGCGCTCGAAATTTCATGCGAAGTGTTTGTTTAAATAAAACCTGTGCTACAATCAAGGCAAACAATGTACAAAATGATTAATGAAATTGTCGACATTCACGATGCAATTGTCGTGCAATCACATTGATATTCACCTGATTTTTCCCCTGTTCTAACATAAAATTGAAAAATTACGACATTTCTTTTTGCTATTGTGCATGACTGATTACAAATACGGTCAGCAAGAGGTTTAATTATTGAAAAAAGTTTCATCCATTACAGACGACAACTGCATATTTGTACAGAGAAAAATGGACACAGACGACAATAATTGTTTATAATACGTTGAAAAATTCACCAATCAACAAAATGTATAATGGTTGAAATTACATGAAAATACTTGGAAATCGTCCGAGAGTCGAAGCCATCATCGAAACGACAACAAGATTTTCCCGTTTGATAATGTCACTTACTATTGTAATTTTTCAAATTATAATGCTTTAATGAGATGATTAAATAAACAGACCTACAAACTCTTTAATATGCATACATCAATCAGCTGTTTTCACTATATGTGTTTTTATATTCTTCATTGTTTTTGGCATTAAATTGAATGTTATGCGTGTTGTTATTACTTACCAATAGTAGGCAACTTGATCGGCCAATCCATTTTTGACATTGCGATCCAATAGGTTGAATGACAAATTGGTCGAGGCGCCAGTCATCCATTTCGTAAAGATTGGACCTTTTTGAGTGTCAAAATTGTACGAAAAAAAATCCTTTGGATTGGCTTCGGTTTCCCAATGAAATTGCTTTGCAATTTCACCCCAAAACGTTTGAGGGCTTTCTATTGATTTTTGATAGAGCTCTTCATATTGTTCAAAGCTGCTTACGTACGCATTCTCGCTGAGATCGTTGTCGGGTGCGAAGACCGTACCATTCATTTCATTTGAAGACATCCTAACAATCGGTATACTCTATTCCTTTTGATTGAACTATTTTATATGGTGTGACTGTTATTCAGATGTCAAGTTTATTTTTTTTTTGTATTTTGGGTGCTTGGTCACGGTTCTAAAAACACTGAAACTATGTACACGCACTTACACCACAACCACACACACACACACGTACACACGTTCAATTATTTCGATTAAACACAATTCAATTGGATTTTTAATATCGGTTGTTGAATCTGCTTCCAGAACTCATGCGACACATAAATTCGAATGCTTACTTTAAATTTGGTTTCGAAAATGTATCATTTCATTTATGAATTGGTCGTTGTTTATATTAGTTTATTCTTTCTGCTAGTCGCTGAAATGTTAAGTCATTCCTTTCTTATCTAATATTTCGATTATTTGCGTATTTTCGCTGCGTTTTGTCCGAATTGGGATTTATCGCATCAAAAAAAAATGTTCATTCAAAAACTGTTGTTTCTGCAAAGCTCAATGTGTGTAAGTGTGTATTCTTGTATGGAAATTGTTGTAATGACTCGAGTGTCGTTAAACAAATGTTTATTTCGATTTGGTGTTAGCGAACGCACAACTTATTTTATGTGAAATGAGTGTTTTTTGGAAGGCAGTCTCCCGTCAACTAAAATGTGTAAATTCAAATTTGCAAAATATGACACAGACTCGGACTGTGCATGTATTTGTGGGAAACGTTTTTTTACTTCTGCTTCTTCTCCTCTGTATTTTGTTGTTGTTGTTGTTGCACTGTATAATCGCAAGGACAGTATCGATGATGATAATGTAAATGAAATACGATAGAAAAAGATACCGCAAACGACAACACAAAAGTGGAAGTGAAAAAGAAAAGTTGCGCTTATTTCAAAGGGGGAATTGAAATGCGCGCGTACAGAAAACGGGAAATTAATTTTTGTGTGTACGATTTTGAGTATATTTTATTTCATTTTCAATCGTATGGTTTGTCAATGTTTCCAGCAGTAAATAGAGTTTTTAAGCAAGGTTCGCACATGCGTACCTCAAAACTTGTATTTGTATCTAAATGTGTGAATGTGTATTTGTCATTCAATATACACAGCCTTTTTGTATCCAATTTACTGACGATAACTATATATTGTGTATGTGTGTTGTAAATCATTACATTTGAAACTGGTAAATTGCTCGACGATTGGAAAACCGATCCATTCTCTTTCTTAATGCAAATTTACGTCAAGCAATTCAAGCACATGCTGTTTCGCATTCACATTGACTCATATTCGTATTTGAAAAAAAGGGGAATTTTATTTTAAGTTTATTGGAATTTTCACAGCCTTACATAATCCCACACACATATGAATATAAGATAAATCGCTAGTTAAACCACAATATAATCGCATTTATTGGAAAGTCCCAAAATTTAAGAATCGACGCAAACAAAACACTGAATTACTTTTACTTTTATTTTATTCATTTACACACTAAATAAATGCACTTGTTATCGTTGTTTTTCTCGTCAATTTTCAATGTATTATTTTACATCGTTTATTTCAAATTCTGTAGTAAATATTCGCTGATTCATTCAATTGCACCACAGTTTATTTCATTGAAGAAGAAAAAAGCAAACCGTCTCCATTTGATAAACAAAGCATGAGAGAGACACACACTTAAATAGCGGTGTCGGTCTTCCAGTTTTCCATGTGTCAAATGCGTTATTCAATTGATGTTCACAAGATGGGGCTAACTGAACTTTAACTTGTGTAAACGATGTGTTCAGATCCAAAAAAATATATGTAACAAAATAAATCTATAAGAAAAATTATATAACCATTGCCAGTTTTCATCATTTCAAATGACACATTGCAATTGTACTACAATCGCTCAATTCGTGCAAATTAAAGAATCTCATAAGATTTTGTTTTAAGCGACAAATATACCCGGCAAATTGCCAATTATGTAATCAAAGTAACCAAAACATTCTCGATGATAGCAAATTTTCGTGTGATTTTTTTTCTCGTTTTATTTTTTTTTTGATTGACAGCATCAACTCTTAACTCGAATAAAAAAAAAAACAATTAAATAAGCAAAATTTGAAATGTTAAAAGAAGAAACAAAAACTCATGCATTCATGATCGATTTTTAATCGTTTTACGATTGTGATAATCGTTTACGATCTAGCATTGTTTATTTTTTACGGATCCTTTCATTTGTGTTTCAATTAATGCTTTAATGTGATGATGACTTTAGATATTCGTCGTATTTTTCTTCATTCATTAATGTATCGACTTCATCTTGTTTGCTGAGTTTTACTTTGAACAGCCATCCTTTATCGTAGCATGAGCTATTGATAAGGCTAGGTGTATCTTCGACTTCTGTATTCTTTTCGGTGACGGTTCCCGAAACCGGTGTATATACCTCACTGGCTGCTTTAACACTTTCCAGTGCACCACATTCGTCACCCTGTGTCAAAACTGTACCCACATCAGGCAATTGTGCAAACACAACATCACCGAGAGCCTCCTACAAATCGAACAAATATACATTAGATATACGAATTTTGAAATTGAATTATATTGTCTACATACTTGAGCATAGTTTGAAATTCCAACAATACCGATATCGCCATTCACCTGAACCCATTCATGCTTCTCCGTGTATTTTCTACCTACACAAAAGAAAATATTCATTCATTTTTTTTTAAACAACCATCGAACATGGACAGGTTACCTGTGAAAAGTGCCGGCGATGCACTGAAATGTCTTACATTTGACATGAACTTTGTGGATGCATTGTATTTTGCAAATTTGGCGAATGCTCTAATGCCAACCGTTGAAGATGCACGAATTGCTTGACACAAAACCATTTTTCCGTTATTCGAGATTCAGTTTTAACTGATTTTTTTTTTAAATTGAATTTAGTTAGTTGAAAGAGTTGCACTTTTTGCGTTTTGTTTCAATTTTTTTTATTGCGGTCAGTGTTTCGAAATCTGCTTCACAGACACAGCACAAATAATTAACTGATGAACATCGATATGAGAATATCCGCACAATATCAGTATAAAAACAAATGTTAACGCAATCTGTCGATGAGGGAATCCAGTTTACGACTGTTTTCTTAAATCAATTCAATTTTTGAATGTAATACACTTTTGCATTGAAGTGATAACAGTTCGGTTGTTGAGCGAGACAACAACACACAAATGACATCTAATGTCATCGCTGGTAAAATTTAAAACGAATGAAGTAAGCAAAAAAAAACGCGTCGACGACGACAACAACAACAATACCATGTATATATAATACGACTAGAACCGCATCCACTGTGCCGTCAAACGTGCGGTTCATAGTTTAATCAACGCACTATTTACGCGCTCAATTCAACCGTTTTTATTTTTCGATTTTCATTCGGAAGTAATTCGGATTTATCGCGAAATTTATTTGGTTGGAAATGTTGAGCATTTTTGTTTATTTGCTTTTTTAGGTTTCAAAATGAATTTGAACTGTCTGATAGAATATCAAATGAAGCAAATATTTGTTCATACAAAAGATGCGGCCCTGACTGATTTCTTCCGTTGATAATCTGACGCCATAGGTCAACATTTTTATCCCTAGTTCATTTCAATTTTTGTTAATTGATAAGGGAGCAAACATGCTTGTTTTTACTTCAATGAAGTATACACATGATGATTGTATCGAAACGTAGTAACTGACGAAAAACTGATCTAGAAACGGATGGATTCCATGCGCAATCGTTCGTTGTCATTTTTTTTCATTGATTTTTATGCGATCAGAAAACATCTGAATTTATATATGCGAGAGTATATAAAAGAGTTTTTATTTTTTTAATTTTGTGACCTGTTCGAGGGGGAGCATTGATAAAATAAATTTCATGTTCAAATAAAACGATCACATTTCACTGTGATATACATTTAATTTATAATTTTAAATATTAACAAGAATACATCTCAATCTGACATTGATTTCACTGACAAATCAGCGATGTGGCGTAAAATAATTTCACTATGTTTTTTTTTTTTTTTTTTTTGTATGTGACAACAGTATTTTTGCTTCCTGGCTCTCTCGCCCGTTGTTTCTTTCAATAATTCATTTAAAATATATTATTAGTTTTGTATATTAATGCACATCTCTACTTACGTATTTATTATATTCGATTTAGATTAATCCTTAACATTGTAAATATTGATTCAATGCTATTTTTTTGCACTGCGATTGGAATTCTTGAACACGTTTCTCAGTCATGCCAGACACATAATACATTGTATTCAATAAAGTGAATTGCATTTAGGGGATTTTCAATGTTATATTGGTGTTCAATTTTCGCGTCTACTACAGTTTATATATTTTTCTTTATAAAATTATAATATTATGGGCTAATGTTTTTTTCTTTTGTTTTGATTCGTCGTTTAATGATTTTTTTTTCTGAAATTTAGTATCGAGATTAGTGGTTTGCTGATTGAATCAATGTCATGAATTTCGCGATTGATTAATAGATACGAAGCCTTCGAAGCATCTAGAAATTTAATGTAACTTACCAACTGTGTTAATCTAAGCTATTTTACATTTGGAGCCATTTTGGAGATAATTCAAAGAATTTTAACTCCGAACGTAACTACCTTTTTTGATTACATCAAATAGAACTTTTAAAAGCATGGAATAACGTCCATTGGATATCTAGATATTGGCCTGAAATTAATTTTGAAATTATCTGAGATATCACATCGAGTATGAAAGATGAATAGACGTCCGCGGAATTTTACTTGATTATAGACATACGTGCGTACTTGATGTTTTTCAAATTGTGACCTCTTCGAGGGGGAGCATTGATAAAGATTACGTGCCATGTAAATATATTTGATATTGATATAGATTTATTTTATATAATTTTAAATAATAATAATGTCATACATCTCAAGTTGACTATAATTTTAACACATCAATTATATGGCGTGAAAGAGATTATTTCAATTTGTGCCAAGTTTTCTATGTTTTTATGTGATAACGATATGTTTGTTTACTCACTCTCTTGTTTTGTTATTTTGGAATCGTTTCGCAAATTATATAGATATAAATTCGTTTTGTTTATTGATATACATCGGTTTGAAAATGATGTTTCGATGCTGCTTATTGGATATACATATTTCAGTCATGCTTTCGCACTGAGTTTATAAACAGAATTCGTATGTATTTGAGAGGAATTTTAATTTTATGTCGCTTCTACTAGAATTTATTGTATTTTTTTTAGTCTCAATAAATAAAATATAATGTACAATATGTTCTTTGTACTTCGGGTTCGTTAACTATTCCAATTTATTTCTAACGATTAAATTAAATTAAAAGGAATTTTGGTTTGTGCGTAGTTGAAATCCTAATATCGTGATGAACGCAGTGCTGATCTAAGCGGTGGTCGTGTTTCAAACGAATCATGAATATTTGGACTGTAATCAGGTTCTGGTAGATGAATTTCACGTGGTTGACGTTTTTTCGTTGTTGACGCTTGGCCATTCATTACATGACCGTTGTTAACCGTTGAATTTCCACGTGGTTTTCTTCCATTCAATTTATCAATGTAACGCAAGTAATTCAGTTGCTGAGCTTCATAATGTCGTTTTCGTTCTTCAAATAGGGCAGCCGCTTGATTTTGTCGATACGCATCTTTTGTTGGTCGATCCACTGGACTCATTTGATAACTGTAATTTTGAAGTGAACTAAGCCATTGATCATCTCTGTAAATAGAATGTTGTTGTTGTTTTAAAGAAAATACATCGTCTTTTGCGAAATGGAAAACATGAAAACAAACTTTTCTGTATATGGGCTTGTATTTTGATGTGGTATCTTCTTGCGCATCGTTCCATCCGGTGAAACAAACGTTGGATTCGAAATCGCCGCCTTGATGCGATTATAATCGGATATTTTGAAAGTCTGTGTGAAGAAATAGATACACAATACAATATTGATCAACCATATTGTGTATCCGCGCAATGCCACGCTCATCATTACACCGGCTGCTGTTTTTGCGGCAACGATCAGGTATTGCGGTTGTGATGTACCAACCATTTCATCGACAGGAATACTATGCGTTTCGTGCTAACAACCAAAAACAGTATTTTTTTAAGTGACAACATTAAAACGAAAAAAAAAAAAAAACTTTCGTTTCAATCAATTTTCCTTACTCTTAAGGTATCATAATCGAGCCCAAATGCAACACCTAATCCCAAATCCAAAATCGATAAACTGGCCGTTAAAAAGATCCAAACAAATAGAAAGTAATTGGCATTTCGAAGTTTTACATACCGAACACCTATGCCCAATACACACATTTATTAAAAACCAATCAAATAATTTAATTACAATCGATAAAATCGTAAGCATGAGCTGTCAAAAAACATATTAATGTAATGCTGTACATACTTGTCAATAGTGTTATCGAACTGATTAACCATAGCGTTGAGATGCCACAGTAAACCCACATACAAATATGTATTTGCAACGGTTTTATTAAATTTAAACGATTAATCGAATTGAAATCGATGTTTGGCATTCCCGACTGAGAGCACGGACCTGAAATTCATTGTCAAATTATTAATATCAATTTCTAATTATTTTGCACATATTCAATAAGAAGAAGAAGAAGAAATGACAAAATATATTAAATTACCATGAAAATACATGTGGAACAGTGTTAATTCGGTTAGCGTACCGAGCGATGCAATCATGCCACGAAAATTGAATACACAAAAATAGGCAAGAATCGCTAGAATTGACATTGCAATCCATATTAGCGACTGTAGCTGTGAAAAAAGTGAAAAAAATAAATAAATAAATAATATTTAACACAAAATTAATTTATTGAGGTTGGACTGAGATCTTGAATTGTTGTGTTTTCTTTTATTCCATCGTTTTCTTTTATTCTTTTTGAATGTTTTTGAATGAAAGTGAACATACACACAGGTGATGGTGTGTTGTATTTACGTAAACGAGAATAATGTAATAAAAACATGGTAATGTAGGTGAAAAGCATCATTCAACTTAGAGAGAAAAAAACAAACGTTAGTTGTATACTCGTCAGAATCAATTAAAACAAATATCAATTGAAGCGAGTGACGAAGACAAGCAGAACATCGACGACGACGACGACGACGACGACAAACGAACGAGAGAAAAAAAACTGAACAAATAATTAAGTATTACACAAAATTATGGCGTGTATTCGAAAGAAGAAAAAAAAATATATGTAACAATACATGAGTCATTTGCATGCAAACCGACACGAAAATTATCGAAATTGTAGTGGTTTGTTTCAATATATTCTTGAATAGTTTACGTTGGCACTCATTATTCTTTTATGGCAACCACAAAAAAAAATATTATATTATATTTTCTGCTTAAATCACACTTTTCACATACGCTGACTTAGAGCCATTAAAAATAATAATAATGAAAATTGAATTTTGACTTACGATGCCGATGATTCCAGCAAAACACACAAGCGGTCGTAAAAGTCCATACGATTTATACATTTCACCTTCAACACAATCCGTTAATCGGTCTTATTTGTCTGTTAACCTTTTTTTTGTTAACGTAATCGTTACACACACGAAAAAGCAACAACATGAAACTATTTTGTTTTTAAATAATTCTATCACTCGTTCTATTTTCTGTAAAAATAGCGTCACATAATTGTAATTATTTATAAGAGGACATTTTTAACTGATCTTCATAATTGAAGGTGTTGTGTAAAAAGTCACTTGATCAAATAGTAAAAAATGTATCGAGAATCGTTTCGATTTTGATCGGTATTTCGTGTGAAAATTTCGTTCGTTTCCAATTTACAAGAAGAAATTTGAAGAAGAGAAAAAAAAAAACATGCGTTTAGTAACAGCAGCTCAATTTGTCTTTTCGCGCACCATTCAAAAGAAAAATGAGAACTGATAGACGATGTTATTTCGAACCGTTGTCGTTGCAAACAGATCAATAAGCACCCAAAATTATATTCTACATACAACGAGAGGCAAACAGCGAAAAAAAACACAAAATTAAATATTGCACATGTGTGTTGTTCTTGATGTTGGGTTTCACCGGTTGTCGCCGCCACGGCATTGCTATTTTATTGTTGTTATTGATCTTTCAAAGATTAGTCTCGTGTAGATTCTCTTTCTCACTCTGAATTCAATTGTCAAACGATGAAAATGAAACCACACACTTCCCAAAATGTACACCAAATTTTTATATTTTTATCACAAAAAGTCCAATTGTTCACTAACTTTTACTTGATTATCAGAACAATGCCGAACACATTTTTTGTACCTGCCTATTAGAATAAAGATTCAGCAACCGAATTTATGCCACAATGTAAAAGTAAATAAACGAACGCACATTTCGATATGCCGACACAGTTTTGAAAAGAATAAAAAAAATGAATGATTTCTCGATGCTAGTTCAACAACAATAATAAAGAAAAACACCGTATGAAAAAGATGGAGAAATAAAAACTTGAAACATAAAACGGAGAATGAAGTGTGTACAATTAATTCGATATTGATAATAGGCTAAATCGAAACAATACCATTGCGCAGAAGAGAAAATGTGATGTATTTGTATTCGCACCGACACCGACACGACATACGGAGCAAGATGAAAAAGCTGTATGTGGTGATGACAATATAATATTCATATGCGACAACTACGAGATGATTCGGTATGTAAACACGCGAAAAAAAACACACACAAACACCCGACAAAATACGTCATACAAAAATACGATACGACAATTTTCCGTTTTGCTGATCGAAGAAAAAGAAATTAAGATGCCTGGTTATCGGCGAACGAAAAAAAAATTCAATAATTCAACTCTGTTTAAACGCACACGCCAATTTGTATGATTAAGGTGTGGGTCATGGCTATACAAAATGCTGTCTTGTTTGTTTCTATTTTGGGGTTTCTTTTGTTTTTGAAATTTGAAATGATTCATTCGCACACCCGAACTGATCAAATCGATTTATCACCTTTTTTTGACACTTTGCAATCAATGGATCTTAATATATCATCATTTGCACTCCGTACGTAATTCGTTATGTCTCACGACAACGTAAATCCGAAATATCAAATTGCAATAAACAGACACAAAAAAAAACCATGCCCTCTAACTAAATCCTTCAATTACAATACACTCTATACGTTATCGCTTCATGAAATGTTTGCTATTGACGATCACCGATCGTCATTCGATTTTTTAAAAAAGCCAGAAAACGAAAGTGAATTATAATTATAAGCAAATAGAGAGCTTTTTATTTTGCGATATGTAAATTTATGAAGCACGAAGAACAAAAAAAAGAATCGGTTTAAATGTTGTCGAGCTACTTGCAACTTAATTTCTTCTTCAATTGTGTTTTTTTTTATTGTTCCCGCTGAAATGCACGGGATATGACCATGAATCATGTGAATTCCACAAATTGCAGTCGTACAATCATTTAATAATATGGGTATTTGTTTTATATGTCTGTTTATGTTATATTGTCATTTTTTCTCTCTATTTATGACAAAAGCGTCCAATTATCAATTTACCACCGACAAAATGAGCAAAAATAGTAGTTGAAATTACATTTTAATCTTTCGTGATATCAACGCTTAATGATGTTTTGCTGCTTTTCAGCAAATACACTTTAATGAGTGACAAGAGAAAGAGAAATCGAAATAGCAAAACAAATTGGCCGCACGATGTTTTGCATTTACATTTTCGTCCGTTCAAAACTGCATGTAAATTGAGAAAGAAACAAAAAACATGCCGAATGCGATGTTGTGTGTTTTGTGCTCGGGTTAAATAAATAATATTGTGACACAGACATCACAAACAAATTCGTTTTATCATCTCTCTGGTTTCACATTGAATGTACGAAAAAAAGTACGCGGTATTTTGATGCGTTCTTCAAAAAGAAAAAATTCGGCAAACATACACACAACAGATCGTCAATGGCTATGAATGAAAAAATTCAAATATGATACTTTTTTTTTCATTTTTCTTAATAAAATTTGTTACCTTGAACGAATAGTCAATTTTTCATTCGCCGTAACAATGCAAAATCAGCGAATGGTAACAAAATGCTGCGCTGTGCAAGACTACCATTCATTTCGCTTGAAAGAATCTGCACTGACCATCAACACATGGCAAATATTTCACAAAAATACAGGCGAAACGAATTCAATTTAAGTAAAACGAGAGAGTGTGTGTGTGTTTGAGAGAGAGAGAGAGAGAGAGAGAGAGAGAAAAGCATATTTATAAAGTGTTTCTTATTTTCAAATTCAAGATTTAATCGCAACAAACGATAACAATAATAATACCACGTTCGTTTCCATAACAACTATAAACGAGAAAACTAATTAATCATTTAGTGTACACCCAACACGTACGTTGTTTTGTTTATGTTATTTAATAATAAATTAAAAAAAAATTCGAAAATGAAATTCTTCAACAAGTTATCAATATACTAGATCTTGGTTTTTTTTTTTTTTTTTTTGTATATTGTTATTTGTCTGTTTGTTTGAATTAAACGGTAACCTAAGTTATGACTGTAAAATCAAATGTCGTGTTCAATAGGAAAACTTTTGAATGAATTAACCAAGGGCATGTATCAGAACGACGAATCTCATCATCTGCATCATGTCAATCACGGTGTCTGAATGTTCAAAGTCCCGATTATTAACGGTTTCGAGCATTTGGCCACTGATTAATTAATACCGATATTCTGGACCGCTCCAGTCTGTAAAAAGAATAAATTTGTGATAAGTTAAATCAATATGTGAAAGAAAATCATCCTTACACTTACGATCACCCTTTTTTGGGTTGATAAATTTTTTGGCTGGCACTGAACGACGTTGCTCGGCTCCTGTAACATTTACACCTGATCGATCTTTCGATGGAAATTTTATGGTATAATCGGGTACGGGCACCGGTGGTAAATCTTCGTCATCACGAAGTTCAACGAATGATTTTTTCGGTTTTATAACATCGGATTGAGCACCAAAATATGACCATGGAAGTTGGCTTCGTAGCTCTTCACCAGTATATTGAACCGATTGATGGTGATGCTCATCGGCTGGCATAACATACGAGGAATCCGATAACTTTTTCAATAGCGACGGTTTTTGTGGTAAACGAAAATGTGGACGTTCTATTTTTAACACTGCATCGGTTGGCATTTCTTTCCAATTGTACGATTTTCCATCATTTCGTGCACCATTTGAATTGGTTGCCATATTTGCATAAGACAAATGCACTGTACTATTTGAATGGCCACTGTCATCGCTCCACGATGATTTTTTCGATGATTTATCCTCGTGACTGCTGTTTCGTGAATTAGCCATTGCACGTTTATTCGCATGATTATCAGGCTCATCAATCGATTCACCTTTCAGTGGTTCAATATAACGACGACCAATTGTTCGACTTAAATCATATTTATCTTGTTGATAGCCTAAATTATCATGCTGATACTGATGATAATAGCTTGGATCACTGTAACGACTTCGTTCGGTAGTGGGAAAATGATTCTGCAAAGCAAAAATAATGATGACAAAAAATAAAATTAAAATTAAAATAAAAAAAAAAATTGTCATGTGTACCTCAAGTATGTTGTCATTTCCGTGTGCGTGACTTCGGGCATATTGAAAATCACGTTCATCACTGGAGTCGGGCGTCCGTTTGCCGCCATACAGGATATTTCTTGCGTATGCCAACACAATCGGTATGCTAAGAATATTAAAGCACCAAAATATAAATCCGCGTCCAGCAACGATTAACATTATGACAGCTGGTATTGGTAAAACGTTCGGATCAATTATGAGCTCCGCAATTTCGGTCCGTGTATTTTGCATGTGTAAATGTCGAACAAATGACTCGGTGTTCTGTAATTGTAAAAAAAATAAGTATCATTAATAAATTGAGCATGGTTTGTTTGTTGTTGTTTTATTTTGGCCCTTTATTATATACCAACCAAGGTGTTAAATAGATCATAGAAGAAAAATCCCACAGCAACCACATCGAAAATTGATGTAATCGTGCAAAAGACAGCCCATGGCATCATTAACAAATAGTAAGCGACTCTTCCCAGACACGCCATAAAGCAACCAACTGGAAATTGAATTCGAGATAAAGAGTAAGAAAGATAGAGCTTTAACAAAAAGAAGATAGCAGTGTGAGAGAGGTAAGTGAATGACAAAAGAATGTTCATGGCAGAATTCGTGAGATCAAAGCAATTGAATGTAACCGATTCAAAATCGAAATTCCATTACATGTGTGTGAGGCTTAATATGACAACACCAATCAATATAATTATTGTGTTTATTGAATTGATCAAATGCTATGCATGTGATCTTTTGCGGATTATAATAATGAATCAACAAAATAAAAGAGAAACCCGTTTCATTGTTTTTTACGCTGATGCCTTAAGTCGATACATGCAATTGAATTGTTGAGCAATTACATTAACTTTAACATGCATAGACACTTTATTTTCACGAACGAATCTATACAATGCGCATTGTGTGCGCGTTTGCAGTTGTAAATCATGTAAATCAATTACAAAAAACATGGACACAAGCAATTTCATTGTATTCATCTGTGTTTACTTTTCAGTTAAGCGCCTATCGAAGAGAGACGCGCTAACTTGTACACACTCTTTTAGGCCATCGCATCCATCGTCCAGATAAGTGAAAAACAAGTACACGTTCAAATAATAAAATCAAATAGAAGCATGATTTTTGTGTTAAAACACAACCGAATTGTATTAACATACCAATTAACATGAGTGATGTAATGATCCAAATGGTGCTTAACAACAGATAGACTAGAGCTATAATGTTTGTCCTAAATGCAACATGAGTAACAGCTTCATTGGGTGGCCAAACTGGTTCAATCGGTGGCGGATTATGGGTGACAATATTCCATTGAATCGGACCACATTTTTGATCTAAACAAAAAAATGAGACGCAAATCGATGATTATTAAACGTTCAGTATTTTCGCTTGTTTTTTTCTCTATTGGATTAATCCTTCGTCTCCTCTGCTCTTTGTGATCTCAACAATGATAAATTAAGGGTATCGCAATTTTAACGTATTCCGTCAGTCTATTGAGCAAATAGAAACGCGCTTTTGTTTGGCTTTGCATTTATAAAACAAATGTGATCCACATTTTACGAATTGGCTGTGGTGTGTGTTTTTCTGTCTTAATTCTTTTTTTTTACTTACCTCTAAAGAAGATAATATACATTAAATACGGCACTCTTGATTGTGTCATTGGTAGTTGACAATCATGAGCGAGCAATGCCAATATGGACATTATACCATAGGCAAAACCTTGAATCTGTATGAAAACGATATAAACGGAAATCAAATATTAGTCCAATGCTTTATATCTAATTCAATAAATGTTTTGATCAATGGGTGTCATGCATCAATTAATTGCGCACACTTCGTATCGAAATCGGTTTTTGACAATGTGTGGTTTTTGTGTTTTTGTGTGGTGGGTTAATTGACAAATTATTGGGAATTCTCTTTTCAATTTATGATTACTCTCATGACATGACTGATTGAATTTTTCATTTTTGTGGCAATCCATTCAGTGGTTAGATGAAACAATCAAATTCAATGCTAAATTCAATGTCAAATAATTTGCCAAAGGAGAGTAAGAAGAAAAATTGTGATGGGAATTTTAATTTGAAATGAAAAAAAAATTGAGGTGACAAATTTTGTATATGTAGAATAGACAGAGAGACTTTGTATTCTATGGTTGCTACATTTATTTATAAGCAGTTTCTTTTTTCAAATGAAAGAATTCCCAGATTACAAATGCGATGAATTGCGAAGATTTAACAAATCTGATAAGATGTTTTATCAACATCGGTGCTTATTTTATCGCCAACGTTTGTACTTTGTGCACTGGAATTCTCTAGGGTAATCCCGTGTTTTTCCCACATGCCTTTTAAATGGCATGTATGCCATCTCGTATGACATTAGAATAAATAAACGACAATGTTATCATCTCATAAAAATACACACTTTTTCATTAATCATTGACAATTCCTTGGAAATTATTTGTTTCGATCTTATCATAATACCTAGGCTTTATTTCATTGTTTCAGAATTTGGTAAGTTTTCGGATTGTGTTGAGAACAGTTTAAAATTGTTATCAAACAGAGCCAAATACAAACATTGACAAATCAGAGAAGGGAATAAATGAAATTAACACATTTTTATAGCAAATAATAAGTTCTAAATTGTGTGAAATATTTCCCACATTTTACAATCGGTTTCTTGAGCATTAAGATAGGACCGAAAATCCAAACTCCGAAGAAATTAACCTTTGGCATGAAAGTATCTGTATTATTTTAGAAAAATTACGCCTTTGTCTTATTTACACTTATTTCAATGTGTGTCATTCAAAAAGCAATTTCGGTGCATATTGGAATTGTTGTTAATGTCACACACACACAATCGTCGGTCGCTTTAGAAATATGCACAATTAATTCAAAACCCAAGATATGAAGAAGAAATAAAAGAGTACAAATTTCAAGGCATTTTTTTCGCTTAGATTGAATTATACACTTACAACTGACCACACTCCAATCAAAATTACTATACACCGAGCCGACATGGTTAATCAATTTGAATTTTATTTTCAATTAGAGAGAAAAACTTAGAAATTCACTTGAATAAATAACGCGGCACATAAACACTGAACGAACCACGAAGAAAAAAAGTGAAGATCTCTAGTTGCTTTGAATCTCAATAAACTCGTATTATGATTTGTGTGTTGAAATTGATATTCTCTGGCTACTGCTATTGCTGTTATTGCATTCGCATTGATCACATTACAATCGATTTGAAGAATTTTTCGGATCACACCATTTCAGTTGGGCCACCGTTTTTTTTGCTCACTCAATTTTAAGATTCAATCACGCGCACCGGCTGCAAACACTTGAATAAAACTGTCCACCAAAGATTAAAACACTTCTTATGATTTATTTTTGATAATTGCGCTGTACACAAAATATTTTTTGAATATGTGTCCATAACATTAAAATAAACAACAAACTATTTGCCAACAGCACTATATGAACAAATCTGATAAAGTACTTGCACAACACATTGTTTCTACAGTTGCTATTGCTATTGATGACCACAATGTGATACACACATACACGCACCAAAAAAAAAAATCCGAAATTGTCGCCCTTTTGTTTTGCTGGTATTTCAACTAGTAGACAGATTCAAATGATACACATCCAACAGTTTCAATAATTGTTTTCGAAACGAAAAAGCCCCGCGCGCTCGTTTGAAGCCTATATGGCTTGTTCGTGCCGATCATGAAAGCGTTTTGGGAAACAGGTGAACTGTAATTTTAAGCGGACATCACTGCTCAATGTACACACACACAGAGATATCTAAACAAATACACGTTTGCATATCAATTGCTCCAACATGTGATCATTGTTTGGCGACGACGGGAGTGAATGAGGACTGTACGTCTGAAATTAACAAAAAAAAAATTATAATAAAGATATGTAGAGAAAAATTATTTTTTTTTTTACTTGAAAAATTTAACTGATATGAAAGCAAAATAAACAACGATTTGAGATATTAAATAATGAAACACGTATCACACACTTGTGCACAATAATAAATGTGCGCCTTTTTGTAATTGTTGTTACTGTTTCTGTTGTTGTTGCTGCCTATGATGATGTTTTTTTTTGTTTATGTATTCTAGAGGAGTGTATCTTTTTGCGTCAGATACACATATGAATTATAGCTTAGTTGATATTGCCGCTTGTTCGAATTCAACTAGCTTTGATGCGTTCGCGATTTTGCGCTCGGTTTTGCAGCACGATTTCGTACCAATTTGTGTGACACACAAGCCTTTTTATGCCCCCGATATTATTTGAATATTAATATTTTGGTGTCGATTGCATTGCGATTATCATTAGTTTGATTGTGGTTATTCCTTGAGGCGTACACACCTTCTGCACACTTTTTTTTGTTCTCTCGGTTAATTACCTGGGATGGGTGCTCATTACCATTTTTTTTGTATTTTCTATTTTAATCGTAGTCTACGGCATAATCTTTTATCGATTTTTGCACAATATACAAAAACAATTGCCTATTTTACGATTTTTTTTAAAGCGATAACCGATAGGCGTTGATTTTTTTTGTTATCGTTTGTTATTTTTGGCGTATTTCAATTCAATTTCGAGAGGTTTAAAAAAATCGAGTTATAATGCAGATTTTTCATTGCACCAGTTGTCGTTCTCATTCACTATTCGAATCGATGACGAAATTCAATAAAACACTTGCGCATACATACGACAATTCGTGTTCTTGTCGACGCTCTGATCGTCTATTGCACTCTGCACAATCACTCGCTTGCTACTTGATCACTTGTTCATATGTTCGGTTGCTTGTTCACCGAAATTATTTACAGAGGGAGAGAGAGAGAGATCTCGCACAACGCAATTAAATCGTTTTATCCAAAATGCTTTATGTTCAAATCCACAACGGCAAAATTGTCGACTATCATACCGTCGATTTTCGTCGTCGACTTTTAATTTTGGGTCATTAAAATTTACTTAAAATATTAATGTGTGTGGTAATTATTATATGCGTCTTTTTTTGTCACCGGTTCGGTTTGTTGAGATTGTGGAATGTGTCAATTAGACACAATGTATTACTTTTGAGCATAAATGCGAATATGTACGGTCAACATTGAATTTTACCACACCACCAATTGACCGATTGAAATCCATTAAACTCAAAAATTGAAATATATGTATGTTACATATGCACACACGTTCACTCAATTCATTTGTTTGGTTTGGCATATTTCTCACTATACAACTTCATTTTTTTCCAATGCTCCACACTAAATCACAATTACCTGTCACACAATTCGCAGCTCGTTGTTTACTAACATAAATAATTTTCGTTTGTCAATCGTTTTGTGTGTGGATCACAAAAGCGAACAAGCTATTCCAAAAGCAGCAACAACAACAAATAGCAAACACACTCAGATTTCAAAGATTGGAAGCAATTTAAACGATATCGACAACATCGGACAACAATTCAAACGTGTGTACTCGTGTACGTGCATCAATTAGTGCGATTGCCAACTAAGTCGACAATTTCAACTTACGTAGAGAGCGAAAGAGAAAAAAAGGCGCACAGAAAAGAATAAATTTTATTATTATCGTTTGTGTTTTTATTTCAGTATGCAAATGTTTACATTTTTCGACTTAGCAAATTCAGAGCTTAATGTGGTTTCATTGGAATTGTGCGAGGAAGAGTAAGTGTCCGTGCATTTCGAACGATATGGGTTATGAAGCGAGAAAAGAAGAAAAAAAACACACGCACACGTTATGAAAACTTATCAGTAAATCCCCATTTGTACACAAAAGATTTCATTTCCAGTGAAGATATACACAGCTCGACTCGAATATTCCGCACAATACACAAAACTTATTGTGATTATTTGGCAAATTGAATTAAAACAACGAAATGAATAAAGTGAAAAACTTCTATGGCTCATTGTTTACAAACAGATTTCCCGTATTACACACACTTTGGATCCCAAATGTCGCGCTCCACCGCAATCCACCATCAGAGACACTGAGTTTTATCGCACTGTAAATGTTTATTGCGCGATAATTATAAACTACACTCGATTTTTAAATCAAAAATCCATATTGATTTTAAGTTTTGCTGATGAGTCGTCATTTGTCGTTTCTTTTGTAATTAAAACATTCGATTAAAATGCGCACATCAGCATTTAATTGAACAATCTTTTGCAGACCGACCACTAAATGCCGGATAAAAAAAACAGCTAAATAGGTAGTCAACAGTATTGCCGGTGAATCTTACTTAATCAGCAATTTTTCACACTTACACATGTCTGCAGAACATTTTCGCAATATTATTTTTAAAAAAAAGAAACCAAAATCTTTTTTTTTTCAAATCGTTTCTATAGTTCAAAGCAAATAATTTAATTTATTAAGCAAATTGAAATAATTTTGTTTTTGTTGAGTGTGTTTAATTTTGTGTCGATTTATGCCATGATTTGATACGAAACGAAACGAAAAAAAAAAACATATGCTAAAAATTAAAAGCACAGTTAGTTGCTTAAATTTACATCGAAGCACCAAGCACTAGCAAATATATATCGAATGCGACCATACACCGTCTGCAACACTACACCGACTACTTGGAGAACGATCGAAACACTGATGTGTTCATAAGAACACTTATAACTGTGTAATTTGCCATTATATATCTGGCCGACTGATCCACGTTCGCGAGTATAGCATCAGAATTATACATTTACAATGCACTGACTGAGCTCTCTCTCTCTCTCTCTCTCTCTCTCTCTCTCTCTTAATCATTTTTAACTATGGTCGCATAATACACGTTACAAAAAAAAATAAATAAAATAAAATAAAAACTGAATATATAGAATACGGTAGATAGGCGCGCGCGCTTGTAGATATTATCTACGCTTCACCAACCACAAAACGAGCGAAATGAAAAAAAAATAAATAACCCGAAAAAATGGCAGTTAGTTTGTAGCTTAGGTAGAAAGGAGATAAACAAAATATGGAATAATTTTAAAAAGACTATATGTATTAAACACGTGATGTATGTGTACTTATTGCAGCAGAACATACATTATAATTACTGTATTTAGTGGTAAGCAATTGACTCATCGACTAAAATATTAATCCGACCACTTTTTATATGATTTGCGCCGTGCCTGTGTGTAAACTGTGGCTACAAAATCAGCCAAATGACCGGGTTTTCGAAAAAAATCACATTGAACATTTCGTTTTGGAAAAGATAACAAGACAAATCAGCATCTGGCCACTGTTAAAATCGATTTTCATCGATAAATTGCTTATCACGTTAGAATGATAGCAACTGAACGGAAACAGCAATGTGATGAACATAGCAAAGTTGTCATTTGTCATTGTCGTTATCGATATTCGAAATTATCAATGCGTTACTCATTTTCTCATTGAAAGATTCTCATTGATCGCACACTAGAACATACTCAACAAATCACTTTTGACTAGTTAATACATTTGTTCGGGAGCAAAGGGCATTCTGTCTATATACATTTCAGCACTCATGGAATATGTCTCAATTATTGAAATGAAATAATAGAAAAAAAAAGTCAACACAGACTTGAAATTATACAAATTCAATGACGAAGATTGAAATAAATATGTTGTCACAAATAATAAGATGGAGTGAGAAAAATTGGCGCTTGGTCAGTTTAGTAAACAATGTTGAACGTTGGTGCGCGCATATACACATCGAAATTTGATGGAAATTTGGTGCGATTTTTAGCAATTTCATTGACATGTTTTATGTGACGCATAAAGTCGCAAAATACCAGCTCAAACGATATTTTATTGAAAAGTCCGTGTTCTGAATAACAATATTCGTGATACACTGATGTCAATTGAATAAAACACATTGTCAAGTACACATTTATTCAATAACAAGAGCCGAAGCTCGTTCCCATCGTATTATTTTACAGCATAAAAACAAACGCGGTTCATTTATTTTTTTTTGTTCGGCGTTCCAATCATGATGATGATGCAGTGCGAGCACACCGTTCAAATTGTTGTATATGACGACGATGGATGGCAAATAGACGGAAAAATATAATATGAAAAATTTACTAAAACGAACAAAAAAACAAAATTCATGCCTATTTTTTGATTTGACCATGAATGGAACACAATTAAACATGCACGAAAAAAAACAGATCATTTATCGCTGGCTTCAAAAATAATCATAATAAAACCGCTTCTGCTCGCTGCACACACATACACACCTATATATATATATTTTATTTGTATACGTGCTTCGATTTTCGTGGTTTATCTCATTGCGATGATCTAATTCTCACTGCGTCAATTTTCATCGTGCTCGTATTATACACAATTAGCACGTTTAAATAACAATCACATGTTTTATTTATATGGTTGGCGGCATGATATGAAGAACTTGCGCCACTTTATTTGCATCAACTGAACTTGAACAAGAAGAATCTAGCATACATGCTATGTACCGAGAGAGACATTGAAGATTTGATCGATGTTGAAAGTTTTCTCGTCTTTTTTATTGCACTTTAAGTTGCTTATGCCATATACTTGCAGAGAAAGAGAGAGAGAGAAACGCCAAATAATTGAGTTTCTGATCAATTTTTTCAAAGTTTTTATTAAATTTTATTTTGCTTTCGACTGATATTTACAATAAAAAAATAACATATTCACCATGAATATATCACTTCAAAAGCGGTATCACTTTGTTTGTCATACGTTTGATTTTTTTTTCGCTGCATTTACAATTAATTTGTATCATCATTCTCAATTTTACAAACTATTTAACAAATAACCAGTTCAAAATTGACTATGATTACAACATATAAGACATATGACTATGCAGAAAAAAGTGACAAAATAATAATGTGGTCGTACATCATTTCTAATGCAAATGGTTTGTTCTGCTCTTTTTTCCCTTCAGATATGCTTTGCTTGTTGATTTGTTTCCGCATACATTTAATAAATAAAAGCCTAGATATTTTTCTGTTGGAAAATGCTGTACTAAACCTAGTGTTTGAACAATTAAAAATTAAAGTTGAGATATACACACATACAGTCTCTTAGTAAATACAATTTGATGGATTTTTTTTTCTTTTGTTCAAAAGTAATCTTTACGCATTACTCGTCGTCATCAGGTTCGATGGGTGCCTGAGCATCTATCAAAATTGGATTTGTTCCGTTCAAACCGGGAATTTTGGCAATATCCTCTGGATTTAAAATGGTACCATTTTCAGTGATCGAAGGTCGATGACTTAAGTTTATAAAACTGGTATCGCTGTGAGTAATATTGATAATCGTTCCAGTCAGCGGCAATGTACTTAATATGTCCGAAGCATTTTGTATGGTTCCCAAATCGATGGGAGCAATGCCTGTGAGCACTTGACCCGTCACATTCGTTTGCACTGGCAATGGAATTTCGCCCAAGTCAAAGTGTGATCCATTCGATTTGGCATCGAAGAATGTTAAATCCACACGCTCATGACTATGTCAATGGAGGAAAAAGTAAGAACATAACAATGCTATACATTTAAATGAACGAATAGGAAATGCAGAGCTGTTATAGTGCCTATAGCAACTCTGTAGAAAAGGAATATTTAGACTGAACAAACACTTACGAGTAATTTTCTTCAGATGAAGTGGCATTTTCGTCTGCTTCAGTTAAGATACCAATTTCATAAACGACCGCCTTTATCACGTATCTAATGAAATTTAAAATTTCGACATTTTAATTCGATGTTTATATATTTTTTCTAACAAATGTGATACTCACAGATCTTTTTTGGTTCCATTGACTGTAGCATTTTCGGCTGATTCTGCTGATGATTCGGCGGACGATGATGGAATTTGATCGGCGTTCAGAATTTGAGACAGCGGAATGGCATATATATTGGAGTTGAAGGTTAAAACCAACGCAACAACGATGGCACAGCACAATTTTACTTCCATTTTTCTTTAGCTTGTAGTAAATATGTTTGGTCGCAAATTGCTTCGTTTTTTTTGTTCTCAATTACTTTATCACACAAAATCGATGTTTTACTCAAACTGAATATTCTTTTCGTCGAATTTCTTCGCTGTTAAAGTGGAGCAATCAAATTAATATTATTTTGAGTCTCTCCTCTTAATAGTTTTGCGTCGCAACTAAATGAACCTCACACGAACCTTTACGATCAAAGACTGATGCTTCTTCAATTGGCGATCACCCTTATATACCGTTTAACATTGATCCACTAATTAGCTATTGCAAATTGATTGGTATATACGTGAATTGATGACAGTTTTCATAATAGCTTCATGTGATGCCAATATGATAGAGACACGTCGTCCATTCGTCCATTTGTTCAAAGATGAATCAATAAATTACACATGCCATTTGAAATCCGGCATTCATGTGTTGATTTGTTATTGATTATGAATGCAGAACAAAGTGCGAAATGAATTTCATTTAGTGATGGCGCAGTGAAACTAAAATTATAATTTGCGAACTTTTTTTTCTTCTTCTTCTCTTGTTTCATAAATATTGGAATCGTTTCGTCGTTTGGTTGACATTAGCATGAGTAAACCGTAGGCCTAAAGCATTTCAAAATTAGATGCATGAGAAAATTCACACCCATATTATCGATTTAATTTTATTCTATTCATTGAGAATTTAATGAATTAATTAATCCAAAGTTTTTTTATTACATTTTTCGTGGTATGTTAATTATAAAAATGTTTAGGGGAAAAACATATAACGCAAAAGTTTGGACTCATTCTGCCATTACTTATTGAATGCGCATAATCAATAATTAAACATTCACTATGTCGCTATAAGCACACGTTTCGCAAATCGGAATTTTTCTGAATATAGCCCTCCAAATTATTGCAGGGTATTGTTTTTGTCAATTAGTTGTTTATCCATTTATCTAAATGAGAATATTTTTTGGATTTTATAGCTTTTGTGAAAATAAATTGATTAGCATATGCAAGAACCAGTCCCACTGTGGGCGCACAAAAACAGTGCATTTTTTCATCGTCAAAATGTGAAATGTTATTGATTTTAATCCAAAACAAAAAAAAAAACGCAAAAATTTACCAGAAATTTCACGTCTTGCTAACGTAATTGTTTTGTTTATGAATAAAAGATTAGGGGAAAAATATTCCATCAAATATATACACTGTTTACTTTTTAACTGGCCCCAATTGCGGAAATCATCTGAATAAATTTTGCCAAATATTTGCGATTTGGATAACGATTCAGTCATTTCCTCCATTTTTATTTACTTGAGTGCAAATTGGTCAACTGTACTTGCATCATTGGAATTTACGATGGTGAGGTCAACTTTAATGCCACCTGCAATTGATTATAGATTCATCCCAATGGCACACGCTATAAAATGACAAAAACCATTCATCTCTTATACATGGAAAATATATATCACAACACGCCAGAATAGAAACACAATATATCGAAATATTCGTTTTGAGTTGCCACATTTGCTCCTTGGTTCCCATTATTTTTTTTTTTTGCAAATGCATAAAATTAAATAAGCTTCGAAATGCGAAGTACTTTAAGTTCGTACATAGAAAAAATGTGTATGACAAACGACCGATTAAAAAAATGTAAAATTCCATTGTATATAGCGACAACAACGGCGACGGCGTTGATGACAATGGCCGAATGTAGAAATTTTCCATTGTTTACTATTTAAATAAATGTACAGGTTAATTCAGCGAGTGAAAAAGAAATGTCTGTAAGTTTCTTAACTCTATCCTAATTGACACTAAATTGTTGAGCCATCAACAGGCAAAAAAAAGCTTGATCTTAAATTCAAATTTCAAATTAAGTGAAGCCGTTGCGATTTAAATCAATAAGAGACGGAGGTACAGGCGTTAGAACACTGAACGTACTATATTCATTATCAAATTGATTATTATTAGCACATTTGGCTGGTGAATCATTGTCATATGTGAAAAGCGATGAAAAGAGATGCGAAGGAAGTTTTCATCCTATCCATTTGACATCATCCAGAAAACTTGACCCATTTTTCGAAATGCGTTCCAGTTGAATTCAATGCATGTATTCCTAATTCTAGTTAAAAAGGAAACTGATTTAATCCAAAATTTAACGGTCATGATCAAAAACTGCCGAGTCATAAGACACGCGTATACGCTTCAGTAAGAAGAAGAGAAAAAAAAGAAAAGGAATCGAAAATGCTAATACTTTTTTTACATTTCAATTTACATCGAATGATGCGGCACATGTTTTGCTGATATAATGATTTGAAACTTTTCGTTATTTTCAATCTGTTGATCATCAATTTTTTTTATCACACAATCGATTTTTACGTTTTTGCCATAATCATCAGCAATGGTATTCGCTACATATCTCGTGGTCGCACCCAGTCAAAAGTTACTTTGTGCTAAAAACGATCTGAAAAGGTTTCAATTAGCACTCCATCGTTTTCGATCGAAAAGCTGATGCCACATATAAATAGCTGAGTTCGACAGAAAATCAATTTAATACTATATTTCGTGCTCTTGATGACATATTGAAGTTACGACAACGTCAAGTCAAGAGAGAAGAAATAAATAAGTGCTGCGATTGGAGAGTATATGCCGAAATATTATCAAGTAATTTGAATCAGAAAAAAAATCTCAACAATGAATTCATTTTTAGTAAGTCGTCCACTGACATGCACATTTTCTTTGGATCATTTTATTTAATAAAAAAATCAAACGTTTATTATTTTTTTTTAGATTGTATTTAGTGTAATTGTTTTAGCAAATGCAAAACCAACTGATTACAATGAACCACAATATGACGATATAAGCACAAGTGTTAGTGGCGAAAGCGATGAAAATTCCAGTTTAATTGCAACCAATCCATCTGGAGTGTTTACAAAATATCCGGATGATCCATTCGATAGTTATTCGGTACCAATTGTATACGATTCACCGCCAGAGGAGACGCGCATTCGACGTGAAACGGATTTGAACGCAACCGATACATCGATAGATGTGTTGAGTAAACAAACCGACCAAATTGAAGACGTAAAACGACCTGAACGAAAAACTGAAGAGCAAACCAAAGTGCCATTACGCGGTTTTATTAGCGCAATTGAATCCGACCTAGTCTCGAAGGCACTCCAAGTGAATTCACAATTAAATCAACGACGTCGACGAAGACGATCATTTGACCATGAAGACGACAACGAAGGTGATGATGATGAAGATAGTAAAGAAAGCGTGAATAATAAAAGCGATAATAGTACTGTTCAAAGCGATTCATTGGATGTCAATAAGAATTTCTTCGAAGGATTATTCAATTATACACGCCCAGAGCGTGAATCTGAAGATAAAGATGTAAAAATTCCATTAAACGGTTTGGTGCAGGCAGTCGAAACAACACTGGTAAATTCAGCGCAAAATTTAAAAGATTCCAAGCCTTCAAAACGTGATGTCTTCAATTCTACCAAAGATACATCGAAATCGAACACAGATAATTCAAATGAATCGCATCAAAATGATGCGGAAATAAAACAACAGCCCGACATTAAAGTAGCAAAAATCAAAAGTAGCGTTGAATTAAATTTATTGGGACCGATTGCATTTAAACCAGCTCCAACAGCAACCGAAGAATCGACACACAGTGACGAAGAAACCATTTCAACGACAGAGATTCCAATTCAAAAGACAAATTTATCGGTCATCAAAGAAAGCCATTCATTGAGTCTAGTACCTGGAGCTGATAAGAAAGTGACTCACGTACAAACGCAACAAATTTTACAAACGGTGTTTTCATCGAATTTGGCCATTTTTCCAACAATTCCACCAGAATCGATAAACGCACCATTGCCAACACATATTCCAACAACCGAAGAACCAGATCAAACAACAATCACACCAAAAGTGCCCACCAACACGAAAACCGAACAAGAATTGAAGCATGAACAACTAATGCAGAAAGCCCAACAACTCAAAGAGAAATTCGCCGAAATTCAAGCCGAACCAGTGATTTTGAGCCATTTTTAAAATTTCACACAAACATTCAACGATTGCAATAGAAAATTTCGATAGAAAATTGTATCGCAAAAAATTGTATTCCATTTAACAATAATTGTATTTGAGAATTACTCTCGTTTAATAGCGGTTAATATTTAACATTTACTTTTTTTATTGCCTATATGTATGCTCAAATGTCTATTTTGTATCTATTATCGCTTGAAATGATCTCACTTTGATCATTTCGTGTCAATAATATTGTGATAATCCTGATGCGCATAAAAAAAATATAAAATTTAAAAAGAAAACACATTTCAATGTTACCAGTGTTTTGATTAGTATTTGTCGTCATAATTTTATTTATCGATATCATTTGAACTGAAGCTGAACAATACGAATCGAATACATACACATTTTTCCGTCATTTTCAAGGCGTTCAAAAAATCATTTTCGCACATTGTTCATGGAATCAGCTCAAACTAATTAGCACTTTAGTGATGATATGGCAATTGGTTTGGTATTCTGAAAGCATTTTTCTTTCTTGACACGGCAAATAAGTTTTGAAAATCAGCAATTTTACACAAACGGATGTATAATTGGCATTCAATTTTTTGAACATAAACCCAAACACAATTTTGGTTTATTGTTGTTGGTTAAAAATGAATGATATATGAGGTAACAAAAAGTAACGTGAAACATAAAATCGGCACAGCTATCTAAAATAAGGGACGGCCAATTATAAACGCAGCCATGTATTCGTTACAATAACAAATCCGACAAGTGGAATCGCTGAAGTTTGAGTGCTGATATCTTTTATATGGCGTAAATCTGAAAATGAAGTAGACAAATGACATTCCAGCAATGTTAAATTCATTATTTTTAAATCAAGTTTTATTTCATAAATTAAAAATATTGAATAATTTACACGAACTTATGGTGAGCTTTTCATATCAAGTATCTAGAAAAAGTTGTCGTCCACATTTTTAAAAACATGATCCTATCCTGCCTGTTTAATCGCCTTTTATTTGGTGAAAACAACGTAGAAAAATGAATATATATATATATATATGAACTAAAAATTAGGGAAATCGTGGAAAGTTATTTGTTTTTTCTTTTTATATTGAAATACCCAAACAAAATCAAACGACTTTTTTTAAAAATAAAATTAAATTATCATTCCGAAAGCGGATTCTTGTTGAATTGGTTTTTCTTCTTCTTTTAGTTTTTGTTGTATAAGAATTTTGTTGGTTATTTGTTTGCGTTTGCCATACTAATCAATAGTATATAATTTTAATTCATAATCATATCAATAATAATAGACAATATTTTTTTGTTTGTTTGAACGTGGGTTTTTAATGGGATCGAATGCCTTGATGTTGATCCTTTGAATGAATTTGTAATTTGTTTTGTTTGTAGGTTCAGCATACGCTTTCAATTTTTAATATATCCAAAATTGTGTTGTATGCATTTATTGTTGTTGTTTTCTCCGTAATACAAACATAATATACATTATCGTCCATCCATCCGTATAATTATTTGGTCTCTTTAACTCAGTGAGCAAGAGAAAGCAGTTTCATATAAATGTCTCTCTAGGTTGTTTTTTTTTTTTGCTTTTTATTTTAATTTTTTATTATTATTACTCACTTTATCGACGTTTTTTTTTTAATTTGTTGTTTCAATTTTGCAATTAAACTTTTCATTTCTAGTAATAATTTTCATATGATCCTAAAATGTTATCAATTTAATTATTTTTAAATAAGTTTTTTTTAACGCTATTGTTGAATTAATCATAGCGTCAATATCTGCTTCGTAACATAGGACTTTCTTATCATTGTAATTTGCCTGTTTCAAATATTTTTATTTTCCGTTTTTTTTTCTTTAAATTTTTTTTAAATGTTAATTACAGATTTTGAAGGTGTTGTGGAACGGTGATTTCAATCGCATGTATTCAGTGCGCATTGATTACATAAATCTGAAAATGTTGAAAAAATGAAAAATATTTAATAATAATGAAAAGTGTAAAAAAATCTGACGAACAACGACTGATTCCTAACGGAACTGCCACATTCCAAGTCAGTAGAATACTCTTTTAGAAGAGAGTAGACTCTTTTCTCACTCTTTTCGTATAGTTTTATTCGACTCTCTTATCACTCTCATCTCACTCTTTTGCATTAAACACGTTTATTCAATTTTATTCCTTAAATGTGTAATATGCAGACATTATAATGAGATATTTTCAGCCAGATGAACTAGCTCAGCCAGATATCGTCAGGAGCTGAAATGGAGTGAACACAATCAAAGTGATTGTTATAGTGATTGTAGCAATGTAAGTGTAATTATAACCATAACAATCACTTCTATTGTTTTCACTCAATTTCAGCTCCTGACGATATCTGGCTGAGCTGATTCATCTGGCTGAAAATATCTCATTATAATGTCTGGTAATATGCATACACAACAAGCGTACTGTGTTTGATGCAAAAGAGTGAGAGAGAGTCGAATAAAACTATACGAATAGAGTGAGAAAAGAGTGTACTCTCTTCTAAAAGAGTATTCTACTGACTTGGGATATCGGTAATCGCTCGCTCTAGTGCAAAAATCAATATACCTCAAGCAATTGCGAGATACCAAGACATAAAATTGTGACAGTTCGATGAACGAAAAATCCTACGTACCTACTAATCAATGACATGACTTTCGATTTCCATCGATCGATTATTCCGCGATGCCGGTTGAGGTGTTATTGTTATTTCGTCATTTATTTTAAATGGTTGTTTTAATATTGATGCGCTGGCACCAGATGAACTGCTTCGATTGGTGCTGTTGCCAGTATTATTACCACCACTACTACTTGACGATGTTGATGATTTTGATTTGCTGTCATTGTTCGACTTTTTCGCAACCGTACTGTGGGCGGAGTATACATGATTTTCAAATTGTTTGTACATGCCAAATGTGGCCGTGCACACGGTACATTTGTAAGATAAATGGGCAGGTTTTAAGGTCATATTGTGCTCTCGGGACACGTGATTTAGTAACTTCCATTGATACATCTATGGCGAATAATTTTTATGAAATGACAGAATAGAAAAAAAGCATTACATTGATATATAGATATACCAGAGTCGAAATAAATATCAATTATACGTACTCTTCCACAAACTGGACAACGGCCAGCATCTCTACCCTTGTTGGCAGCTTCTTGCATTGAACTCGTTACCAATCCATGGGAACCGAGTAAATGTCGTTCAAGACCTTGATCGGTGAAAAATCGGAACTGACACTTTTGACAATTCAATGGTGGCCGATTATATATCATCTTCGGGTGAATCTGTGCATAAATAAATCATTTCGAAATGGCATAAATAAATGATCATATTGATAAAAAAGCATATTGATTTATTACCTTAACTTTGTGCATCCATTGCATGTGATTTCGTAGTTGATCTAAATCTTTGATCCAACCATCACAAATTTCACAAATAACAAATGATGCTTTGCCACCCTGGTTCTGGCCCGGTTTAGCTGTTGTGCCAGATGGTTTTGGCAATAATGACGCCGATTGCATTGCATTTGAAGCAGATAGGCCGGTTGTCGTTGAGTGTATGCCTGGTTGCGATTGTCGCGGTAAGGCTGTTATTGATATACTGGGCTGTTGCGAACTCTTTTGTGATTTTGATCCAGTGGGCTGAACGAAAGAAAATAAATTGTAAACAATTAAAATGTGTCACGGTTTCTTTTTCCATTGAAGACCAACAGATTTGACGTAGAAGTTTAAAATGACGATGAACGAAACAACAGAATGAATCTTAACACACAAATATAGAATGAAGATTAGTGTATAACTAATTTTGTTAAGAGCAAGTTTTATCCACAATTTGGTTAGTCAGAAATTCCATCAATTAAATTAGACACATCCAAGGATCCAAGCTACTATTTGTACTATTTGTATTAGCAATATATGTATGAAAAAGAATGTCCAAAGAAAGAAAGCACCCGATATAAATTCATTGTTAAATTGATTAAATAGAGGAAAAGCATTCAGATTTAGATTTTTTGTTTTGTTTTCAAAAAGAATTTATCTAAATCTGCTGAGAGAATCTCACCAACCTGCATAAGATTAAATGAATTTTGAGTATTCGGCATCAATGCAATTCCACTATTTGGTACCTATATACAACAGACACATACAGTGTTAGCATAATCAATTTAAATTACAGTTTCAAATGCAAATCATCATCATCATCAGCAAGCATGATTCGTTTCTTTATGTATGTGTGCGTGCCTTTGTAAATTGTATAAGAGATTAAAAACTCAGCATGATCAATGTTGAAATGCAGCATGATTTGAATACCGCTTAATCAATTTATGTTGAAAACGACATGCATATGAGATTGACACTTTGACACACACGGAACGACAAAAGATAACTTTGATCAGAAATTTCACGCGTAATCTAGTCGACAATTTGAACATGAATATTTAAAAAAAAAAACACAGGCAACAACATCAATGATATGAAATATTCGAAATGAGTTTAGTAAACGGTTCGTTTCATTTAATTGGAATAGTCGATATGATGATTTTCGTTTTGTTTTGTTGTCTTGCATCATTTGAAATTGAAAATCGGGTTTCTTGGATACATATGCTTGTTAACCATATATCGTTTCATGTACATAGATATGTACCTGAATGTATTGTCCGTGGTTTGACACTTGGAAGTTATTCGGAAGAACTACGCCTCCTGGATTTTGTGGTCGCATTGATTGTTGTTGCGTTCCTCGCATATTGTTTGCGGTTGGCATTACCTTGGTGATAGTTTGTGGTCGTCCACGATTCTTTACCGCACCAACATTCATCACTGTCTGTCTTTGCATTGCTGCAGCATTTGCGGCACGTTGTGCTTGCGCGGCCATAGCCTATGTTTTAAGAAATGCAACAAAAATCCATTTTAATTTTGAAAACAACACAAAAATGTAATTATATGATGAAAAATATGTCGATACAAATAATATGAAAATGATATTAATGAAATCGATACTCACTTGATAGGCATTTGCAGTTCCAACGAGACCGTGTCTTGGTTTGATGCGTGGTATTTTTGCTGGTGGATCCCAATCAAGTGGCGGTGCCAAATTCATTTCGGGTCGGAATTTTTTACTGCACACAACAGCATGACGCGCCAATTTCGATCGTCCATTATCTTCAAATGGACAATTCGGGCACTGATGTAATGGAATTGGCTTTTCTATTCGTCCCTGAATACAATGTAGATTATTTTTGTGTAACAATATATCGTACTGTTGTTTCGCCTCATACGCGCAGAAATTACATCTGTATTGATACACTTTGCCGGGGTGTGGCACCTCATAGTGATTTGCCATAACAAGCGCCGATTCTGATTTAAACACACAGTATTGGCATTTTTTTGTTTCAAATTTGAAAACATCGTTTTTGTCTTTGCTCAATTCTAAATTTTTCATCAATGAATTGATGGCCACTTGTATGCTCGGTGATGCTTGATTTCCCTCTCGGCTTAATTTTCGTCTTTGTTGCTTCAATAGATCCAATTGAACATATTCTTGCACCAAATTGACGCCAATATCACTAAAAAACTTTCCTAATGGACTATCAAAGTAATTGTTACCGTCTTTTTTATCGTCATTAGCTGGATCATCTTTTGTTAAATCTCGGCTTATGATATGTGTTTTGATCGCATCGAGATCAGCTTTTGCTTCTTTAATTAAAACTCTTGTATCTTCAGCATCTGAATCGGCTTCGTCGTCGGTCGACAGATCCGATTCATCCCATGAATCATCGGCATTTTTTGTTGGTTTTCGTTTTTTGCTCGCCGGTTTTTTCTCGCCAATTTCCTCATTTTCGGACTTTTTATCGTCTTTGGCATCTTCAGTTGGCTGCTGTTCATCTTTATCATTTTGTTCTTCCAGTTTTTTTCGCTCTTCAATTTCAACGCCCATTTTATGAACGATTTCTTTAAGATCTTCGGTTGGTGGTTTTTCATAAATGTAAGGAACTATAAATGACGGTGCTTCCAAAACGAACATATCATCGGTGAGTGCGGTTAGGACAGGCGCATTTAAGCCGGCCAATGTGGTCGATGTTGCCGCGCCAATTAGTTGATTATTACTATTGTTAGGTACGGGTGTGATCGATGCTCTCGATTCAATTGGATATACACTTGGCGCTACTGGTCCATCACCGACCGCCGTAACGGACACATTTGATTTGTTCAGTGCTTGCACATTTGCTGCGGTACCACGCGACAATATCGTATTTGTATCAATGATAACTAATGTTGGCTCTTTCGATGTCGTACTATCACCAGACTGCTTACGAGATTCGTTTGATAATGGATCAGTTAATCGTGGTCGTTTCGGCGCACTTTCTTCAAGTGGATCTTCGATTATCTCTTCAATATCATCATCGTATGCTGAATAATCTTCTCTAGCTCGAACTGTACTCTTTCGATTTCGATTCACTGATCGAGCTGCTACATTGCTGCCATCAGCTTTCTTATCGTCTTCAATTACAACACAATCTTCTTTATCGCTGAGAATTTCGTGCACTTCATCCTTATTCGGTAGCTCACTTTCTGAATCCGAGTCTACACTAACTGGCTTATCATCTTCACCGCCATTCGCATCATCGTCGTCATCGTCTACAGCAATACCATTCGATTGTCCATCATCCAATGCTTTGTTTTCGACATCTTTTAATGGATTTTCAACCGTTTTATTTGGCGCTTCTTCATCTTCGGAATCGGAAATTGCATGAATTTCATCATCAATGGAAATGGGATCTTTCGAAATTGTATCTAAAATGTATGAAATAAGTTTTAAGGATTACACATTTAACATTTCGGTTTTTTTTTTTCATTTTCTTGTTTCATTTCATGTTAACTAACCTTTTTTATCACTACTACTCGTTACTGTGGCACTTGTTCCATTTTCTGTGGATTGTGGTGGACTTTGATTTGTGCGCGTGTCCTCACCGACTTCACCGTCTTCACCGCCTTCATCGCCTTGACCATCTTCATCATCCATGGGCTCTGCATCAGCAGAAAGTGGATCACCAGAGATCACTTTTACTGTTGAATCATTGTCATCAATAATTTTATTTGACTCGGTATCATCGGCGTTTTCCAAATTTTCCGTTAAATCATTTGAAATTTCCTTTTCACTTGATTCTTGGTCACATTTATCTTTCGCATCGGGATCACCGTTTTCATGTGCCAATGATTCAACACTTTCAATTTGTATGTCATTTTCATTAGTTTTATCGTTACTAATCAATTCATCTGAATTACCGCTGCTATCGATTTCCATGACTTCATCTTTACTATCATTGACGGTTTGTGGTGATGATGATGATGTTGGTGGTGGTGTTTGATCTGAGCTATCAGCAGCATTTTTTGCTATTGTTTCATTTGATGTGTCCTGTGCTTCAACTTCCATTGCTTCATCGTCGCAATTCCCGTTGATGCCACCATTCATTTTCAAATCAGCATTTGGACTGTCTGCTGAATTTGTGCCAACTTCACCCATTTGATGTTGCGCAAACCTTGAACGCCTTCAAATTCTTTCTTCACGATTCAAATGTTTATTTTATTGTGAGAGTCTCAGTGTTTGTTTGTTTCGTTTTTGGTAATTTGTTCCGTGTTCCGGACTTTTTTCCGTATTCAATTCGAACAAATGAATTTTTTATGTAGTCAATTTATTGTTGAGTGCCGGATTTCAACTGTGGGGTGAAAACAAGACAAAAAACTAATAATAAAACAATATGATTTTTGTATTGCAATGTTTTGAAAGGATGGTTGTTTTTGAATATTTTGTTTGTCTATTTCTACAATAAACTAGGATTGATCAATATATCCCGAGTTGCATGTAAAAGGTAATCATTATAATCATTGGCAATGTTCAACACCATATGCCAATTCAAATGTTCGTTTGAATGTTGAAACCGTATTCATTATATACACGAAATACATGGGTAGAAGCATATAAGATCTTTTATTTACTCGTCACACCATTCAAAACCAAGACACTCGACACCAATACACTCACGCTTGCAGCAGTAACATTCACACATAGCCACGACTATAAATACATATAATAGCATGGGATAAGGGGACCGAGAGGAAAACACTGGGCATTCGATGTACTGTATTATGGTATATCTTTTGTGCTATGTTCGGTCTGATGACGATTTTGATTTTTTTTTCTCTGCTTTTATAAAGGAACGAGCGAACAAAGAAGAAGAAGAAGCAGGGATTGTGGGAAAAACACAATGACATGTTAATTGAAGAGTACTAAGAAAGGATCATTTTGTCTTTTGAAGATGAAAAAAAAAATGAATGCCAAAATGATGGATCTTATTAAAAATATGTAATATATTCCATTTTTCTGCAAGAATAAACACTCATTTCCACAAAATCACAAAATAGTGGTTTTTTTCTGCACACGTACACACATACACGAAATGTTTGTCGATACGGTTATTTGATGTTAACTTTTTTTATTTTGAAGAAAAATGACATCGGCAGACTGATTGGTTTTGTTGGTTATCGTCAATTTTGGAAACATTCTGATTGGAACATCTCGATTCAAACACTGTTTATTTTATATTAAAAATTTGAGGCATTGGGGTAAACAATACTTCATGTCACAATGATAAACCACACAAAAACCATAATTATGAAAGATCTTTTTGAGAGTGTACAATTTACAATCAGCTGATAATGCCATTAAATCAATTGCACTTCACATAGTCACCAAAAAAATTACGAGAGATTTGTTTCGAGAATTGGTTTCCGAAATGGAACGGAAACGGTGGCAAACGATTGAAAGAGAGAGAAAGAGATTTTCGAGTCGGGTGTCACATTCTCGGGTCTACTACACTCACGACAAGGCACAATTGGTTGGGTACGCCAAATTCATAAACGCCATCTTGAAAATGAAATCATGTTACGGGTTTGGGCCCCAATGCGGAGCACAACAACTGCAGCAGCTGTCGTTGCTTCACTTCACAGAATGAACAAAAAAAGACGACAGACACACACACACACACAAACACACACACTGATGACCAGTTTTATTGGCACACAATTTTGCTGAGCACACGATCTATACTCACAACAAATGGCAACAAATGGTTCCAACCAAATCACTCTTAAGAAAAATTCATTGAAACCTCTGTATCGGGAAGATTTTTTTTGTTAAAATTGTAATACGAATTGGAAAAAAAGCCGCTACAATAGCCACCGAATTAAACTACACAATATTTTATTTGATGAATTTGTTTCTGTTGTACAACTTAATTATATGACCGAGAATATTTAAAAAAAGTTTTTTGCCTTCTATTTTTTTTAATTTTAATTGAGAAGAGAGAGAAAAATAACAACTCACTGTAGGTCGGTACACACACGCACTACCACAAACGATATGGCCCATACACAATTACATACACAACAAGTTTTGAGAATGTACACACACATAAGCTCACAGTTGATCAAATCATAGCAGCATGCTTGGATAATCTTTCTATACACAAAAAAAAAAAAAATTCTTCTTCAAACCAATTTTTTATTGAAAACACTTTGCCTTCAATATCCTAAACACGTAATTTCGTATATAAATTCGTTGAATCGAATGTTTAAAAAAATTAATAAAAATAAATACAAACAAACAATAATTGATTTACTCACTAAATGCAATTTGCATTCTATTTCATTCGGTCGAACTAGAGTGAAGCAGCGTTGACGAATGTTTTTATTAATGAACTTATTAGAGCAGTAGACGTCAAGAACCCCTCAACATTGCCACCGAAAGAAAAAAAACATAAAATGGCGATTGCCGTTCACAGATCACGTGACGTACGGTTCTATGAAACTTTACCGCTCCCTGACGAACCGTTAAGCGTATAACCGGTTCAAAAAACTCAATGGAAATTTCTAATGGAAGGGAATCAGCGCACATGACGACGATGAATAATGACCACTTTGAATTATTGAAAATGAGTTTTTCAATTTGGGAAAAAATTCATCGACGAACAAATAAAAACGGCCAAAAAAACATTCAATTTCTCATTTGAATTTGAATTTATTTCAAATAAGATTTCAACAGTTACATGTGACTGTGGCAAAATAAAGCATACACGCTGAATGATTTTTAATGTACAACACACAGTTTCCATTCATAATGAGATTTTTTCGCATCACTTTTTTTTTTGATTATTTAAAATCGGTTTCGGATCTAAATTTCATTCCATTCATGCAGTATGTCATTTTTTTATGTCATTAAATGTTTTTTGGCAAATTTCCTATCTGTCTTTGTTCGTTACTGATATATCCGAATACCGCAAAGGCTGTCTGACAAATCATACAGACGACAATTACACATCGGATCACTCAGCGATTCAGTGTTGCTACGGCTGATATATTTGTTGTTGTTGCCATTGTTCTATGTACCAGTAACTGAAGTTGAACACATCAACGATGGCGCTCACTTTTAAATGTTTATGCCAATGAAGTGAACATAAATCAAATATTATAACTCCAGAATTTATCATATCTTTTTCCAAATGCTGCAAACAAAACTAATTGTTCAAAAATAAAAATAAAAACGATTTTATCGAAGACGGATTAGCCAATCTGGAATAGCGCAATCATCAAAAGCAAATTGCATATTTAACTGACCTATATCCTGGCGACAAAATGTTGATGGTCTTTGCCAAATGACAAATGTGCAACATTAAATTATTATCTCCTTCAAAGCATAAATTATCGTATGATTCTTAATTAAATGATCAATTTTCCAAAAACTGGCACATTCGCCGTTTCTGTAAATGTGGCAAAATGATTTGCGATTGCATTCACCTGCATTGTACGATAAATAACAATTATAACTAGTTCTCAATTTGAAGTCAATTAATAAATCTAACATTTTTTTACCGTGTCTATCTATTTTCTTAAGTTTATGTGATATGCGAAAATTTTGCGCATTAAATAATTAGCACATATACCGTACGAATATAAACGAGTAAGTAAGCATGTGTGTGTATTCTTGTGAATGTATGTGTGTGTGTGGCACAGACCATTAGCGTCATTTCGATTATGTATTTTCATTGTATAGACACTTTTGATATTCGTATAAAAGCGTTGGAAGCATTGGTGGTTCAACCAACACAAAAATAACCATTTTCTACAATTACATGCGTAAGCGCCTGAATCTATGTGCAAAGGTTTATGTACTGTACATTTTATGTATACATATGCAACTTTTACCGACTGTTTATTATTATTTCTAAATTCATTCGACAATACAAATATCTATGTCGATGAAAATAAAAATTCCATAATTAACAAACGAAGATATTTTATGAATACCAATTGATTACCAGCTACGGATTCTTTGACTAAGCGCGTTTTGTTGAGTCTATGATTTTTTTTTCTTCTCAAATGCCAAAAAAATGTTACAATAAATAAAGAATAGTTAGTGTATATATACGCGATGGACGTGTGATGTGGGACCGCAAATATACCATATACATTTACACTCTCTTTCACACACACACACACACACACATACACACACGCATACATACATTTGCCTAGGCACCAAACAACCGTTTTCCTCCGTAGCCACGCAATTGACACCGCTCTCTTTCTTTTTCCTTCTCTTTCTCTCTGTTGCTTTTGCTTTCTGGCCCTCTCCCTCCATATTCTCTTCTTTCTTTTTTCTTCTCTTTCCCTCGCACACATTACATTATATACTCAACTACACACTCATGGCAATAGTTTATAATGTGCACTAACTTTTAGTTAGTCGAATGAAAGTTATTTGGAGGATTCTCAAGAATGTTATCGAAGTGAATTCTTGATCAACACACCATCCCTCTATTGCTCTGCCAAACAATTTTCAAAAGTCTGCATCAAATATCAAATGTCTGTATCAATCAATAGTTTTCACATGGGAAGCGAGCCAATATGAAATTGAACGAAAAAAAGTTTTTTTTTTTTAATATTCCAAGAGTTCGATGGTAAAATCAAACACTTTCCATTCTATGATGGGCATAGGCATCATATATACACTGTGGAAAAGTGTGTTGATGTGTGCATGTGATACCACGTTGCTCATTTGTGCTACTCGAATACATGGAATCCCAACCGATTGGTGGGAAAAAAGAGACAGAGGGAGAATAGATAGAAGAAAGAGTAAAAAAAGAACTTTCAAACTTTTTGCCAAATGATAACATTTCTAAAGCATACCATTCTGAATTCATCAGAAGCGAGATTGAAATAAAGATAGGAAAAAAACGTACAAACAAAATATGAAGACAACGATGCGAAAAATCAACTATTGTGAAAATTCCATCATTTCGTCATGCAGCATGCATACATTTTGCACCCATACAATTACACATACACACACATTTATATACATAGAGAAAGAGAGACAGAGAACGAGAAGTACATGACTATGCAAGTCGCTATTAATGTTAACATTTAAACAGCTACTGTTATATAATCTTCTTATTCTATGTACTATGATAATTTTTACAAATTCCATATATGGCCCCATTTACTATTTCACCATCATCATGATGACGACGATGACGACCAAGAAGAAAATCTTATGCAAGAGGAAGAGGACGGAGATGGTTTTGTTCCAAGTATATCAATAACCGATAGTGTAGCTGAGAAAATGCTCTTCCTTGCCCTAATTAACACCGAATTATTTTCAATGCTCCCTTTCCATTCATTCATTCATTGTCATAGTTCAATGCTATTCCGAAAAGGAAATCACACATCATCAATATAATTATCAGATTGGAAAACTTTGGCCTAAGCAGAGAATATTTGAAGAATAGGAAAAAACATAATCATGTGTTGCCTGTTCCTTTTTAAAATTCAAATATCGATAAGAACGAAGAAACATACCAACAATATGAGACGCACAACATTTTTTATTAATGCTATAACATTCATGGGTAAACGATTCGGGATAACATTAAACTAAAGTCGAATCATGCGGACAAGAATCGTTGTTCCACTAAAACATGTTGTGCAATCAGAAAAAAGACTTTGAATTGGTTTCCTTTTTCTCAAATAATATTGATGGTGATGCATATTCTCCGAAGTTACTCATCTTTGGGCCCTTCAATGGAATTGAAGATTATTCAAATTACTGTTTAAAACTTTATACTATACTCACTGCCAAATCGATAGTTGAATTGTATTTGTTATTCAAAATTATTCGTTGTCTTCGTCCTCTTCGTCTTCAATCTGGAAAGAAAGTTTGCTTTTGCTAACTTCTGGACGCTTTTTATCTTTTTTCTTCGATTTTGTTTCGTTGCTGGATGATGACGATGCTGCTGGTGCTGCTGCTGAGTTTTCCGATGACTTTGATTTAAACACAATGCGCTGACTTAAATCGGCCGGTTTTTCGGTCTCCTCTGTAAATCGAAAAGCATTCCAAACAAAATTAAAAACTATAAACTGGATTAACCGTTCAATTAATTGAAATTGTTTATTCTTTTTTTATTGTTGTTTTCGATGCCCGGCGAAAAATATTTACTTACAACACGTGCTTGCAAACACAAATTTCGCTTACATTTTAATTCCAATGTATAGACGGAATTAATTTTGTAAACAAAACTTAAATACATGCACGCACAAAACAGAACGATATATGTACAAATCGGAATGAATTCGAAATTTATATACACAGAAGAGCAGTTTGCCGTTTATTCATGTGTGTATTCCATCGAATGTGCAGGCAAACTGTCAAACGTTGATGTGTGTTGGCTACACCTTAGCGCAAATGATTGAACGAAAACATCGTGCAAACGGTTCAACCGGTAATATATTTGAGCGTGCACCATTCGATGTGATAACTACACACATACATTTTCCTTGATTTTTTCTCTTCAATTTTCAACATCAATTAAAAAATTATTTCGCTTTCGTTTTAACACATGTATCGAATAAAATATTTTCTTTGATAAGAATAATCTGTTTTTTGGTTATACCTTTTTCAATTCGATTTTGTTCTTGCTCTGCTTCTTCGGCGGTTAAGTCACCCTTTTTAAGAACGACCACTTGTGGTGATTCCTCGTCACAATCAGATCGATCACTGTCGCTATCAAAATCTAATTTTTGTCGCTAAAATTGTTCGGTTCCATTTAGAAATTACAGTATTCACCACATGGAGATAGACAGAGAGAGATAAAGAGAGACAAAAAAGCATACCTTTGAATCAATCGTTGGTCCGCTATTGTAACCAATTTGTGCTTTTAATTGTTGCAAAAATTTTGGATCCGCTGGTTTGATATAACAGACTTTATTACGCTTGGACATTATTCATTTCTTTTTATAACACAATTTATTTATTATTCAAAACAAGATACACAGAAAAACGACACAAAAAACCAAATGATACAATAGAGCGATGAGATATGTTTGTACTTGCTGTCAATGTCAATGGACGCACGAATAACGAAGCGCAATGACAGTTTGTTTGACATTTGGATCGAATGAAACTTTGCCAACCGGTAAAATGAAGATTTATTCAGTTATATTAGTGCACTGTACGTATTTTATTCAGAACATCAATTTTTGTATGGAATACGAATTATTTCGAACACTCAAATGAATAAAATTATTATTATTATTATTTTTCGAGAATAAAAAAGTTTTTGGCTTAAGAAATGCCGATATCATTGAATAGTATAATTTTCTAATTGCAAAACCATCTTATTCTAATTTAAAAGCGGCGATTTCCATATCCGCCTCGATTTCGATTGAAACCACCACCACCACCACGATTGAAGCCTCCACCACGATTGAAGCCTCCACCACCTCCATTGTGTCCACCGCCACCTTGATTAAAACCACCACCGCTATATGGTCGCTTGGCACCACTGCCATTGCCACCAAATGAGCTACCAACGCCGCCTGAGCCAAATAGTCTTGGCATGCCAGCTCTGCCATCCTGTGGTGTTGTTCCCGTTTCGCGTGTTATCTCATAATCGCCCGCATCCACAACACATAAATCCTTAACAACCGACACTAGATTTGCCAGACTTGGCTCAAGATTCAACACTTCGTCGGGTGATTCAGATGTTGATATAATAAGACTCTCAATGGCCGGTCGAAGTGCTGCAATCAATGACGCATGATACGTATCCATTTCAAAATTTATCCAATTATCCAATCGAACTGTTTTTTCATCAATCGCATCAACTTTACGAGATGCAAACAGTAGCAAATGTAGTGGAGCAACCATGGTCATTTGTTTACATGAGACCGCCCGTGTTCGAATCTTTTCACCAAAAATGAAAAACGGATATGGAAATTTTACCTGTAAATTGCTACAATTTACCGATGTTTTGTGAATAAGAGCCGCTTTTGATTCAGTGGTAAGAACTTTACGCTTTTCTTTGTGATAGCAAACATTTGGATAAAGTCCTGTGCATAATATGCCAACGGCTAAGTCCAATGTTGGATCTGGATTGTTTTGATCGATGCGCATTTTTATCAAACAATCCTCGGGAAAACCTGTTTGCAGCAGTAAATCAATTAACTGGCGTTTTGCTTCGTATATAACACGCATCGTTGGCAATTGTAAACCTTTCCATTCGCAAAAACGAATCTCTTCTTCATCGCCTTTATAACGTGCATTTTGCCACAAATCAAATGCAACCATCATTGCAACATGATCGGAGTAACGGCGACCGCCCAATGCCTTTTGATGATTGCTCAATCGACGCTGACCCAATTCCAATGTGAAAATTTCCGAAAATGTACTTGAATAGGCAGCCAACGATGCCAATGTGTCGCCAACACCAAACACACATCCGAGAACCATCATCTTTCCCAAGCGTGGTTCGATTGGCAAACGTGCCAAAATTCGACCAAGCGGTGTTAAATTGTCTTGTGCATCTAAACATTTCAGTTCGCGCAGCACAACTTCGGCTTCAATGACAGCATCCAGTGGCGGTGGTTCAATGGCTTTCGATAAGAATTTTTCAATTTCGCCCAATCTCAACAACTGCAAAGCAATTAGATTAATTAGTGTGATTTGTAAAAAAAATAAAAAGAGACGAATAGACGAATTCGTTTCATATCGATTTACCTTGATGCTCAGGGCCAATTCATGCAACGGTGTTCGGAACATTTCGGGTGTCAAATGCTCTTCCAACTTCTCGAAGCGTGCTTTTGAGCACAGTGTGAAACAAATACCTGGTCTAACACGACCAGCGCGACCTTTTCCTAGAGTTTTAAGAAGAAAATGGAAATTATAAATACCTGAACATTTTCTTTGATTATCTCCGTTTTCAAAACTTACTTTGCTCCAAATTCGTTTTGCTCGCCCATACAGTCGCATAGCTTGTCATATTATTGTGAGATGTGAAGAGCTTGATTCGTGCCTTACAAATATCAATAACATAGACAATGTCATCGATTGTTATTGATGTTTCAGCAATATTGGTTGAAAGAATGATTTTTCTTACGCCCGGCGGAACTGGTGCAAATACTTTGCGTTGATCTTCACGCGGCACTTGTGAATGGCATGGCAAAATCACATAATTTGATCCCGAAAATTCTTTGCTATTTTGCAAATGTTTCATTAGAGCAAAAATAAGATTCCATCCGGGTAAAAAGACAAGAACAGCACCGGGAACATTTTGATTTTTAATGTACATCAATAATGATTCAATCAATTCGAAACTAACTTCGGATTCAGAGAGTTGTGCCATTGTTTGTATTGTTTGTTGTGAATAATTGCCTCTGACGCATTTGTTTAGATTTTCTTCGCTGTCATTGGACGACGGCAAGCCCATTTCAGATTCTTCGTCACGTTTACGTTTTCGACTTTCGGGCGATGGAACAAATTGTGTCATCTCAATACAGTCTTCCAAATAATATTGCTTGACTGGATGAGCACGGCCTTCAATTTCAATAACTGGACAGTTGCCAAAATATGACGAAAATAACGATGTATCAATGGTGGCCGACATCAAAATGACACGAAGATCGGGATATGTGTGAATCATGTCACGTAAAACGACAAGCAAAAAGTCACTGTTCACATCACGTTCGTGAATTTCATCGACAATAACATGTGAAACGCCACGCAGTCCCGATTCGAGTTTGCGCAACAGCACACCAATCGTACAGAACATAATCGAACCGTGTGGACGTGGTAACATCGTTTCAAATCTCACCGAATAACCAACCGATTCGCTAATTGGCTCATTACGTTCATTTGCAATACGTTCAGCCACACTGATTGCACTGATTCGTCGCGGTTGTGTAACAGCAATGTTACAGTACGCACCTTGGCCACTATTGATGTAGTCTTCCAAAATGAACTGAGCGATTTGTGTGGTTTTTCCACAACCAGTATTTCCACGAATTATTATAACGGAATATTCGTTTACCAATTCCATAATTTCATTTCGACGCTCATACCTGGAATGAAAATTAATCAATAAGTAGTGGAAACCATAGAAACATATAATGAAATTGAAAAAATTGTGGGGTCAAGCTATAGTTTTTTTTTCACATTCTATTGGTTTCCAAACATCTGTCCCAGATACGCACACGCACACACATACTCTCTCTCTATCTCCCATTCACTCCGTTTCCATCATCATCATCATCATTTGGAAATCTTATTACAATTAATGTACGAATATAATAGAATGTGAATGACGATCGGATAAATAATCGAAATGAAAATGGTAATTTTTAAGTGATTAAGACTTGGTTCATACACTGGAAGTTTACGTCGAAATTCGATCATGTCTCCTAGAATATTATCATTTTGAAGACGATCACGGTATTCTGTCATTAAATCATCGCTCAATTGATCTAAAGTCGCTGTAGCCAAGTATCCTTCATCAATGTTGCATGCAGTCCATGGATTCCAATTTTGCTGTGGTGGCGACCAAGAAATTACCGATGACATTTGTGGTACACGATTTGGGTCCGGTTTCATTTCTTCGGATGGTAGCTAGATTTGAAGTAGAATCATTTGAGTTCATAGTGTTTCATAAAGAGCGTAAAAAAGCATAGAAAATTTGTTGTTACCAATAGGTTGATTTCCTTGTTGTCATTCGTGGGACCGTTTCGCAAGTCAACGGGTACAATATTCAGTTGTTGTAAGCAATCCTCTAGCCTTGATACCATGTCTGGTGCTATTGCCACTGGATATGATGGTATCTGATCTTCATTTCTGAAAATATCACATTGGTTTTTTTCTCGTGTTAATGACTTTGTCCGACGATTCGTGACAAAAATTTACTTACGATTTTGGTTTAATAGTACCAGAGAATGGTTCGATGACGCCCAAATGGAATAACTGACGTACCAATGACAGAGCACATGATCGGCTGGCTGATTGTTTGTTAGAGCCGGTTTCTCGGCCGGTAATGGTTCGATTCAATTGTTTCACAAAGAATTTCATTTCAGCCATGTAACTTCTATACTCGTACAACAAGAACGTACAGTTTTTTGTTTGTTCATTGAATAAGGAGCGATTTAAAATAATAATTTAAAATTGAAAGAACCACCGTACTGAGTATATTTTCATATTCTCTAGCAGTGAAGTGAACCGGTTTGACATTTCTCATACAAACCGATTTCGGAGCGGTATCTCGGAATTGGTTTCGTTTTGTGTGAACGAAACGGAACAAGCGGAATGTTCCGAGAGTGGTTTGTATGGCGACGTATGTGTACGTGAATAGCAATGCACACTAATACACACACAGCCATTGTAAACCATTGTCGGAACGTTCCTATTGCTCCGGTTCGTTCGGTAAGTAAAACCAATGAAATGGTTTGGTCTTGGTTCACTTCACTAGTATATATGCTCATTTCGGGTGTTCCTTATAAATTTTATTGAAAACCTACCGTTTACATTTCCGTGTATAATCAATACATGAAATTTATTTTAATAGACTTTCAATGCGCTGCTGCCAACATAAATAATATGGATTTTTTCGTGCCGATCATGCATTTCTTTTATGCGTTGATTTATATTGCTAAAATGTAACAATAATTGAATCTATTAATTCCATCTATTATTTGGTTCTCAAATGAAATACAATGAAATACTTCATAAAGAAATTGCATTCACGGTATGGAATTAATTCAACTGTGAAATTTGGATACTCTGTGCATTGTTTTATTTTCCAAATTCGTTGAGCTCATATCAACCGTGACTGAATGCAATCATGCAGAAATTCATTTGGATTTAGAACATTCGATTGGAAGCAATAGACTCAATATTGTCGACGACGCAAATAGTAATATTGGTAAATACAAGGAGGAAATCACTCAAAATTAATTGATTATGAAAAAACAAACAATTTGCATTGAAAAAACAAAAAGAAATTTTAAAAATTGGTCATGTTCGTTATTTTCTATGAAAATTGATTTTTGGCCAAAAATAAAATACTATTCGTTCCACAAGCTCTTCGCAAATTCAATTTCTTTCATCATCAATTATATTCAAGTGGTTTCTTCCTTGTCAATATATATCTATTACACTTGGATTACTTCTCCAAAAGAAAAAGCCATTCAGATTTGTCTTTTTTCTTTCGTTTCTTTTAACCTTTTTCTTTCATTTCAAATAAACTTTAGCAGCGCATCAAAATTCCAATAAAATAAATAAAATAAAAATCCAAACAAACACTGATAAAATCATAGACCAATACCAAAAACAAATGCAAATGCAAATAAAGTCAATTGTTTTTATTCAAATTACCTAGCATGATCGGGACCAACAGCCGCATATTTGTAATCGGTTTGAATTTTGTGCATTTGCGTGAATTGATTGAGTTTTGCTTTAGCATTGTCAAGCGTCCAATTGCCATGAATCGAAGCGTTCACATCCAATGATTCGGCCTCTTCCATTTTCTGTTGTTGTTGAGCTTGTTGCTGAGCACGGTCGACAAATTTTTGTGGCCCAGTATTGTTTATTCGACGATATGCTTGACCAACATCTTCAGGCCCTTCGCCAGACTGGACACAAAAACTCAGATTTAATTTGGAAATTTATAGAAAATGCTTTCATTCGTTATGTACCTGAAAAACGGGTACAGTTTCCGCTTGTATGATTGGAGTGGGCAATGCACCACCTTGTTCAATTGCATTGGCTGGTATTTCGCTTGAGTCGATTCGTCCAGTGCGAACCAAAAAATTGATAAAATCCCGAGCCGCATTTTTTTCGGCATCCTTTTTATTGGTTGAATTACCAGCACCAACATATGCCACACCATTTACACGAACCTCACACAAGAAACGCAAACGATGCTTTGGACCTTAGAATAATTAAGTAGTGTTTGCATAAAATAACATTTTCACTGTGCAATTTTGACATAGAAATTGAAATGTATTACCAGTTGGTCTTGTTTCGAAAATCGGCTCCAATTTCGATCTGCTGCACCATTCATGAAAGAATGCCTTTATGTCACTCATCGTGAAATTGTTAGAATCGTTGACGATGTTAAATTAATTTTCTTATCAACAAAATGCCAACTTGTAATTTTTTCGAGAAAAAACAATACGAATCAGAACAGTATGTACTGTACAGAATGATGCTATTAAAAATCAATACTCTACTGTGAAAATGTTTTACTAGCACTGATACAACTGACAGACTGATTGGTGTTGCACGATTCAAATCATTTACTTGTATGCGGTTCAAAATATGTTTTGAATATAAAACCGCAGTTGCCAGCACTTTTGTCTACTTCTATTGGGGTGCTCTAGAGGGAAGAGCATTTATTGTAATTTAGATTGATTAAAATGATTCGAATTCATATGAACAATACCGAATACAAACATAAACCACTATTTTACTGCTTTTTTTTAATAAACAATGTAAAACACTTTTCACACACAAAAAATTTCCATATACATATGAAATGATATCGATAAAACAAAATAATATAAACAACATGGGACTTTTTGGTGTATGCAATCTTTTAACCAAATAAAAAGACATGGGAAAAGTTTGAATAGCTAGGGGAAAAACACCAAAGAATAAATTCCGAATCCACTATATAAATTACTAATCCATCTATTCCACTAGTCCAAAAACACAAATGTGAAATCGGAACTATTTTTCCTATTCCACGCGAATCCATTTCATTGCAATTTCTCGAATCTGTACACTAAAAATCTAATCCTATTCCACGTTTCTGCCCCTAGTTGAATACCATTTGAAAACCAATATATTTTCAAGTCATATTTTTGGGAGGACAGTGGGGGTAAAGATCACGCTTTGACTCACTTCAGTTTGTTGTTCCCTTTATTTTGTATTTTTTATTCTGTTTTTTTTTTTTTTTTTTTTTTTTTGTGGCATTTGAAAATTCCATCAGTTTTAAGTCATAACTTAAACTTTATTCCAACGACTTTGCTCGTTCTTTTCTTTTCGGTACCATTGGAAAAGGATGGAAGCATTTGGAGAATGTTGAAAGAATCTTGCCTGGAGTTTCGTTGTCTATGTATTTGGTATCCAATGAAAAAACACCTATAGAAACGCAAACAAACGCAACAAATATCACTTTACTCCCATATATGCATGTTTTTCAATTTCAGTTATTTTTTTTTTTTTTTTTCAAAACATGCGCAATTTAATCCAGAATGATTAATGCCAACTGAATCGTTGCAACGCTAAAATAGTTCATCCTACTACCCCAACTTCAAAAATCTCTTTTTATTATTTATTTTAATACATTTTTCCATACGACATTTATGCAAACATCGTCAGTGAGCTTCACTTCCAAGTGCAAAATAGCTCGAGACATTCTTTTCAAGGTGCAAAATAGCTTAACAGAAGATTAATTTCGTTATGTATGTTGATTCATTGCCCTGGAATTGCTATCACACTATACCTTTAGGGTATTGAACACAAGAAAGTAATACCAAATTTATAAATTTAATGCAAATTCAATTCGTTGTCTTTAAAGAAAAAGGCAATGGTTTTGCTTTTTATTGATTTATTTAAATATTTACGCTAAAGTATTTACATATTCTCTTAAAAAAAACAAAGCGATATGATAGAATTGAATTTGAAATAAATTATTTAATTTATTTTTGTTTGCTTTTTATAAAAGAGAAATGAATGAATTTATGCACAGGAGCAGTTTTAATTGATTAATTCCAAATTTTCTAAATAATCGGTTCTTAGTTTTGTTTATTCAATCAATAATTTCATTAAGCTTAAATTTGTATAAATGTGTGTTTGTCTATAAAAAAAAGTCGCATATAAACAATTGCATGTATGAAAAAATATTGAAAAAATGCGAATCGATTTTGTTGTTATATTTCGTTTTATATATATTTTTCTACACAAAGTACAAAAATTGTTCAAATGAAAAAAAAAATAGTGTATATATAATACGCAAACAGATTTTCCTCTTTTTTATAATCGTCTGTTATTTGTCATCCCAAAAAAGTGTTGAAGTCATAAATACAAATACAAATATCATTTAAATAAGGCACACAATTGCTTTTCATTCTTCTGGTTTACAATAACTACTTCATTTCTTTTTTGTCCACAAAAAAAGGAGTAAACAAAACGAATTGCATTGAAATATATGCGCTTATATTGACGCGCACATTGGTGCATATCGGATCGAGTAAATAATAATGCTTAATTCGAATTCGAAAACAGAATTGGAGATAAAAATCAGGTGAATTGGTGATGATAGCTCGTCGATATTTTTTACAATGCATTTTTTCTCTCTATCTCTTGTTTTGTCCACATCATTTTTCCCGAATTTTCCAAAATTATACAAATAAAGTGTTTGAACCCATGGGTTGCGGGTGCGCTTGCATCTTTTAAATAATGGTTTATTGAGCTGCATATAATTACTGTTGCGCATTACTCAAGAGAGTATGCGGCAATATAACATTACTGTATCTACGATATTGGCTATATTTTGAGCTGCATTTCTGCACTTTCATAAATAACAATTAACCATATAATGTAATATTATTGTGTCATCACATGATTAACATGCTGCGATTTTTTATATTATATTATTTTTTGTTCATATAGAATTTCTTTTTGTTGCAAATACTTATAATTATTTATTTGCCAAAAAAAAAAAACACGAAAAATTGATGAGATAAGGTAATTTCTTCAAAAATTGTTACAAATACATTTTGGCTATCACTTGCTTATGGCCAATAAACAGATTACAGTATGATTATCGTTTAAACGGAAACGGCTATTATGAGTTTGCGTTATTGTGAATTTATTTAACGGTAGACGGCAATATTTGGATCCTGTATCGTTTACAGAATTTATCTGTGCATTGAATGTGATTGTTTACTTTTTTTGCGATGATTCATATCAATCGCATGGTTTCGCAATTATTTACTTATTCAAAGAATAACATTCTACTATATTTGATCACATCAGCAGATGTGAGCTGCACTGTTAACCGAAAACTAAAAAAAGAAAACAAAACGGTGTGTAGATTTTTTTCACATAAAAATTAAATGTGATTTCTCTGTGAAAGAATTGAATATGCATGCTAGGTTTATTTGTTTTTAGTGTGTCGACTATTGGTTTCGATTCTGTTGCCTCCATCCTAATAGCAATAAATGTGGCTAATTAACGTACAAAAATGTTGTGTATGTATTCGTTCGATAATTCTATCTTTCTTTTCTTAAAATTGATTTAGATAATTGCTGGTTCAACATAATTAGCTGGTAACATTCCGGTTTGGCCTGTGCGCTCAACACGACCTGTCATCCAGCCAGCGTCAATTGAATCGACTTCGAAAATCAGATCGCCTTCGGTAAAACTAACTTCATCGGTGTCTTGGGCTTCATAATCGTATAGAGCTCGGAATACACACTGCAAATAAATAAAATAAAATTTAATGAATCGAAAATTTTTATTTTTCCTTTAAAAAATTGCATCAATGTGATTTGCACACAAAACTCACCACTTGTGACGAGATTGACTTTTGAATTGGTTTCTGTTGAATAGCTGACTGGGATTGCTGCTGGGCATAATGTAATTGATGATGGTGTGCTGCTTGTTGGGCTGGCTGAGAATGTGATTGATGCGCGTAACTATTGTATTCCATCGACCCATATACACCGTTTACCGGATCGATATCCGCAACTGATCCAATTTTCCGCGGTTGACTATTGTTAACTGATATGGAGAACGAAAGAGAGAGAGAAAGAAACCATTTAAAACATGAATTTATCGAATGTATTTCAAGACGTACAACACATCGATTTGGTTCATAAAAATATCATCAGGCATATGGGTTGCATGTACACAAGCGTATTTTATGACCCAAGCTTAAATATTTAATTCAACTTTGTCCGCATTTCAACAAACATTAAGCATTATAAATCGAGTACACATATGGAACAGTAAATTGGCAAAAATTCAAAATGATGTCCAATGTGTATAAATATTTCAAGCAAAATGAAACACCAAAATGTATGTTGGATACGGCTATTTTTTTAAATGAATATGGAAAAGCGATGTAACTCGTTGAACTCGATATTATTCGATTCCATTCAATTTATATGAATTATTTAGTATAATGAATCTTACCCATTCCACGATCAGAGCTGTAAATAAGTGTTGAACTGGGACGAGTTGTATTTGGAATATTACGTGGACCATCGGTAATCGGATCATAGTCGGATATTTTACCAATGCTTCCTTGCATTGCATTCGAATTCGAATTGATCGCGCTGTAGTCTCGATTATAAACATGATTGTTTACACCGTATGGAACGGTGGCATTACCATGAATGACACCGCCATTGTTTCCGGAAATGTTGTTGGTGCCACCACCGCCGCCGCCTCCACCATATCCTTGGCTACCACCTGTATGATGAGCATTATTGTAAGCCATTTGAGCATTCGCATGGTTATTATTTATATTATTCATGGTATTGTTATTATAAGTGTGATTTGATTGTGCGAATGGTCGTGAATAATTCTCGTATTGATCATAGTATTGTTGTTGCAACTGCTGCTGCAGTTGTTGTTGATGCTGTTGCTGTAGATGCTGTTGTTGTTGCTGTTGTTGTTGTTGCTGCTGCTGCTGCTGCTGCTGTTGAGACGGTTTGTGATTAGCCATCATCGACTTGGCCATGCCGGCTGGTTGCTGTTGTTGTTGCTGTGACAAACCATGATTCATTTGCTGAGTGTATGATGTTGTGGTCGATGTTTGAAGTGGTTTATGTTGTTGACTATTTTGCGGTGCGCTCATGTATTGCTGAACCGGCACAATGGGATTCTGTGTATGCTTTGGTTGTGGCTGATATTGCGATAAAGATTCAGCAGCTAATGTCTCTGAGAAATATTCAGATTCATTGTCTGAAATTGGTCAATATCGCAGGCACGTGAATGACGGTGCGCAATGTCGAGTGAAATGAATGATAATGAAAGAGAGAAAAAAGACAAACACAAAAAAAATTGTTACAATGACTTCAATGATCATCTTGAATGATAAACTAATGGCAAATTGGTAGGCAGGGAGATTTACAAATAAAAACTAAAACAATAAATGTTGATGATGATGTCGACGATATAGTTAGTGGCACAGAGTATGAAAAACACACATCATAATTTATATCACACGACGGAATGGAAAATAACGTGCATAATTTAGAGAGTGAAAAACAAAAAAAAATGTGTGTTGATTTGCTGCTCTTGCCGTCAATTTGAAGGTGATGTGCGTGCAAATGTTAAATTACTTGATGCCACACGAATGGCACGCACACATATAAAACAAAACAACATCAAAAAAATTGTTGACAAAGAGATAGGAAGTGAAAGAGGGACATCAGTGGAAATCAAGACGCTCGGTTAATCAAATTACCTCTATTATCGGCGATTTCAGCCACCTCTCGCTGCTTTTCCATAGCGGCTTTCTTTTCCAAATCACCATGGTATGCCACATTCGATATGATTTTCGAATTCTGTTTCATACGCAGTGTTTCTGGGTCGTCTGCCACCTATTCGAACCAAATATGACAACAAATAATGGTGAAATAAAGCAAAAATAGATGAATGATAATCATAAATTTAATTCATTCACATTTTAAAAAATAAATTATGGATTCAACGCCCGCAAAATCAATTTATGTTTAGATTTTTCGATGGTGATACGTCAATGTTAAATACTTCATTCGAGCCATCTTTCGTCTTATTTGAATAATTGAAGACACAAAATTGTTTATTATGTATGTGTCTGTGTGTGGGAATGTTTCTTTTTTTTTGGAAAATAACAAACCTGTGTCAGTTTTCCCTTTTGCTTTTCAAAGTCCGCATGGTACATCACATTCGATTGATGTTTTGTATTTTCTGCTATTCGTTTCAATTCGGGTGTATCAGCAATAGCGGTCGCCTTCGCTTTTGGTATATGGCTGTAAAGAGAAAAAAATATGGAAAAATAGTTTAAAAAACGTACAGAGGGGAATACAATTAAATCACGAAACGAGAAAAAAATCGATTTAAACAAATTTTGTATTTTTCCGGATATTGTATTCTAATCTGAACAACGATACAAACGAACACTATATCATTTCGTAGACATTTGATGAAACAAATTAATCAATTGGCTTTTAGAAGTGGGAGTAAATCTATGTCACGAAAAAAAAAACTCCGATTTAAATTCTTTGTTGATCAGATTTTATTTTTTGTTCGTATTCTTTTCAAAAAAAATATTCTTCGTCTCATCGTAAGGAAATATTTTGTGGAAAACACGGCTCATATGTATAGTCAGCCGTACTCTGGACTGGATAAATCGTGTTTTGTTTGTATTTGTTTGGCATTGTATTTTGCTCTATTGATTTTCATTCATTCATTATCTAACGACTCATTTCAAAATGAAATTTAACTAAATGTACACATGTTGTATCACACTTGCTTTAACATAAAATAGAATAAACTTGACGGGAGAAGTAAACGTAACAAAAACCAAACTAAGAAAGAAAAACATACACACACACACACCCGCTAATCACGTATATACTCAACAAGCATGTTGATTGTTAATGTTGCAGATTATTATGTTGCTTGTATGTTGTTGCCACTTAAGTGTTGAGTGCATCCACATTGATAGAGTAAAGTCGTTGTTCGTCTCGTAGAAGAAAAATTGTGAAGATGAGTAAACAAGACACATACAGAATACAGAACACAACATAAAACAGTTTATATAAAGCATTTCGTGATGAAAATGGTTTACGATGAGCATTGCAATTGGGATAGATATGTATCCATTTTCGTAACAAAGAAATGATATAGCGTTTCCACCATTGAATGAAAAAAAAACATGTGAGCAAAGACACACACAGAGAGAGAAATGGCTTTTCCTCTTTCGATGAGAAATGAAACAGAATTCAGTCTCTGTAATTTGACGCATTCAATATGTAACAAACGCAGTTAATCCCTTTTCATTGGTATGTTTCAATTATAAAATCCTTGGTGCGCTGCTGTGCAACAATGTTGCAACATATAGCTTCTTGATGCCAAACACATGCTCTTTTACGGCTTAGCTATTTTCGTATTCGTATGAGTTGTTGCCACTGCAATGTGCTTGTGTAATGTAATGTAGTAGCTATCAGATGCACAACAGAAACTTATAAGTTCATCGCTCCATCGCCATCATCATAGAAAGTAAACTCTTTAACTCGTTCAGCTTACGGCAAATGTGCAGTTTTGTTCAATGATAACACAACCAAGTATTATGCTGGCATTAGTTCAATGGTAATGTACTACATATAATCATTACACGTATCATGTGCATCAGCATCAGCATCAAATACACACACAGAGATACAGAAAGAAAGACAGAGAGAGAGGGGGAGAGATAGTTAAAGAGAGAGAAACACATAAATAATATTCTCGTGCATTACATCGACGAATTTGTAATAATTTTTTATGGGGATATTTAAAATAAAATATAAAAAAAATAAGCAGAGAAGAAAAGAAGTCACCATATCGAGAGCGATGAGCGCGTGCAATCTCTAGCACACCGATCACGGAATTTGCATTGAATTCGAAAAAGATCCATTTTACATTCTACCGTATACTATATCGTGTATATTTGCGACATGCGTAAAAATGGCATCATCTCATTAAATATGCAGAAAGCGCACAAAATTGAATCCCATAGAATGTTTCATCATACTCTATGTTCGTCTGTTCTCATCAATTTTTTTATATTTATTTATTTTCGTTTTTCGCTTTCGTTTTCTATTTTATTTTTCCATATAATGCAACATTGCAATAAAAATTCTTTGTATGCTGTTTGTGGTCTCTGGATCTGTGTATACACTACATAGTATACACAATATAAGAAATGAAGCGCAACAAATAAGAAAAATGCGAAAATCGAAAGATTCACAACTTATATTCATATTTCATTAGCTAACTTATTCTAATTAAAAGTGTTAGCTCAATTTGATACATTCATTTCTAATGAAGCGCAGTTATTCTCCTTTTTTTCCTCTCTACATGTTCGTCGTTTTGTTTCGGTCGTTTGACATTTTTACACGGTGACGAAGTAGAAAACAATGCGGATTATTGTACCGATTCAATGAAGGCAACAAAATATATATATATATATGTGTATCTATTTGCTAGTCTTGTAAATATGGCATGATCAGAATGTGGCAGCACACAAAGTTATCGAACTAAAACAAGCCATTTTTTCGAGGTATGAGGTATCACATGAAATGAGGCGTATCATTTTTTGGACAATTTTAAAACTCAAAACGAACGATGACAACATCATCATCAATTTCTTTCTTATTTTCATTTTCGTTCGCTGTCTACACATTACACACTCTTATTTATCTTGTTAATTTGTCGATCAAGTGGAGAGCAAATCTACGCAACTGTCAAGTGGTCAATGGAAGTAGAAATTACAATTCACCTTTTCATTTCGTCAAACGTCACAATTCAATTTGCATTTGAAATTTAAACAATTTAAAGTTTGCTTTTCATTTTGTGAATGCTTGAAATCAATGTATTTGCACGACGAATTGAATGACTTAGTGAAATTGGATTTGTTTAAACTTCCATTCGAATATAAATCAATGGCCAAATAAACAAACACCAAATTGGACGCGACTTGAAAATGCACGCAATCATTTTGGTTGAATCGCAAAATGAGCACGAAAATATGTGTTTTGGTTTCATTTTGTACAACTTCAATACAGAGTTGCGACAAGACATTAGAAATCTATCGTGCTTTTGTGCTACACAAGTGTTACTATTATTATTATTATTATTGTTGTTGTTGTTTTTTGTTCATTATTAATTTTCGTTTATCTTGTCAACTAATTACGAAGCGAAAGCAATACGAAAACATGATCATAGCTCAAATTAAAAATGAAACTATGGAATTGGCTCTTGTGATTATAATCAAACAATATGAAACACACCATATACACACTGACTGGAATTGGGACCACAACAAATTACCCGGCTACTAAATGCTTTTTTTTGTTACTTCTTTTGTTTTGTGCCATATCACAATAGATCTCTTCACATTAATTGCTGATCGTTTCGATGAATATTAAGATAGAATATTAGACACAAAGAAAAATAACATCGAGAGCGAAGAATACTTGTTGTCACTAGTTAAAGCAATGGTTAATGAATGAAACATTCAACTGTAAATAATGTTTCGGTTTAAGGTTCAAGAACTTGGAACTAGCTAAATAGATGGATACAAAACCAAAACAATGGAATTGTACAACAATGCTTTGTCCGAAGACATTTTTGGAGCATAAATAAATTAAGGTTTGCGATTCTCTCTCCACACAAGATCTATAAAAATTGAAATCGTCATTTTCTATATTAAAATTCGAAAAACACATTATTTCGAATAGCAACGACGACGTGTGTGTGTTTGATGATTTAATGTGGCAAACATTTCGGCTGCACAGATTGTAATCATTCCATGATTGAAAAAATTTCACAGCTACCATCAAATCAACGATTGCTGAGAAGTTGAAAAAAATTGATTTGCAAGTCATTAGTGTCTATAATCTGTTGTTGTTGCTGTTTTGTTTTTGTATCACCCGTAAATCGATGGATTCATAAATTTTGCAAACATTCCATTGAGAATGGCATTCAATCAATTTATTCAATGTGGTTTGTGTGCAGTAGCTGACTGCATCAAACTACAATTACTGTGAATGAATTCATTAAGTGAAAGTAAAGAGAGGGAAACAACAAATAATTGTAACAACATTGAAAGGGAATCAAAAGAAATAATAAGAGCGCGAACATTAATTCATCATACTAAATCATCAATCGAACAAATTATACACAATAAAATTCATTCACATGGTTTGTGTTTGCAATGTTGTTGTTGACGCCGTCGTCGTAGTTATCATCAGCATCGTCATCTTCATCAGCATCACGATTGCAATAACGAATGTTTGGTGTTAATTGTCTACATATCCTCATATAAAGTGGCGTTATCTATAATGTGCTCTCACACACATGCTCATTTTCAATTGAATATGCGCTACACCACATTTTTCTCTCTATTCTTCCTTTTACGATAATACGAAATCGCATGTGAAAGAGATACAATGCGAAGTGAAACTTTTTTTTCTTCTTGTATGCTTGTTGTCGTTACGTCTTGTTGATGTTTGTGGCTCGATTTAAATTTTGTTGCAATGTTTTTTTTTTCTTCTTTTGTTCTGTAAAAAGCTTTTGTTGCATGCGTTTTACGTGCAAACGCAGTCAATGACAGAGTTTAGCATAACAATGACTCCAGAAATGAGATCGACATGCGATCGTTGTGCCGCTTGTGCTGTATGCTGTAACATTGTTTTAGAAATATTTTGTACACCGATTGATATTCGAAATGATTGAAGAAATACAAAAGAAAATAAAAGAAAAATCCATCCTAAAAAGCGAGTTGACAAGTCAAGTGTTTCCTTTTCTGGTGTGTTTGCGCGCATTCGTTCGCGGTTGTACTTTCATTCATTCTGTTTGCATTTATTTTGGCGAAGCGCACACGGTGCATTCATCATAATTCCCGCTTGATGCCATTCAGTCGTTTGTTAGATATTGATCGGCACGAGTTTTTAAGTACACTTTGTAGCAGTCATATGAATGCTTTCTTTATGATTTAATTATAAATTGTCTGAGCTGATTGTATGTGCATCGTGTTTTATGTGTGCGTATTGCATGTAAAAGTATGAGTTTGAGTGTGTTCACTGTCTACATATGTTATAGTGCAAATGCCGTTCGCTAAACTTTCATTTTCCATAAATACAAATGCAGTCACACACGGTCCATATTAGGCTGTCTTCCGCTATTTTACGCAAATAATAATAATAATAATAATATAAACAACAATGAAACAACAGAATACCGACAACAACAACGCAACAACCTCAATAGCATAAAAAAAAAGAAATGTCATACAGACATAAACACGTACGAGTGAGCCTTAGCACCAAATGCGGTTTTGCAGTAAATAAAATGTATTATCCATGTTGGAATTTGCTTAAATTTGCATTCAAACCGTTGCCATATTGGGTCAATGGGATTCAATGCGGTTTCAGCACAGTACATTCGTTTTCATTTTGGTTTTTTATTGTTGGTGTTATGGCTATATCTGGGATATGTGTATGCCAAGCATTAAAGAAGACACATTCACAGCGAGAGAGAGAGAGAGACGAACACGCACACGCATATTGGCTGTTGACCCATTGCCCATTCATTTTATTTTCATTTGAATTGACTACACTATATTTATACGATTTTCAAATTCATTCTGGACGACAACGGCCACATCGCCCGCACATTTCTCGTCAGTGTCGTCGTTGTTTCAAATTGCAATGAAAATTCATATGCAAATGCACTCTCGAAAAATACGGAATTCAAAAACACACTGAATACACATAGCCATTAATCAACACAATGTGCACCATGAACACATGATGATTCAGTGCTTTTGACCTATTGTTACTCATTCTATTTACCATAGATATGTAAACGAAGAGAAAATGAAATGACATTATTTTTTTTTGTGTTCGTATTCCCATTTTGTGCGTTTGTTTGTTTTTATCTTACTCTATATTGATAGTAAATTTATTTCTGGGCACTTTTCTGCTGAATATTTTTTTTTGCCATTCTTTTTTTTTCAGAAAATATTTTTGTGTCATGCTAATTCCAATTTCACTATCAGTTGACACACATTTTGTGTGCGTAGAATGAATAGTTTCGATAACGAAACAGCTGCCATTGAAATGTGTACTTTATCACATATATGACTCATTTGAAAAATTGCTCGTTTTTACTTTTTTTTCGTTCAATCGCTGTCTGCTATTAGATAAATCGGTTCGGCGAAAAGAATATTTGTACTTGAAATTTTTTTTCATACCATATTTGGTAATAAATCATTAAAATGCGTTTATTATGTGCAATAAAAAGTTGTACGGTTGTTTCATAATTCAAGAGCCGACCAGTGAATTCTAATAAGACGTAAATGTTCGTGGGTAACCATTTCAATTTACACACAAACTCATCGGAATTATTTAATATAGCTATTATGCCTTAAATTGTAATTGTTAAGGTTATGCTTGTTCTTTTGCTCTTTCACTCACATTATCGGATCTCAATGGGAACTGAATTTATAACTACACAGTTGGTTTCGAAACTGTTCCTCCCAGAACTACGATCGCATAAATTTCGAATGCAAATTTTCTACATTATTTTTCTCTCTTTTTTTTGGCATTCATTGTATTGCGTTTATATTGCGCTTGATTTATGATTAATTTCGAGTTTGCAATCGTATTAATGTACTTAATTCAAGGGCCTTGCTTCAACTGCTGGTCTTATCACCGCCACTATTAAACAATGCCGTCACATACATTCGTTCGGCTCATCATTCGACGGCTTTGTGACGGCTGCATTTTGTCGATTTGTCTATTCAATAGCATTGACATATAGCCCTTATATTAAGTGAGAATCATATTCGCCATATGATTTTTCAATTCATTATGATTTAAATAATTCGATCCGAATCCAATTCCAAAATTTCGAATGTTTCATTTTGATACACAATTATGTGTGTATTCGGGCAAAAAAATATTTGTGTACGCACAATATATATTATAACAAATGTAATCGGTTCATTAAATTTACATCAATTGAATTCAATGAATACTTGAATCAAAACTTGACGCAAAAAAAACACATACAAATATTTCGAATTGTCGTCGACAAAGAGCGAGAGCATGAGAATTCACCGTATAATTCCGTTTGAAACGCATGTAAATGCGTTTGAAAGCAAATGTATTTCATAAATCGAGCGCGCTTAGGATTTATGTCTATTTATATGTGTGTTCTTCGTAGATATGGTTTTGTTTTTAAAAAGAACCATATATGATGATCATATTCCAACGGAACTAAATCATTGAATTATTAAAATCAATTACATGATGATGATGCGTTCGCATGGCAATACTTGATCATTATGAATTGGATGGATATTTTGTATGGCTGGAATCGGAATTACATTAAATGGTTTTAATCCGATTGTCTAATGAATCAGAAATATTATAATGGACTCAGACATTTCCTGCCATACAGATATAGTGTATTGACTATATCCAGAGACATTCATATTCTATATGTTTGTGCCGATGCTATATGTGCTTGTACATTTCGGAATTCGAATTCGAATTCAAAGAATTTTTCAAATAGTCAAATTTATCTGGCTACCAGTTTCAATATATGCATTTGAATATAGAATACTTACGCTTCACAATATGGTAGTTTGTTGAACCCTTTGTATGTTTTCATGTTCAGCGTCATGCCACACTCGTGACATTTGAAGCATGTTTTGTGCCATGTCTGTAAAGAGAAAATAGAGAGAACATAAGTCAAAAATTATTTTTGAAAAAGAAGAAAAAAACACGAGACAACAGAAAGAGGAGAGAGAAAAAGTCAACCCACCAAAAATACACATAAAATCTATCTTTCTGTCTTTCTCTCTCTCAAAAAAATTAAAATTATGTGTAAAAAGACAATCTTTTGACTACCGGACAATGGAGAAAGTTTTCAATGTGAATACCGAATAGCATATGACAGAGTATAGAGTTGGTATTTTAAGTGGAATCACATTCTAGGTGAGTAGCTCAAATCACATGATGAATTTCATTATTTTCATTCTCTAGCTCTCGTTTTCTGTCTCTCTTTTCCTCCCTCTCTTCGTATCATTTTCAATATCACTTAATGGAATGCGATTTCTGCCATAAAAGAGTAATATTCTATTCGGTCATTAGATAACATAAAAGATAACGTGTACACGACTGTGATAGGCCTGATTACCAGATAATAAATGGCGAAATCCAAACAAACAAAAAAATACCCAACCAAAAATATGTATATTCTTTAAACATCGAATATTCATTGAGATAAAAGCGTAAATTAATATTTTAGCAGTTCATTTGGATCATATATTTATGAACAATTTGACATGTTCTATTTTCTCATTGAAATAAGGTTTTCGATTCACTGAATATTTCACGCCCTAATATTGTGTGTGTAACTAATGTCGTGCACATTTCGATGATATGCTTCTCCCTGAAACGTCTACATTTTAATTCATATCGAATTGATGGCACTGTTATTTCGGTGCTATTCCATAGGTGTTATAGTCAAAATGTTTGTTGATATATGTTCAAATTATCGAACAGAGAGTTTTGTATTTTTCTTTTTTTGAATTGACAAAAGGCGGAAACAATCTTTAGCCAAGAGAGAAACCAAAACCATAATAATAATCAGCGACAAAAGACACGTACGTTTCGGCGAATTTTTTTCATATTTTCACAAGTCCACAAAACAGCACCATTTAATCGTGTGAAACGCATTTCAAAAAAGAATGTGTGTGCTTTTGTACAAAATCGTCCGGAGAAAAAAAAATCAAAGTCGCACAAATATTATTATGTGTACTTTTTCGGTGCTTTGTTCTTTTTCAAAATTTGTGCCTCTCTCTCTCTCTCTCTCTCTTTCTCTCTCACAGTTCTGGGTTGGTACGTACATACATAGTACTTATGGTAGAAATGACGCTGCATGCCAATTTCGAAAAAAAAATGTTTCTTTAAAATTTATCGCTTGACACATAACTCATGCTAAGTTTATGCCATGAAATTGGGATCGTCTTTGTATATCTCTGTGCGTATGTGTGTGTGTGTTTTGCTCTGTTTCGCTTAAATTTTGCTCGTTTGGTGTGAGAACCATTCGAATTTTCGGTGAATATACGCAAAACCATTGAATCAGAAACAAATTCGAGAAATTTGCAATGGTGACGATGCCAAAAGTGCTGCGGTGGTTAACAACAGCAAGAAAAAAAATCGGCTCACATTTTTCGCCCATAACTAGCGCAAATATGCCGCAAAACAACGAAAATAGACAAAGAAAACCAAGTCTTTATGATAATAGTTGGAAATTGAGAGCAAGCAACTGAATTAAAGATGTAAAAAGAACGACCGCTTCCAGCCGCTTTAAATTTTTATTCGGTGTTTTATGAATTTTAGCCAACAACACACAAACAAACGGAACAAAAAATCTACGATTTCACCAAAATCGACCTACTCGATGCTTAATTTATAAGAAGAAATATAAAAAAAGAGCACCAGATTTTTCTTCAAGTTTCTTTCGCTTGATTTTGCCGTGCAACAATATTTCCATGGCATTCGTCATTTGAATACTTATTATTACTAACTTTTATATATATATGCTAGAATGACAAAGTAGCGTGATTGTGTGTGTGAGAGAGAGACAGAGAAAACACTCAAAAGAAACAGAGAAAAAGTCATTCATTTACCATATACGCGCAAAGTCACATGAATATAAAAAAAAAGAAACAATTCGCATATATGTACATGTAGACATCGCCTCGAAGTGACGGCGCTCCATGTATGCGTTTCGCGACTTCAATAATACGATACACAGAAAGCAGCAAAAACGCGACAGCGCAAAAAAAAAATCACGCTTCCATGAGATCATTGCGATTCTAATGAAACAAAAGTGTCGTGGCTCGATTATAATTTATGCATTCTTTCAGCAATAACAATAAATGAAATAGTAATGCTGAACGGTATCTGTCAAAAAACAAACAAACGAATAATAAATAGAAAGACTTTTATTCAACATGTCGCTCATAAAGGCCATTTGCGTATCACAGTTGCCGATTTATTGTTGTGATCGTTGTAAATTTATAGTTAGTCGTGCAACGGTCTAATCTCGCTTGTTGTGTTTTCAAAGGCCTTTCATTTTTGGATATTTATATATTTCGATGGTGATATATAATTTTTGGTTTATTTTCTGATGAAATCGTACTTAAGTCAAGGCACATACAAGATATATAGCAAACAAACAACAAATTGGTCTCAAAAAGACTGACATTAAGACCGCTGAGAATACTACTGTATATGCTTTCGAATGACGATATTAGAGTAACAATTCCAAAGGGAACGAAATCACAATTTTCACCAACTGCAAATAATCAACGAGAAAAATACTCGGATGTTTGTTTTTGTGCTTATTGCATTGAGCATATTGTCGACATGCGTCTGAACATTTTGGTACAATGACCAAAGAGACCATGTGCATCATTTTCTATTCACTCAATTGTCTTTTGTCGCATGCAATAGATTCATATTCGTTCAATTACGGTTCTATGAATGCAATGAAAACAATTCGGCTGGGGCGCACGTATTGTTAAAGAAACGGACAAAAGTGAGAGAGAAATAAAAACAACATAAAATGTTTCGATTTGGTAATTTTGCTGATTGCAGCTTGTCTAAGGTCAAGGTAAAACATGCGGAAAAGCAACGAAAATAATAACACCCATCGAAGAAAAAAAAACACCGAAAATTATTATGATTATTATGATTTTTTGCACACCTTTTTGGCTTTGGTGGAAACAACAGCATTTTATTTGTACGCACCAAATACAAAATTAGCACACGAACAAAATAAAAACAATTGAAGTCAGATTTCAATTTACATACTTTACATTCTACTCGCTTCTTTCTCGTAAATGTGTGTGTGTGTGTGACCATTTGATTTTGACCGTTTTTTTTCACAAGAACAAAAAAAATAACAGATCGAGTATCACAGAAAATGGTAACGACCAACGGACACAAAAAAATGTTGTCTCAACACAGCAGAATGAAACATGTTTATTTTGTAAAACAATGCACGCCACTCATGCGTTTTATTGCTGCAGTTTTTTTTCGTATGTGCAAAAAACAATGCAGCATTTCTGAGGTTTTTTCTCCTTCAAATGTACTAATTCTCGAGAGAGAGAGAGAGAGAGAGAGAGAGAGAGAGAGAGAGAGAAAAGATAGAAATGCAATTATATTTTTATCTATTATTAATGGCCGATGTAAAATGGTCAGAGAAATGAATGTTTGTAATTAAGTTCATTTGAATAACTATCAGTTAGTGAGCGTTTGGCGCATCACGAAACAGTTAGTGAGCCTGCAAATGCATTTCGTGGTCAACACAAATTTGTTTTTTGCCGCGTGCACTTTATTTCATTTGAATTGATTAATTTTGTTTGTATTGTTTTTCTCTCTTCTCTCTCTCTCTCTAGCACACACACACACACACGTTTTTCGCTTGCATTCCATAAGTTTTTTAATTGAGTTATGAGCATTGTTTTGAGTGTCATGAAATAAAATACGCCTTCACTTTGGCATCTAAATATGAATTGAAAAAATGAACAGAGATATTGCTTCTGTTCTTTTGAATATCTTGTATCTCTGTTGTTGGCCCTGTGTGATGACAATGTAGGTGTATGTTTGTGTTTGTGCGTAAACCCAAGTAACATGAATGTTACCGCATACACGTTTACACATCCACTATTGTAATGTGGCCTATCTCTTTGAGTAGTCGGGCGTTCTGGAGTAACAGCAACAAATAGCTCACACAGTCACTCATTCAGCAACAAATACAGACGCAAACACGTTTAGCATTTATATCGGTTCAACACTACATTTACTATTATTGTTTAAAAAGATATTCTTTTTTTTTCTTCTCTTCATTTTCTGTCTATCTTCTTTGGCTGGTGTGCTCACACACGCCCGATTCGGCGGCACAATAAGAATAACAAAATGGGTATAAAATGTGACGCAGACAACCGTAGATTATCTTTCATTCTCTCTTTCTCTCTCCCTCTCTCTTCAATTGGAACATAGTACCGAGTCATCGAATGAATAATATATGTGTGCACTGTGCACAGTTTTCTTAAGAGAGCACCCAAATGCCCCATGGATGTGTGTATATTCGTGTATGTATGTCTGTTTCACAGTGTGCATATGTATGGATGGAATCTCTTTGGTCGCCGTTTTTCATACGGCGACTGTTTGTCAGAAGGCAATGAGAATACATCGCATACATAGCACTGCAGATGCAACAGATTTTTGGGCGAGCATTTGTCCGAATGGTGGATACGCCGACATCAACTAAATAGAAACATGTACACTGATTTTTCGATCCATTCATTCTATAAACATATATATATATATCTTGTTTTTTTTTCAGGCCGTCTTTGTTTTTCTTTTTCATTCCGTCTCGCTTGCATCGACTTTGTTAAACGCCTTGTATTTTTGTTTATGATTTTTCATTAATCCAATGTAGCTTAATTCTTTTGTTGCTCTCTTGTTTCAGCCAATCGTTCAAAACAATTTTTTGTATATATTTGAATAGTTTTTAATGTTCGTTCGTTTCGTTCGATGCTTGTTTATACTGTTTTTCATTGTTTTCAAATCAAAAATCTGTATCACATCTAAACGTATTGGATTCCGACTGGAATTCAATGCCTATACTGCACCCAAAATAAAAAAAAAAATTTATGCAACAATATTCTAATCAATACATAAAATGTTGTTGCATTCGTGGCGGTGTGTGTATGACGCAAAGAAGAAAAAAAGCAAAACCGAAAGAATCAACACTTAAACGTTGAACTTCAGAAAATCGGAACGGAAAATCAAATGTCTATGTTATGTTGTGCAGCATTTTTCGATATGAAATAGAATAGCAACAATCGACGTGTATTTGATATTAAATTGAAACACTAACCTTGTCCAAACACTTTAACTCTTCGATCGGGTAAACAATCTTCGTACACCGTGCGCAACTTTTATTCATCTCGATGTTTATGCGTTGGTACTCCTTTGGGTCCGATTAAACGTTTATGCTGGTATATGGTATCCGTTTCGTGTGTTAATTAATCTATATCAAACGAATTTGCACAAACTACTCTTCTTTGTATTTGCTTGGGATTTAAATCGATGCGTTTGTTTGTGTCTTCTTCTCTTTTTTTGTGTTTGTTGAGTTTTATTAGCTTGGCTGTAGCTACTCGCTTTTTACACGAGAATTTCAACTTATTTGTTAAATTTTGCGGCACTTTAAAATCTATTGTTATTCGCTTTATTATTGCTATATTAATCACCAACACATGCACAAACACAGCTCTTTTTTTACTGTAATTGATTCGATTGACCACAAAATGAACACAGAACTTTTATTCCGATTGCAATTGAATGATTTTTTTTTCTCTTGTTTGTTTGGTGGCGTACGATAAAACTGATTGTCGGTTTTACGCTAAGTACGATCCTCCTTTTTCACACTTTGCCAAACTGAATGAATACGATTTGTTTTTTTCTTTCTGCTTGTCGTATTTACTTCTTCGATTTTCGTGTGTGTCTTTTTTTTTCTGCAGCAATAGCAGCAGCAGTTTGAAATACACCGTATAAGTCAGTGAGGAAGGAAAAAAAAATCAACAAGGCACGTCTATCGGCTAACTTTGATACGGAAACGATACACACTAAACACAACTTGATGACGGATTAAACACGAATGAGGTATATACTGAATATTTTTTTCTTCTGTGCTATTTCGTTGTGTTGATGTTGTTGTTGCTGTTGCGGCTTCTTTCTTACACTCTCCGCACACACATAATCGTCGTTGTTCTCGGTGTTTGATGCATGTGTATGTAGTAGAGAGCAAACGACACCATAAGTTCCAGTTCCAGTCACTTAAGCTCTCAATAGATGATGGCGCATCGAGTTCACTTTTTATCTCTAGCGCGCGCGGCCTCAGATTCGTTCCAATGATTTTTTTTTATTTTGGTGGGGTTTCGATTTTCATTTTCTCGTTTCATATTTGTGTTTTTAAGACGAATGAAAGATAAAAACCGATTTTGGATACAAATTATCCGATGAAATGGTCTGTTTCCTTCTAAATAGTCTTTGCCAAATTAATTCAAGTCTTTACGCTAATTTTTCGTACGATAGATGGAGGCACGCACATCATGGCAATTGAAAATACCTTAGCATTTGTTTTGACTCTTTTGTTTGAATTCAAATTGTCATGGCTGGTCTTAAATTCAATTGAAATTGGGTCCAATTAAGGTGGTTTATTGGTTTATATTTGTTGTTGGCTCGATTTTTTTATTAACCACTTAAAAAACCAAGACAAAACTTCATCACATCTAGTTTTGCTAAAGTTTTTAGTGCTTTATGCATGGTTGTGGTCTTTGCTAAATGTACTGATCACAGCTGAACTTGAAAGGATTATCCATGTAAAAAAAATGTAGAATTTTTTTTGAATGCAATTTAAAAATGATTTTGAAACATTTTTTTTTAAATCATCGCAAGTAGTTCCACTTTTAATTCTCATGTTGAAATGAAATTAATTTTTGTGCACGGAATGAAAAGAGATAGAGCGTCGAGCGCACCCAGCGGAAATTGTTCAAATGGGAAAAGAGTGTGTGAGTGAGTGAGCGAGCGAACGAGCGAGAGCCTTCTCATACGAATATGCTACATTCCGATACGATTTTCAATTGTATGGCACGTATATTTTCCTTCTCAACTGATTTTTCCTCTTTCAGTATTTGCATGGGCCACATGAAAAACCATTCAATTTTCCTTAGCCGTGGTTCAGTTCGTTGTGGATTTTCAATCGGTAAACAATTTTCACAGTTGTAGTTCGTGCGCGCTTAGATTGAAACATACATTCTCAAGCACAAATTGCAGTGTTGTAAGACGCAAATGTTTCGAACATTTTTTTTTCAAATCTCGTTTTTTTTTTTTTTTTCAAATTAATTGAAAATTTGAAATAATTTCTTCTAATCTCTATTGCTATTTTGAAAAATACGGTGCAACAAATTTTTATTTTTGATCAATTTATGTGAAACAACGAATAAAAAAATATGAACAAATAAAATAATTGACCGAAAAGAAACAATCATAAATTATCGTTATAATTTTGTTCTGATTCTAGAATCAAATTCACTGAAATGATAAAGAATTAAATTGACATACATTCACAATAAAAGAACGAAAAAAAAATTAAACGATTTTCGTAAGTGCTTCGAACGATTTTGATTTTATATGATTTTATTGGCGACGTTTTAACAAGAGATTTTTTTTAAATTTTACCACACTTTAACAAGAGATATCTATTGAATATATTTTAGGCAATTAAGAGCACACAAACAAAATGAATTATCTCTCGTCGTAGTAATCTTCTAAAATTTACTTAATTTTTTTTAAGTCATCGATCTCTCAATAAATACAATTTATCTTATGATTTCATCGAAATTATGTTCGTAGATATGAAACGCGTCACTTGAATTAAGTAAGTTTTAAATTTTATTTTATTTTCTGTTACAAAACATAGAACGATAGGCAAAGAAGCGAAAAAAAAATTATCAAAAGAAAAAGTACTGTGAAGAAAATAGTGCAATAAATTTCGCGACTCTTGAAATATCAAATTTCTTCAAAGCCACACACACGACAACAACAACAACAAAAAGTCGAAAGTCCCATTGAAATATACATTGAAAAAGGTCGATCAATTTTGTCCTTTAAAAAAGAAGTTTATTTTCGTTTGAATCGAAAGTGACAGTACGAAATAGATTCATTTTTGTATGTGATTTTGATTAAGAACTGTGAATTTCCAACAGACATTTATACAACACATACACACAATTTGTTTTTTTTTGTTGTTGTAATGTTCGTTGTTCGTGTATTGTTTATTCGGGCTGCATAAACATGCGATGTGACGAAATTCACCACTGATATACGATGTTCAACGTATGATTAAAGGATAATCGGAAGTTTTAAAGGTTAGTTGAACAAAAACTATATAGAAATGCCTAAATAAGGCATTCACCAAAACCAAAAAAGCACACACAGACACGGAATGAATCAAAAAAATAAGAAAATTATACGCCATACCACCGAAATTAACGTAGAGGTTATAAAGGTAGAAGGTTCAAATCTACGTGCATATGGACAAAACGAAATTGTGCTAGTTAAGGTTATATAAAATCATGAACAGGACCATTAAACTTGCACATATGCAAACGAATATTTTACGTAGTTTAGATGCTCACGTTGTTTTTCTTTTGGTTCGGCTATAGTTTTTCATTCGCGTTACCTCGAATTGATATTTCATATCGTCTATTTTTTTTGTTGTTCCTCTTCTTATTCAAATGTTGCTCATTTTGTGTGACACACAGCAATAGCAACGTTATGCGGGAGATAAAGCAAAGTAAGATAGGTATAGAGAAAAAAAAACACTGAAAATAATTCGAATTGCATACAAACAAACAAATATGTAAAAATGAAATGAGTAGAAGGCAAAATCAACAACGCCAGCGAAAACTGAAACATACCAAGGATATATTATGTTGTGTTATTCAATGGTGCATGCACGATTCGCATGCCGCGAGTACACGTACACAAAACACACGCCAGCCAGGCGATCGCATGCATTATGAATTGATTGTGTCTCACAATCACCTTACATATACTCACACAGACACAAATATACAAACAACATTGAGAGCATGGCGGTGTCTAGAAATGAATGTGCGGTGTCTAAGGGCAGAGATCAATTCCGATTTACTTTTTGGGCCAATAGACTTGAAGAGAGCGGAAGAAAAAAAAAGAGCGAAAGAGAGAGAATGAGACGAAAAAAGGTGCGCGCTCGTAATGAAAAAATATAAATAAACTACTGTTATAGGGATGGAAAAATGGATATAATTTGAATATTTACCGAGTATTTTTATTCGCTGCAGTTGCTTTTTTCAACACAGTTTCATGCCTGCCTACATAAGTAAGATGCATTGCTCATTGTAAGCCCGACGGTGTATCACCACGTAGCGGATGCTGCTACTTGCCAAAAGTAAATGAATTCTCATATGTATAGCAGTATATCCTTTTGATTATGTGTACGTTAGTTGGTGCAAATTTTTTCTGTCAAGATTAACTACATGGTTCCTTCCATGCGAATTTGCTTTAAAATTGCACTTTTGTTGCTGTTGTTGTTACTTTTGTTATAAAATGTTCCATACTACACTGTGTTTTCATAATGGCGAGAACGTTACGGTGTTGATAGAGAAAGCGATGAAGAGAGAGAGAGAAAGAGAGAAAGAGGCATAGCATGGGTGCAAACTTTTATAAACGTTTATCCACTCGTTGATAATTTAATTCAAGTTTAAATAAAGCACTCACCTTTTATGCTTTCACTCAAAACATGATAACAGCACATTTTTAATTGCTCTGAATAAAGTTGTGACAGATTTTCAATTGCCAGTCATTGCCATACAATTGCTCTTGCACATCTCGCAAAATCGTGTTATATCAATGGAACATCGTAAATGAACAACGACATCATCAAGTATTTTGTTTGGAGCGAAAAAGAGAACGAGCGTAAGAGAGTGTATAGCATGTGTAGACATAACAAAAAAAAACAACAGCCACCATATTCAGTCAACACAAAAACCATGCTTAACGGTCGGTGATGTGTTGCCGGAAAGTTGTATTTGTTGTCAAACTCGAAAGAATAATGGAAAATTTCTATCATACCATGAAAATTGCATACACAATATTTGCAGTTATGTGTCATAACTCGATGGATTGTCTGATAAATATGCGAGAAAAAAAAAGGACAAACAAAATTCAACACTTGAGGCATACATTGACCTTTTCTTATATCGTATACAATACACATACATTCACACACACACACATTATGAGAAGATGAATGTTGCTCATTTTGGCCGCACATTGTATTTTATCACTTTCTTGTTGTTGTTTACCATATTTAACATTTTGTCTTCTGCTTGTGTGCATATCAATTGGTTTACTTATTTATTTTATTTTCCTCTGGAATATATGAAACAAACAATTCTAATGAATACGTGCCCAGATGATGAAATCACTTCATTTCGCATATAACTCATACATGGGCACAAGGGGGTGTAATTTCGGATAACCTCCCCTCTTGAATCGTTCGAGCTATCATCCCCCCGACGGAAGCCGAGAAATTTTCCGATTTGCTAGGGATTTTTCACAGGAAAGTGAAGACCTTTTTTTGCTAATCAACTTTAGAAATGGAAGAAAATCTTTAAAATTGCAAGGGTTTTTCGCGAAAAATTCTTTCGATTTGCTAGGGATTTTCATCAAAAAAGTGATCTCCAAAAAAAATCCCATTTTGCTGAGGTATTTCGAGAGAAAAATTCTTTCAATTTGCTAGGGGTTTTGATTGGCTGATGGACCCTCCCCCTTAAATTTTTTCCGTGCCCATGTATGCATATAACATAAATTTGTGTACATTGTATTTGAAAATGCAATGTAATGCATGGGCCACTTTCATATGTGAGGCAAAAATTATTTTTCGACGCAGTAAGACATCTTAGTTCGTTGTCCCTTTGTGTAAAAAAAATCATCTCTCGTTTTCTCTTCTCCTTTATCTGTGTGCCACACTCTGGAGAATTGGCAAATGCTACATTTAAGTTTATTCAGACTCAGCATTAGCAAAAGCAATCGCATGTTTGTTGTGAAATGTTCGACATTGTATGTATTGACATCGGCGCCATTTTAATACATATGCTGCAACAAAAATAACAAAAAAAAAAATCTGTGCCGACATTAATATGACGAATAATTCATTGGAACATTCCATTTTTTTCGTTGTTCGCACAATTCAAATGATGACAGCAAAAGACAGTGTATAATAGTAATCATGTGAAATGCTAACAATAATCAATGCATGTGGCCGCCCTTGATTGGTCGGGTTTGAATGATCATTGGAAACTGAGAATGCGATTTATACGTATAAGTCATGTATAGTATTTGTGCCAATTTCGAAATTGCTCGTAAGCACGGTTTCTATATGGCACTTGAGCGAATTTCATTCAATGGATATTATAATTGTCAAATATTCAAAATTTTACATCGGTTGGCATCATGCAAATGGCAATAGTTTATTGTTTTTCGAAGTTATTTTTATTGCTTTCTCTCGCTCTCTTTGTCGTCGATTCGTTATATTTGTGTGTCGCAACCTGGAACCAAGAATAAAAAAAGCATTCATTTCCGTCATTTGACATCCATTTCCGAGATATTTTCGTGTGTTCGGCTATTTTATCAGATTTTGACCATAGGGCACGTTTCACAAGGTTGAAACAATATTCACAAAGTCAAAGCTCAATTTTTTCTTTGTTGCTTTTCTACACATTCATTTGGCTTGTAAAACGCACTTTGTTAATATTTTTTTATTTTATTTTTTATTTGGTCTATTCCATCGCACAAAGCAAAATCCAAAGAAATAATAATAATACAAGAGCCGAGTCATTGGAGCAGGAACAGGCTGTTAATTGTTCAGCTGGTTATTAGCGTGTGCATAGAAAGCCATGGGCAACGTCCTTTTTCATACGATTTTCTTTGGCACAAACTGACAATATAATGGCTCATAGCCGACCCAATCAACAAAAAACTGAAAGAACTGAACAAAAAATAATAATAATAATAACTGAAACGAAATGAAATGACTACACATTACCAATGTTGCAAGTACTATCTTTTGTGTTATGTACGCCATTTAAGTATCTCAGGACAGTTGAAAGCAAACGCGCAAAAAAGGCAACTTTATGCTACTCGGGGGCATAGCTCATAGAACGAATAGAAAAAAAAATGATAACAACACCATGATGATGAATGGAAAATAATGTCGAAACAAATGAGTACCGAAACTAGAATATGAACGAGTAATTTATTCATAATTTGAAGTATTTTGAAGAAGGCGTAACAATGATAAGCGGTATAAAGAGAACGCGACAAGCTTCAACTGTGAGATGACGTCGACAGGACGGTCGACAGTTGTTCGCAAAATGTCGAATGTTTAATGCATGCTCTCTTTCTTTCTCGACTCTTTATCGACTATTTCATAAGATTTTCATTCACATGCTATTCACATAAATATCCGTTTTCAAATCAACGTCAAGTCATTTGCTATGCATAACCAAACTAAGTTGAAATTTATGCAGTAAAATAGATTCCAGGTTCATTTTTAAGCATACAAATATTAACTATATACCATTTTGTGATGGTTAGTCTCCAACGGACACATAATTTAGTCTAAAAAAAACTAAGCCAATCAATTTGGCTAGAACGTTGGCCAAAATAGAAACCCCATCAAAACAACCATTTTGAAGTATGTCAGCGCACAAGGACGAGATGTTCATAATGTCAAGAAAACTGAACGAAAAGACAAACTACGACAAAACTTGTTAATAAAATATAAACGAAATATTGGATAATGAATAAGTACAGTTTCCAAAACGAGAACTGTCAATCCACTTCGAATATCGAGCCGTCACACAGCAATTGAACTTCATTCCAATAAAATTTATATGTAAATGTGAACCCCGAAGTCGAAATAATTGTTTGAAACGGTACAAAAATACCTCGACTTTATTCCATTTCGATGCCATTCCAATAGCAAACTACAATAATTATTATTATTTCATAGTTGTTAATTGTGATTTAATATTTAACAAAGTGACAGTAAAACTTTTACTCAATCCTACACGCACTCGACAGTCTGGGTTGGTTGTGATTTTTGTTAGTTAGTTAGTAACGTGCAAGTATTATTCATCTTGGGCGCAACATTGTATTTTTATAAATTTTTTTGTCCTTGAGGGAATTATCATTTCGACGAAAATAATCTATTTATATTTATACAACAAACCCAATTGCACAAAAGCAACCAAACATTGTTTTATTCGTTGAATGCGAACGAATAAGCTGATATTCTTCGTACTTTAACGAGTCGCTTGAG